TCATGAAGTCACCTACGAACGATCGTCTTCACTTCTTGTACCAGTTGAGGAACCAGTAATGGAACCGAAAGAACCGAAAGAACCGGAGCTGACACAGGAAGAGATTGACCACATTGCTTGGATCCAGAAAATGGCTGAACAATCTTCTTTCGAACAAACAGTTGCACCACTGACCCGGCCACCAGTTTCATTCATTGAGCCGGAGCTAACTCAAGAAGAGATCGATCATATTGCAAGTATTGAAAAAATGGCAGAACAGTCGTCTTTAGAGCACTGCGTCATACCAATACCTCCACAAACCACATGCAATGAGCCAGCAGAAAAATCAGAACAGAATGTTGTCAAAACTACTGAGCTGACAGAAGAAGAATTAGAGCACATCGCAAAGATAGCTGAAATGGCAGCGATTGAAGAATATATAACACCGGATATAACTTCGAAAGTTGCACAGTCAGCTCTTACACAAGAAGAAATGGATCACATTGCGAAGATAGCTGCCACGGCCGCTGAAGAAGCCTCTCAACCGATTGGAAGACCAGTTGAAATTGCTCAACCAATAGTAGCACCTGAACTAACAGAAGAAGAAAAAGAACATATTGCGAGAATCACGGCAATGGCGGAGGAAGAATTCAAATCGGATGTTCCGGCCATTCATTCAGTTCCAAAGGAACTCGAGCTTACGGAAGAAGAAAGAATACACATTGAGAGGATAGCTGCACGGGCATCAATGGATAATGTTCCAGTTCAAGAACCAGTCATGGAACCGAAAGAACCGGAACTGACCCAGGAAGAGATTGATCACATTGCATGGGTCCAGAGAATGGCTGAACAGTCTTCATTCGAACAATTGGCTGCACCACCGACTCGACGATCTGTTCCAGAAAGAATGACAACAGTAGATGAACCAGTGATTGCCGCTGAACCATATGAGGAAGAGGACAGATCCAGCGCTACTTCTGGGGCCGATATGGAAAACTCGTTTGATCATGAAGTCACTTACGAACGATCATTACCACTTCTAGAGCCAGTTGAGGAACCAGTAATGGAACCGAAAGAACCGAAAGAACCGGAGCTGGCCCAGGAAGAAATTGATCACATTGCTATGATCCAGAGAATGGCAGAGCAGTCTTCCTTTGAACAGATTGCGCCGAGATCAGAGCCTATGTGCATTCAAGACAAGGTTGAGCATGAACCTTTCTTCACCGAAACTGCTGAACAACAAAACATTGCTGAATGGCATGATATCGCCATGGCAAGGATTATTTCTAAGCAAACCTGTGAAAAACCAATGGTCTCTATTCAACGCAAGTCAGAAGATGTATCGGGTGATACATCGGGTGCTGATTTTGGAACATCTTTTGAAAGAGATGCGATCCATGAACAGACTTCCCCAATTCTCGAATCAGTTGAAGAGCCGACCAAGGAGCAAAAAGAACTGGAGCTCAATAAGAAAGAAATTGATCACATTGCTAAAATCCAGAAAATGGCTGAACAGTCTTCATTTGAACAAACGGCTGCACCACCCACATCTCTTTCAGTTCAGATCATTCCTGTTGATGAACCAAACATCGTCACTGAAGCTTATGAGGATGAAGACAGATCCAGTGCCACGTCAGGAGCAGACTTCCAGCAATCATTCGATCATGAAGTCACTTACGAACGATCATCACCACTTCTTGAACCAGTTGAGGAACCAGTAATGGAACCGAAAGAACCGGAGCTGACTCAGGAAGAGATTGATCACATTGCTCGGATCCAGAAGATGGCAGAGCAATCCTCATTCGAACTACCAACAGCTCCAAATGTCCATGCTGATCGATTCGGATCACAAAATCTCCCAGTGCTTACACAAGAAGAACTTGACCACGTTGCTCTGATTCAGAATCTTGCTGAACAATCATCATTTGAGCAAGGAACTGGTATTCCCAATGCAGAGGCCAGCCGACCCGATAGCTCGCATCAAGACGAAGGACGATCCAGTTCAGTAAGATCTAGTGACTACTTGGATACTGTCACTCCATTGTCCTCGTGCGCGGCGACACCCATTTTGACGAATCCAAAGCTTGTCCAGGAGGAACTTGATCATATTGCTTTAATCCAAAAAATGGCAGAACACTTCAGTTTTGAAGAAAAAGAGACACCGATTCTTACCCAGAAAACTGCATCACATAGTGTCAGTGATAACTTCGTGTCGAGGGGATCAGAGGATTCAAATCAACTATTAAATCAGCAATCACCTGTGTTATCTTCAGTGGATGAAACTGCGACAGCTATGCATTCAGAATTAACAGAAAAAGAGTTGGATCACATTGCTAGAATTCAACAATTGGCAGAACAATCGTCATTCGAAGCTCATCGTGCTCCAGTAGTATTTGATCTCGAATCGACTGGAGGACCATCTGCCCACAAAGAACCATCAGAAGATAAATCGAGTGCAACATCAGTTGCTGGTTTTAATCAAAATACATCTTTCGAATTCGCTTCAGATGAACCAAATCAACCAATAATTACGAAGTATAAGGACGATGCCACCGAAGACCAAAGAGAGTATGAATCTACAGAAGATGACGTCAGATTTTTGGCGACTGAAAAGAGAAACATGAAGAAGGAAATATCTGAAGATAGATCAAGTGCAACATCAGCCGCTGATTCTCATAGATCTTTTGATCTTGAACTGTCTCAAGATAATGATTATTCGCGGGAACCACCAAAAATCCAAGAAGAAGAGCAACTAACACAAGAAGAATTGGATCATATTGCTAGGATTCAAAGAATGGCAGAGGAATCTTCATTTGAAAACGTTAGGCCTGCGGTGAATGTTGAGTTAGGACAGTTTAAAACACAAGAATCGGAACAGAACTCCAGTGCAACTTCTGGAGCTGATATTTCATCGTCATTTGATGTTTCTTCTCCAATTCCACCGGAACCACTCAAGTATCACGTTACAAATGATCAGGAACTAGTGAACCAACCTTCAATTGAAACCTCCAATATTCCGAATCTATTCCCTGTTCCACAAGTATCTGAAGACCACTCAAGCGCTACTTCTGGAGCTGACATCGGAAGATCGTTCGACGCAATATCCCCTCTTCCAATGTCTTCCGAAGACCGAGAAATGGCACTTGATGAATTGGACTACGATGTAATGGTTACTCATATGGCAGAACCAGTTCAAATAGTTACTCGGATAGCAGAATCCTCTACAATCAGACAACCAGTAATTGAACAAAAACCTGAAGATTTTTCGGATGCAACTTCTGGTGCAGACAGTCAACGTTCAGTTTCAATCTCAGAATCTGAAGTCAAGAAGGAGAATGACAGTGGGCTCACAGAAGAAGAACTGAAACATATTGCTGAGGTTTTAAGAAAGGCAGAAGCATCATCAACAGCCAGTGGAATGGTGGAAAGGGATTCTAATCTTCCACCTCTTCGTAGAACTTCTATCACCTATACTTCTCATTTCTCACCATCAGTTATCCGTGATCTGAGATCATCAACCTCGTTCTCTTCGACTCCAGTAACTACTACCGAAATGGAGGAAGAAGGCAAGGCAAAACTGAAGAGGGAACCAAGTACTCAGGTTGTATATACGGACCACTTCCTTCGAGATCTCCAATCAATAAATGCCTCGTTGGAAAAAGGAGAAGGAGATGAAGGAGAAACGACAGAGAAATCAATTCATGATAAAACGAATCCACTTCCAGAAGAAGACGAAATTGTCACAGATATGTACAACTTTGACGTCGGAACATCTCTGCTTGTACAGCAATATGTGATGCAACAATCGACATTCCAAGAAGCATCAGGACTTCATATATCTCCGATTCGGCGAACAATGAGTGCTGCATGCACAGCCGAAAAACATATATCTGATGAAGAGAATATAAAAGAAAGAGAGGTTAAGCACGCCCAGAGCCATGATCAAATTAAGAAGAGAGCGGATGGAGAGCCAAATGTTTATGAACTTCTTGAGCAACACAGCTTCCGTCATACACAACCCCTTCTCTGTAATGTTGATTTCCTTTGGCGTCTCAATTTCGCAGCGAACAGAATGACAGAGGAGATTGCCGAAGAGGTGCGTTTTGGGTTTTTAGGCAGGGAGCCATGCGTTTAACCACCAACTAGGGCAGCAGATGAGCAAATTTGATTACAGGCTGGCAGAGAATTGCGTGCTCACTATCGAAATGTGGCTAACCCACGGGCTAGATATTTCTCCGACGCTTATGACATTGGAACCGACGAGGAAGAAGAGGAAGAGGTCACAGAAACGTATGTTCTTTTTATTTGACACATATTCGTATAGTCATTTGTGTTTACTGTAGGCTGTGAAATTGATGGATCCAATCACTTATCAAAATAGCGAAAGTATTTGGTTTCAATGCAAAAAATGAATGTTTATTTGAAACATTGGAATATCTGAAATTCTGAAATTCTAAACTTCTGAAATTCTGAAATTCTGAAATTCTGAAAGTCAAAAAATCTGAAATTCTGAAATTATGTAAATCTAAATTTCGGAAAATTCTGAAATTCTGAATTTCTGAAAGTTCGAAAATCTAAAATTGGGAAATTCTGAATCTCAAACTCGAAAAATGTGGAATTCCGAAATTCTGCAATTCTGCAATTTAGGAAACCGGATATTCTGAAATTCTGATTCTGAAAACCAAAAAATTCTGAATATCAGAAATTCTGAAATTTCGATAGTCAAAAAATCTGAAATTCAGATATTCAGAAAATCTGCAATTCGATAAATGGGATATTCTAAAGTTCTGAAATTCAGATTCTGAAAGTCTGGAAATCTGATTATCTGAAACTTTGCTGTTCTGAAATTCTGAAATTCTGAAAATTCGTCTGGAAAAATCGAAAAAATCGAAAATTTCCGAGACTATTATAAATATAATGTCTTTACAGATCTCCTGGATTCTCGGTTGAGCCGATGCGCCCTGAAGAACCATCATCCTACGGTCTCTTCTCATTCTTCACTTCATCTAAAAAGAGTATAGTCGATCGTCCCCGATCAGCATTGGCTATGTTCACAAATCCGTCACCCTCTATATCGCCTAGTTTATTGAGAAAAGAATCCGAAGATAGAGGAGATATCTTGAACCTACTCAGAAGGTTTGTTTGAAAAGTTTGTATCAAAACTGTATTTCTATGCTTCAGGTCATCTGGAGCCGATTCGAGAGCATCGAATGACAGTGCAGCTTCTCGACTACCGGACAATGCACTGATTGGATTATCTGACATTGAGAGACAACATATAATGGGAGTGATGGCTCGATCGACAAGGAACACATCTCCAATGACATCGAGAAGGTGTTCGTCGGCACTGCAAATGCTTCCAGAAGTGGATTGTATCTCTGAGGCTGAAAAAGAACACATTCAACATATTCTGGAGAAGGCAGAATCAAAAACGCCGTTCATGATTAATGTTCCAATTAAGAAACAGATTTCATCCAGAACAGAATCAACGAATTCAAGAGTTTCAAGTGAAGGAATCGATGAAGAAGTTGAAATCGAAGATTATAAGAAAACGACAGTTGGAGATCCCATCGTTGAAGTTCCATCAAGAGCAGTGACACCTAGAAACAATTTGAGAGTTGTTCCACCTCCGATTGCTATTTCTCATCCAACACCTCCACATTCTGCAAAAACAGATACTGGATCCAGACACAGCAGTGGATCATCCGCTCATTCACAATTCGGATTTTCTACTCCTTCAATTTCCGGATTCAAATCATTCTTTGACAAAGCAAAAACGGCTACCGAGACATTGGTGAAAGAAATCAAAGATGAAGTAATTATTCCAGAAACAGAGAAAGAAAAACCAGAACCAGAGAAGTTCCAACCAATACAATCAACAGGAGAACTTACAGTTGAAGAACTGGAACATATCAGAAAAATCAATGAAATGGCTCAATTCGATGAACCCGTTCAACCTGTGGCTCCAGTTCAAGAGCGTAGAAAATCAAGTGTTGTCAGTGGATTGAAAAGTATGTTTGGTGTTGGAAAACAAGAAGAACCAGCTGAATTGAGTGAATCAGAAAGGGAACATATAAGAAAGATGTCTCTGATGGCTGAAAAGATGAACGAAGAGATTAAAGTTGAAGATTCCAAGCCAAAACCATCTGGAGGATTCGGATTCAAAAACTTCTTTGGAAAAGCCACACAATCCGTCATGCAAGCGACAGATGCCGTCATCAAAAACGTTCCACATCCGAAACAATCACTTGGTGGATTAACACAAGAAGAGCTGGACCAGATTGCAAACGCTGCTGAAAGTGCTCAACAGGAAGCACGACAAGATGTAACACAGGAGGAATTGGATCATATCGCAAGAATCGCAGCGATGGCAGAAGTTGACTTGAAGCGTCCAATATCCGAATGGGAAGAGCCAGAACTGTCTCAAGCAGAGAAAGATCATATTGCTAAAGTCACAGCAATGGCCGCTGAAGATTTCAATAGACCAATGTTGGATATACAACCGAAACTTATTCTTCCAAATTCTCCAGCCGTCTTCGAAGAACCAGAGTTATCACAAGAAGAAATGAATCACATTGCGAAGATAGCTGCCATGGCCGCTGGAGAATTCTCTCAACCGATGCTTGTTCCAATACCAGATGAAATTGCTCAACCAATAGAAGTACCTGAACTCTCAGAAGAAGAAAAAGAGCATATTGCAAGAATTAATGCAATGGAGGAGGAACAATTCAGTTCAGATGTTCCAGCGATTCGTTCAATTCCAGTCGAACCTGAGCTTACGAAAGAAGAACTAATACATATTGAGAGGATAGCAGCTATGGCTGAAAACGATTTCAATACATTCCATCCTATTCCATCGCAACCTCCAACTACAGCATTCCCCACCACGGTTGTTTCAGCAGAGCCAGAACTCTCCCAAGAAGAAAAGGATCACATCGCTACGATTGCTGCTATGGCATCTGAAGAAGATTTCCATGTAAAGAACGTTGTTCCTCCGATGCCTTCTGAACCAGAACTATCTCAAGAGGAAAAAGATCACATTGCTAGGATTGCTGCTATGGCTGCCGATGAAGATTTCCATACTACTACAGTATCCCACCCGATGCCTTCCTATGAACCAGAACTATCTCAAGAAGAAAAGGATCACATTGCAAGAATTGCGGCTATGGCTGCTGAAGACTGTTATCCTCCACCATTCTCAGCAACCAACCCATTCGTTTCCACGGAACCCGAGTTGACACAGGAAGAACTTGACCACATTGCAAAGATTGCTGAAATGGCTGCAATCGACTTCTCAGTGCCACAGCCAAATGTTCCAATAAAATCAGCTGAACCAGAATTGACACAAGAAGAATTGGATCATATTGCTAGAATATCTGCAATGGCATCATCTGAGTCCATGATTCCTGTAAGAAGACAAGAACCAGAGCTCACTCAAGACGAACTGGACCACATTGCAATGATTACTGCTATGGCGGAGCAAAAGATAAGTGACCCACTTCCTGCCTCCACAAGACCGCTGGCTCCACCTCCTCCATCTCAGCAGCCAGATTTAACCCAAGAAGAGCTCGATCACATTGCACGCATTGAGCAAATGGCTGATATGGATTTCACTACTCCCGCTGCATACTTCAATCCCGAAGAAGAAGAAGAAGAAGAAGAAGAAGAAGAGCCGAAGACGGAAAGTGCATCCGATGCGACTTCAGGTGCTGATCAATTTGACGAACAAGATTCCGGATCAGAAGCTGGCTCCTTCAACGAAGACAACGATGCTCCTCAAGTGCTAACGAGCGGTTCCTCTCCTGATCGAGTTACATCTCCTGCTGCACTTGACACTACTCAAGAGCTCCAACAGAGTCTTATTATGGCACAGAAGGTGAGAAACAAAAAAAGTTGGTTGTTTTGTCTGTGTGCTGTTTTCTCATTCTCAAACGAGCGTCGTTTTTTTCTCATCTGTATACATGTATTTTCACATACACTATACATGTTGCCATGAGAGCCGTCTCGAAGAGAGACTCTGTCATTGAATATGATGCAGGTAGCGTGACCAGCTGCCAGATTTTTGAATTTCGTGCATCCATTTGACTGCTATCCGAGAAACATCTATATACCTTCTCTCTTTTTTAGGTGGTGTCCTCATCTCCTTCAGTGGATTCAATGGCGTCACGGGTGAGCAGTGAATATGACATCAGAAGCATAGCGGAGATCAGGAGAGAGTCAGAATCAGATATTGGAAAGTGGTATGTTGAAGTTTTACATAGCTGCATATAATAAAAGGGAAACTGGATATTTTTTGAAAATCTGAAACAAGGATAGCTGAAATATTTTTATTCCAGGTATGAAGAGCAACTCAGCTTCATGCGACAATCCATTCACGATGAGGAAGAAGATGCAGGACGTGAGTTGCATTCTGTTTTTATAAATCTTATCAGTTCTCCGAAAAATTTCCGACAGTTCAGATTCATTTGACTTTAAAGTTATAACAGGAAAAATTATTATACCATTCTTCCTCTAATATAAGCCCAACCTACTTTGAGCTCTATTACCTTGATTCCTGTGAAAGATATCAATAACTTGTCAACTGATAAATTATTTATCATAATATCATCAACATTTTATCAGTTGACAAAATTTTGATATCTTTCATAGGGATAGAGATAACTGAGCTCAAAGTTAACGGCTTGGGAGGGCCTCTATTTCAGGAAATACGGAAAAAAACGACAACTGTTTAAAACGGATGAAAAAAATCAAATTCTGAAACAGTTTCAAGATAAATATTTGACAAAATTCAATTTCAGAAGAAATACCGACGGACGTTGAAGAGTTTCCATTGGAATATGTCGAAGACCAACTTCAGTTCTTGGATGGTGAGAGTTTGAAATTCTTGAAAACCACCCCCTAAAATATTCATAGCTCCAAAAGAAAAGAATATTAAAAAGAGAAAAACGGGAGAGAGAAAAAACATACTTACAGGTATTGCTGGGGAGAGTTTCCACCACCAACACCAGCCCACGTCTTCTTCGGCTCCGTTTTCCTTCCTAGACACCGTGAGATCGATTGGTGAAGAGTGTTATGGCGGCGACGACGAAAAGAGAAAGAATGGTGGCGCTGTGGAGAAAAACGTGGAGCAGCACCAAGAAGAGGACGAAGAGGAGACGAAGAAGAAGACGAAGAATAGTAGTCGTGAGGCTTTGGGAGATGGATCGGAGACGCAGAGAGGGGAGTCGACACAGCAGACACCCATCGATTCGGTGCTGGGTAGTCGTATGTTGAAGCGACCCAATTTTGGCTTCCTCTCTAATATTGCAAATGATGCTATTAATAAAGTAAGTGGTTTATTTTAATTAAATTTCAGGGATGTTAGTTTTGTGTCCTATGGAGCAGTGTGCGATTTTAATCTTAAAGTGCATAGGGACTTTTTGGGAGGTCCCCTTGGGAATTTCACTATACAATAAAAATAATTGCATTTCAGGGAACAATAATATTCGTGATTTCTTTTCTGATAATATTATGTTTTGGATATCTAACCGTTATGGGAAAATATAGAAATAATCTTGTATCCAGTTATTTGTTTGCAAGTTATCTAAATACTTTAATTTGGGTTTTTTTTTGAACTAATTTAGGAAACCCTGTAAAAAAACTATTGGTTCTAGTGATCTAGGTTCAAGCGGTCTGTTTCAATATTATGAGTTTGGTTTATTAAAATGGATACCGTAAAACTTGTAATAGAAGGGCCCCTAACTTTTAACTTTGAGCCAATTTATCTCGATTCCCGTGAAAGATATCAAAAATGTGTAAACAGACAAAACATTTCTGATATTATGATAGACACTTTATCAGTTGAAAAATTTTTATATCTTTTCAAGAATACATAAATTACAGGTTTTACGGTAACTCCACAAAATGTTCTTCTAACTCATTTCTAAGATAACCATTCTCTCAAAAACCGAGTTGCTTCGTGTATACCAGAAGAAGCTAGTTACCCAAAAAATTCGACTTCTCTCAACAAAAAAAACAAATATCTTGTGCCCTCCCTTTCCTCATCCGTTCTCATCTCAACCCCAACAAACACTATACAACCATTTTTTCTTTTTTCCTTTTCCTCTGGTCACATCCTTACGAATATATACATCTTTTTTCAGAACAACTCATCGTTCAAAAGTCTTTTCTTTTTTTTGCCTTTTTTCTTGTATGTTATGCATAAATGTGCTGCACAAAAATGGGAAACTAGTGATGGGGTTGAAAGCAGTAAAAAAAAAGAAACACTTTACTAGAAGGACCTCCTCCCATGCCTCATTAATTTTTTGGCGAGAAGACATGTGTGCTCAGAGAGCACTCGAGCCACGACACCTAGTCTACCCGTCCTATAATTGCTTTTTTTTTCAGGCAAAGGAAGCGGGCTCGCAAATCCAAGCCGCCGTACCCATCAAGGTAAGTGAACTCCATTTTTCTGTTTGTTTTTCTTTTCCTCTCTTTTTTGAGTTTCCGACCGAATTCAATTATAGTAATTCAATTTCGATCAGAGTGAAAACACACTTCTCCTTTTTCCGTAGCTCATCAAATCCTTTTGATAAAAATTGATGCTGCCATATTTATGGAAAATTTTCAGCCATCAACGTCCACCTCCAACATTGTGAATAACAATGTCTTCTCCAACAGGTAATCAAAAACCTAGCAACTTTGAAATTCTAAAAAATAGCATTTTCAGCAAATCTACAACCTCCCTAGGCACAACTACTGCTGCATCCAAAACTATCCCGTGAGTAATTCAAAACATTCCCAGTATATCAGATTACCACATTTCCAACCTCCATACTCTCTTGCTACTATTCCGTCTCTCCTTTTCTATTCAAAATTAAACTAAAACATCTTTTTACAGATCTCCTCATATCGACATTCCGATGGATGGTCTTTCCGAAGAAGAACGTCGTCAGATTATGTCTGTAATGGCTGCTGCCGACTTCGATGATTCTGTGAATAATGCGAAACCAAGCAGAAGTGTTTCATCGAATATTCCATCAGGAATGGAGGACCTTTCTGAAGAAGAACGACAAAAAATCATGTCCGTTATGGCGAATGCCGAAATGGAAATGGGTCCACCTTTCACAGTTTCTAGTCAATTACCAACTAGATCTCCAAGTGTGATGAGTACAAGTATGATGTCAGAATTACCACCTGGATTGGAAGATTTATCAGAAGAAGAGAGGTTGAAAATAATGTCAGTGATGGCTGAAGCGGATATGCAAGATGTGCGACAACCGATGATGGTATCAAGAGGGCCACCACCAATGCCACACAGGTAGTACCTTCTTTTCTGATATCCCAAAAATTTAATAAAATTCAGCACTTCAATACCACCTGGAATGGAAGGGTTATCAGAAGAAGAACGTCAGAAGATCATGTCTGTAATGGCTAATGCAGAAATGGATGTATCCCAAAGTGTCATTTCTTCAAGACAGCCTAGTAGACCCCCTAGTGTGGCCATTATGCAGGTTCCAACAATTCCATCAATGCCAATTGTTCCTCCTGGACTAGAAGGACTATCAGAAGAAGAACGGCAGAAGATTACGTCAGTTATGGCTGAGGCAGAATTCGAAAACTCCAAAAGTCAAGTACCATCAAGACAACCAAGTCGATCTTCTAGTTTTGCTAGAGTTCCTCAGCCAATTCCAACGGTCTCAACATTCCAAGCAATGCCGATGGTTCCGCCTGGCTTAGAGGATTTATCAGAAGAGGAACGTCAGAAGATCATGTCCGTTATGATGAATGCTGAAGAAGAAGAATCTAGAAGTCAACTTCCATCAAGACAGCCGAGTCGATCACCCAGCTTTGTTAGTATTCAACAGCCAATGTAAGTATTAAAATTGTTGTTTTTTTTTCACTAATTGTTTATTTACAGAATGTCATCTATTCCACCCGGTTTAGAAGATTTGTCAGATGCTGAAAGACAAAAAATCATGTCTGTTATGGCAGAAGCAGAAGTTCAGAATTTGGTTCCCAGTCGATCCCCTAGCAGTTATTCAATGATCCCAGCTCCGGTGGTACCGCCTGGTTTGGATGATTTATCGGAAGCTGAGAAACAAAAAATAATGTCAGTAATGGCAAAAGCAGAGTTTGTTTCACAAATGGTTCCAAGTGTTTCTGCAAGTCAATATTCCAAGCCTCCACCTCCACCAAAAATGGGTCAACCTAACATTTCGATGGGTCTAGAAGATCTCTCAGAAGCTGATCGACAAAAGGTACTTTCGGTTATGGCAGAAGCAGAAAGCGATTCGCTGAAAGGCCCAATCAGATCTCATTCATCCACTCAAATCATTCCACCTGGATTAGAAGATTTATCGGAAGAAGAACGAAGAAAAATAATGTCGGTCATGGCAAATGCCGAAGTAGAAGATACGATTCGACCAACAGAGCAATTTTTGCCACGTGGACATACTGGGTTCGCACCAACTGGAATTGTGAATGAGGATGAATTGTTCGAAAGAGAAAGCAAGCAGAGAGAAGAATCTCCAACCAGAGAATCTGGATATGCCACGTCGACATCATACGAACGAGAGTTAACGATGGTGAGTGTGAAATATAGTGTAATCAGATACTTTTAAGGGAGTAAAAAAAATGGAAGAGACGATTCTCATTTTCTTTAGATTCAGCACCAATTTTTTCTTTTTCTTTTCTCTTCTGCCCTTTTATTTTTCTCGGGAATCTTCGAGTGCATCCTTCCATTTCAGTAGGCTTAATTGAATAATTGAAACATAAATGAGAAGAGATTTGTTGGAAGAAAAAGAAAAGAAGATCTTACCCGTTTTTCCCCTTCATTTTCAACCAATATCCTATTCAGGGCGGCAGCGAAGAGCGAATGGATGAACTACTCGAGGATATTCTTCGAATTCGAGAAGGAGCCAGATCAAGAAGAGATAGTCGAGATGAGGTGTTGCATAGAAGAGAAGAGGATCCAGAAGTTCGTACACCAGAAGAGGTTCCCGCTCCAGCACAGATTGTATCCCCTACACCTCCAATAGAAGGTTTGTGTCTGATGATTTTTTTTATATTAAAATCAATTTTTCAAGTTCCAACAAAGCCATCAGACGATTTCGATTTCACTTATTCTGATTCAAGATTCGCTGATATTGTAAAAATGCAGGAAGAAGAAGAGTGAGTTTCTCTACTAGCTACATTTTTCATTGTTGTTATTCGGATTCTATGAATTATTCCAAACGAAAGTTTTCCCATTCCATAAATCAAGTTAAAGTATTTCCAGAGCCAACTCAATTCAACAAAGACAAGTAGATGAGAAGCCACGTATGTGGGAGACCGTTTTCGACGGCGACGAATCCGAATTGCCCCACCAGGACTTTGTTTTCAACGACTCTACAAAGAAGCCGTCAGAGTTTGATTTCCCAAAGGAGACGGACGAAGTGTTTGAAAATCCCTCCGAGATTCAAAGAATTCGGGTCACTAAAAATCGTGAGTAATTCTGTTTCGCATAGATGTTGTATGCATACAAAGTTTAACTTATTCAGATGACTTAGATATGGATGAAATATATGATAACGTTGTTGCTACAGAGGTTCCTGCTTCGTCTGTTTCTAGACAACCGATTCAAAGCTCTTCGAAATACAAAACAATGCAAAGAACACCTTCAAAACCACCCCCAATAATCAAAATAACAGCTGAAGAGGAAACGAAATCAGATAGTGATGAAGAAAGTTGTTCAGAAGAGGACGATGAATATCCGGATAGAGCTGTTGCTGCTCCTACAGCGCCAGCGCCATCTTATGAAGAAGTAGAGAATGAGAGAATCAGACAAGAGGAACTCGGAAAAGAAGTACTGCAGCAAATTCAGGCATTCGGAGAAGTTGCAAACGATGAGTTTGATGTTCAATGGGCAAGAACGACAGTTGGCCAGACACCGAGCACCTCGACTCAGCCAGTTGTGACGGTTCCAAAGAGAAGTGATCCGATTCCAATTGCACCATCGCAAAGGTCAAAGGAAATCGAAGAAGAACGAATTAGAGCAGAAGCTTTGGAAGAGGAAGAGTTCTATAGACATGGACACAATCCGTTCTTAGAATCTCCAGATGAAGATGAAGTGGTGAGATTTCAGAAGTTTAATTAACCAATAGTTTTTGTTTCTTTTTTCAGTCGATCAACATGGAAGACGTCGAATATGCTGAAATTGCTAAAATGTATGAGTCTGCTAACCAGATGATGCGTCGTCCAGGACCAGTCTACACTATCACTGAAGACGAATCGGAAGACGATGGAACATTGAGCAATTCTGAAAGCCGTATGGTTGCCAGAGAAAAACGATTGACGAATAAAAAGACAGCGGATTCTTTGATGGCCAAATATCATACAATGAAGAAAGTGGAGGCGAAACCAACGACATCTTCTTCAACCACTGCAACTGCCAAGCCTGCCTACGTCATAATGAATCTGTCTGATCCGAAGACGTCAACAAGGACAACAGATTCAAGGACATATTACGAAAGTGCTAACAAGGTTCCACCAGTTGAAATAAAGGATCCATCGAAAGATATTCCACCAGAGATTTCTGCTTCAATTGACAAAACGATGGCAGAAGTAGATGCATTACTCGGACAAGTGTACACCAACGAAAAGGCAAAACCAAATCTACTTTGTTTCGATCAAACCAAATTCCATGTACCGACATCTAGCACAAGTACATCTACTGCCGACGATTTGATCCTTCTGAAGGACGCGAATTCGACGTCTCCATCATTTCTTCTTCCACTTCAATCTTCTGTTTTGGGTAGTCAATTGGATTCTGTTCAAAATGACAACGAGAGAAATGAGCATGAGATTACCTCTCCCAGGTATGCTGGGATAGAATTCGTCATTGGATTCTTCTGGTAGAGAAATAAACTTGTTTTCCGCGGAACCTGGAGTATATTTCCATTCAAAAATAACAAATTTTGTGTGACTCTACATCGTAAAATTGCTCAAAAGTAACAGACGTTATCCCTAGATTTTATTTGCTCTATAAATTAGAATTCTACCAAAATAGACATCGATAAATTAAATCACCACCTTCTCCTCGTCTTCTCTCTCTCTCTCTCCCTATTACATTAATTTGTGTCTGATACAGATTTTCTTAATTTTCAGAGGACTCAAACGCTCCCCTGGAATGCTTCTTCCATCTTCCACGTCCTCCAGTATTTTCCCGATTCCTTCAACAGCTGCAGAATCGGTGGGAGCCACAATTGGAGCCACTACAGCATCCATGTTCGGCGGCGTCAACATTACCGATCCGTCATCAACTCTGGATAAACTGACGAATTCGTATAAATGGCTTCAGAATATTGAGGTACGCTCTATTTTTTTCTTTTCATTTTTAGATCCTACCTTCATTATCCATTCATTGAATGTTGTGTCTTTTTTCTTTCCCTGTGATTGTTCATTTCAGGAATTGAATAACTATGTGATTGAATTTATCTAATTTTCATGTTTCATCTATTCCCTGTATTAGAGTTTTATTGGCAAAAAAGGAAAACATAGTTTTGAATGGGATTGTTTCAGAGTCACAAGAGTTGAAAATAGATTGCGAAGAATATATAAAAATCGAATATAGATTCAATTTCCGAATCAAAGAATCATCTGTTGCGAATCGGAAGCAAGGGTTGTGAGATTGTTTCTCATGCCAAAGAAGAAAAAGAATACGAAGAAAAAGAAGAGGAAGGTCTCCTAGTGTCTTTCGGGGAGAAGAGAAAAGAGTTAGTATGTCTGAGTCTCAAATGCTCTCTTCATCCTTTTCCATCCAGTCTCTCTGTCTCCAAACACCCGGTGCTGCGCGGCTGTGTCCTCTCTCCGCTTCGATCAGTTCGCTCCGCCCCTCCACCGCTTCTGCTCTCGTTTCTCAACGTCGTCTCTTCTAGAATATAGAGCCACGGATAGAATAGTAGTACTTTGCCGCGACGCGGAGAGAGCGGCACCACGCTTACCTACATTTTCTAGTATACTTCCATTTCTCGGATGTTTTATTCGCGGGCCCACTGCTAGAGTCGCCGCTCCCTCTCTTTTCCATATTCCAATGTTCCAAATCTTGTTATTCTAATTTCGGAACACGGTGGGTAGTTTTTTTTTCTTTTTCAAATCTTGAGAAGCTGAGAAGTTGTTAGGCCTTCTTGGTTCTTTTTTCTGAAAATTTAAAATTCTTTGATAAGACGTCACAGGGATATCAGAGTTGATATATTTTGAGACTAGCTTCCAAAAAGTTTGAGGTTAGAATTATCATGCTTTTTAGCAAACCTTTTTTTGAGTTATTTGAAGGAAATTTCAAAGATAAAACTAAACCTGCAATAGAAGAGCCCCACACTGTTTAGTTCAAGCTCAATTATCTCTATTCCAGATATCAGATCAACTGATAAAACATTCCTGATATTATGATAAACAATTTATCAGTTGGCAAATTTTTGATATCTTCGACAGGATCCGAGATAAATTGGCTCAATATTGAAAGCTAGAAATGTCGTTTCTATTACAGGTTTTACTGTATTCCAAATTTTTATAATTTTCTGGATTCTTCAAAATAAAACAAAAAAATTAGCATGCAATCAAGGACCTTTAGTTTTTATGAAGATTCAGCAGGTCAGGAACAGCACAAGAGCAGTTTTGAGTGTTTCAAAATAGTCTCATACAATTTTCAAAGCTCTAAAGGTGGAATCAATATTCTTCTCCTTTTGAATAGAAAAGCATCTGCTGCTTAATTTCCTGTTGTGACAACGGAAGACAAACTTTTTCCCGTTCAATGCTCTCTCTTCCATGTGTGTGTCCATTTCAAAAACGTTTTTAAGAAGACGTTTCCTCTTCCTAGCCGCCTTTTTCCTTTCCTTCTTCTTCTCATCGTTTTGTTCTTTTGGCGCCGCCACTCTCACCAAATGCCTCTCTCAACATAACAGTCGTTGCTTTCGAGCAAAAAAAAAAGAAAAGAGAGTGCTTGGCGAATCGCATAAGAGAAAAGAGAGACCTCCCGAGAGCAGTAGAAAAAGGAAAAAGAAGAGAGAAAGCATGCATACACTTTTTATGGGCTAATCGAAAAAGAGCATCGTGAAGAAAAACGAATAATAGGCAGATATTTTGGAAATGATATATGCAAAGAAAGATATTACGATAGTCTTATCCCCCAGCTGAATTTCATGATGAATGCATCTGGTTAATCCAATTTTCGCTAGCGATCCATCACTTTCGAAATCTAATCGAGAGAAAAACAAAAAGAAAAAAGTTTTCAATTCTTGAGACTCTGATCCAATTCCAAATTCAAAAAACTTTTCGAACAGCCATAAAAACTTTTGACCCATTTCCAGGATGATGGAAATCTCGCCAATAACGAAATGGGTCGCCGAAAACTTCCATCGATCCCACCTAACTCGTCGGCGTTCCCACCGCCAGCTTCGACCTCCATCAATGTCGTCAATCACACATCAATGCCTTCCACGTCTTCTGCAACAGTTCCAACATTTGTGGACGACTACAACGTCACATTACCTTCCGATCCAATAGTCGCTGAATCGTTATTGAAGGGTGGATCTCTGACTAGAAGGCATCATCAGCAGCAACAGCATCAAGCTCCAGTATATATAACATCATCTGCCAGTCGACCTCCATCTGCCGCTGGTAGCAACATTTTCCAAGAGAGTCGACCTACGTCTTCTCTTTCGATGTACCAAAACGATGTTATTTTGTCAAGACCTGGATCAGCTACTAGTAACTACACTACAGCTTCCACCATCAATCCAACGATTCTTGCTGGGGCTTCATATTCTTCCAAGCCTTCAAGCCACATACGACAGCCAGTATCAGTTCGTCCAACTGGAGTACAGACTGGAACATTGACATCCGTTTCCGGCTCTGTTGCGAACACAATTCGATCTTCAATCGGAAGTTCTTCAGTCACTGCCCGAGTTCCTAACACATTGGCTCGTGTTCTGCTGAAAAAGGAATTGAAGGATGTTCTGAATCAAAGAAAGCAACGTCTGGAAGCCACTGAAATCGAAGCAAATCATCGTCATTATAAGGTTCAGAAGATGCTGGTCACTGGACTTCTCCCGGAGAAAACAGATGATGACATTCCAAATGTAGTCAAATGCGATCTTCCTGCCGACCTAGTCAGAGGAGTCCACATTTCTATGCAACCTCCATCACCAGCTGCATCAGCATTCTCTCCAAGAAGATATCATCCAACTCCATCTAAAAAAACTACAGTACTCTCTTCTCAACCGTCTCCATACAAACAACACCTATCGAAGAGTATTGCGTGTCAAGCAGACGAAACTCCACCAGTCAAACCGATGATATCTTTACGAACTCAGTTAGATATGGAAAGAAGACCTCAGCTAATGACCTATGTTGGAAAAAGAAGTGCAGAGACTCAGACGGAAATGACCAATTACGAAACAATTACACCCACGGTTCGTTATGGTTCAATGCCAAGAAGTAGTCGTGAGAGATCTGCATCTCGACGTTATCGCGAGCAACAACAGCAAATCTTCAATCAGATGCCTCAAAATCACAATGATTTGCTGGAGATCACCAAGAAGTACTTCGAAGACTACGATCGTCAACTTCGAGAATTCGGAGAGCGTGCCAGAAGACATTCGCGACGTCGCTTCGATTTCCACGATGACGATGATCAGGATGGAATGAGGAAGAATCAAGTGATGAATGAGTTGGCTCGAAGAAAAGAGAGAATGTGCGCCAGTTGTGAAGTTCTTTCATCTACTGATCCAATTGGAACTGCTCTCAATCCAAATGTTCCAATGTCATCGGACTACAGTAGTCACATTCCTCATTATGGATCTCTTCCCAGAATTGACTATCCACGTGGCACGAGGACAGATGTGCGAGATTTCACCTATCGTCAGCAGCATCTTCCTCAACAACTACCGATGAACTATGCATATAACTATGGATCATTGCCACGAAACTTTGAACGATATACCAGTGGCCTTCCTCCAATCGAAATTGAGAACGAACAGTCGTTTGGAGCACCGCCACGTCATCGATCAAATTTGGGGTACGAGTCGACTTCCATGTTCAATCTATCGGATCCTGCTTATTTGGGATATGACAACATTCCAACGATTCCACAACAACCACGAGTCTACGATCAAATTCCTAGTGGCTATGCTCAGGACACTACCAATCTGAACAATATGAATCAAGGAATCCGTGGAGGCGACATGGTTAGCCAATATGCAAGTTATCTCAATTCTCAATTCCAATCCGGTCTCCAACAATCTGCTCAACTCCCACAGCCGATGATGCCGATCACAAGATACGATGCTCCTATGTCAGATCCATACATGTCTAGTCGATTGCGTCAAGTCGATCCACTGACTCAAGCATACAATCCAAATCCATACCATCATCACATGACTCTGCTGGCTCCAAAACCTGCAACAATGACTCATGTGGCTCCCACCTACAACCAGTTGGCCCAACAGCAACTTGCAATGCAGAACAACCAAATAGATCCCTTGATGATGCCATCCAGAATACCATCTGCTACATCTCAAGCCTATTCTCGAAATGAGATGAACTACGGAAGTCGTCCGCCTCAAAGCACTCTCTTCGAATACGGCAACCAACGACAATATGGTCCATCGGTTTCTGCACCAACTTATGATGTTCCAAATGTGTCGAATCCCACGGATTGGAGAGGATCAATGCATCAAATGGCAATGCCTATGCAACAACAACAACAGCAACAACAGCAACAACAACAGCAACCATATACATTCGATGCTCGTTGGCCAAAGGAAGATGCTCTATCAAGGATGTATGCAACTGCTTCACGAAGACGGGCTCAAGGTGATAGCTCGCCCTCTTTCCTAATCGATGGTCGTTGATTGATTCGCAGTCTTTCCCTGTTCTGAATACGTGTTTCCTTCTTCTTCTTTTTCTTCTATCATTGGTTTCTTCTGCCACTCACACTCACCAAAATGTCTTTTCTTCTTCTAAACACCTTTTTCTTTCACCTATTTTTTTTAATTTTATCACTTTCCTTCGCTCACTTCGTCCCTCATTTTTTTTCTAATTTTATGTTCATAGGTGACAATAAATAAAAAAACCAAATCAAATGAATTGAAAAAGAAAAATAATCTTATCGCGAGAATCTATTTCAGGAAAAGAAAAAGAGTGTACTAAAATCTATACGAGTGTGTTTTCTTATTCCTTTTGAGCACGACGAGGTAAATCGAGACTCGTCCGAGTAGCCGTCTCATTTTCTGAAAGTTTTGACGAGATAGTGGAGGAATTCGAGAGATCGTGATGAGAAGGCGCGTGAATTATTCAAGAAGGTCCTTCTGAAAAGAGAGAAAAAAAGGTGTCTCGAGTTGCAAAGAAGGCGAAGAGGTACTATTGAGCTCACTCGCAAAATCTTTTGATACGAGAGAGAGAGAGAGAGAGAGAGAGAGAGAGAGAGAGAGAGAGAGAGAGAGAGAGAGAGAGCTGGCTATTTTTCTTCTGTTACGGAAATTGAAAATACGGGAGTCAGTGCAAAAGAGGGTTCTAAGAGATAAATGACATTAATTTCCTGAAAAAGTCGGAAAATACAAACATAATATGTCTTCTTGGGGTTTGGTTAGATTTATGAATGCGAAATAGGAAAGTAGGGAATCGTTAGTTTGACTAGCTGACACAAGTAGTAAGCTAGGGAAATCCTCTTTGTGCGTAACTTCGAAAAACTTTCAATCTCTCCCTATCACATCTGTTTAGACTTCAACTAAATTATGTGCTTTTTTGCATTCTCATCCTTTTCTACATTTTCAGTAATTTCCTATTTCTTCTGTTTTCCCCTCCCCTCCTCTTATTAACCTGCGAATCAACGAACATCGGTGCTCTCCTAAAGACACTCAAATTAAAATTTTACATTTGCAGAAACCGCTCTTACCTCATCTTCAAATAAGATAAGCACCGGCTCTCGCAGCTATGCACGTCGCCCTATCCGTCCATCGTCTTATCGTAATCCACAGATGAGCAACTCGATGCCAGATCGCCACATGGCAAGAAGAACTGCTGAAGGGGCTAGATATGATGTGAAAAGGATATTATTGACGAGGAGTTATAAGCATCATAATATCTATAACGGTATAACAATTTTTTTGAAAATTAGTAAAAAATCACGTTGGTTTCAGATCTGGGAGTTCGTGTTGTTGGTGGAAAACGGCAAAAGAACGGAGAGCTGAGTGCATACGTGTCTCAACTTCACAGCACATCTAACAACCAGACGTTAGGACAAATAAAAATAGGTCAGTTAGTTATTCAGTCTTGATCCATTTCGGGAATTTTCCTTCGTTTCTACTCAAGTACTCTTCAATTCGATACATTCAATTTCAATTTCATCTACCCACTTAAAACTAAGAATCCATATTTTTGCTTATTCCAGGCGACGAGGTCGTTGAATGGAACGGCATTCTACTTCGTGGAAAGACGTTTGAAGAGGTGGAACGAATTGTGAATAAGAGCCACGGAGAGATCGAAATGGTCATCCGAACGTAGGTTTTGTTGTTCTCACAGGTAAAGGGGTGCAGCAAAAAAAACTGCTGAATGACAGCTGCAGAGGCACAAATTAGCGATTGACTGCTAATTGGCGGACTGTCGACGGATTAGGGATTTAGAAGCGCAAATCGTTGTAGACAGAACGTCGGCAGGCGGGTGGTCCATTTTTTGGCAGTCCCCCTCGACTTGTGCTATCTGCAAACTTTGACCAGAAACTCAGAAGACAATGTTGAATTTTCAGAGAGAAAAATTCGTCCGGATGCTACGACACGCTTCCTCTGAATCGGAACACTTTGAGAGATGACTTGTCACCTGATCGTGTCCCACCAGTTCCAATGCATCGTATCAATGGAATCAATAATAACAGTGTCCTCCATCATCATACTCTTTCTGACTCTTCATGTCATGGTCATATTCAAGTATCTCTGGGATACGATGGAAATGCTCGTCTGGTGGCAAAAATCATCAGAGCCAGAGGACTGAAGTCTAGAGATCAATCACGAAGTGCTCCAAATCCATTTGTCAAAGTGTATCTTCTACCCGGTAGAAAGTGAGTATTTTACCTTGTAATTAAAATTTAATAAAATTTAATATTTTTCAGAGTATCACACAAAAGAAGAACTCGATTCGTGGACTCATCGTGTGCTCCAGAATGGAATCAAGTACTTGAATACCAAGTTGCTCCACACACTCTAAACACAATGTTCTTGGAATTCACAGTCTGCGACTATCAACGAGATGTCGATGACCTCCCATTGGGAAGTGTTCAGATACCACTAGCAGGTAAAATTATAACATCTCTAGTTTAGATTTCTAAATTTTAAATTTGCAGATAAATCAGCAATTAACACCGGTCCTCGTTGGTATCCTCTTCAAGGATCAACCGATGTTCAAACGGCTCATCAGTATCATTCAATGAATGGAACATCACACGTTCCATCCATTGCCGCTGCTTCTACTTATGCTCCATCTTCAAGTCATCTACATAATCACAATTATTCTGAAGTGCCTCCATCGATATTATACCCGAAAGGAGGTATCAACGCACGTCATCAGGACAAACCAGTCCGGCACGCCACTTTCAACTATAATCCAGGTGAAATGTTTTAGGATTAGGAAAGATTGGTATTCATGGTTTTTCGGAAGAAAAAAATAAGTTGGTCAGGAAAAAACCGGTTCCTACAAATGTTCAGCGAATTCCTTCTGATATCGGAAACACTCTAATAGAAGGTCACAAAATACGTCTACTTTGAGCCTATATACTTCGGTTCCTGTGAGAGATATCAAAAAGTGGTCAACTGACAAAATATTTTATCAGTTGATAACTTCTGAGACCTTTCACAAAGACCGAGAGATATGGCCTCAATGTTGGAAAATTGGCTGATCCTCTATTAGAGTGTTTACGGTAAGTCTATAAAAGGCCGGAATCGGAAAATTGAAATTGACGTTTATTTCAAAATCATAATCTTGATTTTTCAGTTTCACTCGACATAGGATATCCTGCAATTAACTGAAATTTGCTCAACTCTGAAATTGAACCTCACAACAATTCCCGCTCCAATAATTCTTTCATTTTCAAAAAATCCAAAATTCTTTCTCAAAAGACCAAAAGCTCAAAACCCTCTCTTTCATCGTGCCATATTACGTGTTTTCCGGTTACTGCAATAGCTATGGAAATAGGGTAGTAGATATCTATTATTATGTTATTGTTTTTTGAATTTTATAGGATTTTTTGTTGTTTTATGTTGTATTTATCAAATGAAATTTTTAAAAAATTAAAGAATCAATATACAAATACATAACAACAAGAATTGGCAGTTATTTTTTGAAAATCAGATCGCGAAGTAATCCAAGAAACGAGAAATCACTGGAAGTTGTTGTACCACGTACCCCTGGAAATTGAGAAATTACAAATTGAAGTTCAGGCGACTTGTGATACAAAATGAAAAGTGAAAGTGCACTTACAAACCGTATGGACTGCTTGACATGCTGGTGAATCTGTTGTATGGAGAATATGGGAACGGACCACCTCCACCCATCATTGGGCCACCGTATGGAACATCAAATCCTGCACCAGGTGGAGAATATCTGAAAATAATATGTTAGAATCTACCATTAGTGCTTGAATACTCACCTTGGTCTTCCCCAGAATCCCATTGGCTGTGGAATCGGGGCTGGTGCATTTCCCACTCCATCATATGGGGCATCTCCTGTGATTGATTTCAATTCTGCCATTCCACCACCTTTCTGACTTTGGACCATCATAACTCCGGCTGAAATCAAAATCAAAAATGAGTAAAATTGAAACATCCGTTGTGAAAAATCTCACCTGACAAGATTACGAAAAAAATTGAAGCGTATTGCATTTTGAATGAAATGTGTTAGTATTACTCTTATGTTGTGTCCAGTTTGTACTTTCTTTTATATATGGATCTGGGTCTGAAGTGGTTATGGTACTCGGACCGCCCACAACGTCTATCGTCTCCGTCGTTCCCCTCGATTTCAGGTGGTCTTCAAATTCATGAGTCATGCTTTTTGTATGGTTGAAAATTGAAGTCAAAGGGGGAGAAAGGTCAGGAAGTCGAGGTCAGACAAAAGGTCACATGGACAAAGAATCTAAAAAACTGGAAGGAATCCGAATGTGTTGACATAGTTGTGGTTGGATTCTGAAAAGGATCATGAAAAATGTAAAAATAGATCCACAGGCAAAACCCAAAATAAATAACAGACACAATTTTTAATATAATACCAGCAATCTGGTGCGCCTTCGGCGCGAATCAATCTAGTTTCTTACTAATTCGTGGCTCAGCTCCTCAATTATTTTTGAAGGGTCACGAAAATTTATATTAATTTTTCAAGCTTTTCAAAAGTTTACAGACTGACATTGGGACGGATAGACGCCTCTAGCGTTTTATTTATAAGGAAGATCAAAAACATTTTTTCAGTTAACAACTTTTTGATATCTTTCACAGGATCCGAGATAAATTAGATCAAAGTTGAAATTAGGGGTGGCATTCTATTAGAGTGTTTACGGTATCCAAATGTCGTTAAACATGTAGCCGATTCTATATTCAAGATGTCTAACTCAAACAATAACTGTTTCAAAATATGTTTTACGACCCATATTCTTCTCCTTATCTATTCTTTTTATGACCTCTAAATTCTTCTATAAACTGTTGTCAATAGGTTTCAGTTAAGTTGACCAATACATTACACTTGACTTCTCGCTTGACCAATTGATATATCATTGAAGGTCAATTTCAGTCGAAACCTTTTTTTCTCCGCAATTCCCGCCAATTAATTTTCAGTGTAACGATTCGTCATCCCTTCAAATGGTCATTTTGCAGTTAGTATGCAAATTGAAAAAAAAGTGAAATTGTTTGTTGGTGACCAGAAAAAAAAAGAAGAAAAAGAATAATAAAAAGAATAAGAAGGAGGAACCTGAATTTGACGAATACAATTGGCAAATAGAAAAAAGAATGCATTGAAGTTCAGAACAGAAGAAAAATAATGGTATTTTGTGAGATAGTTAGATTTTATGGAAAAGTAAAAAAATTCGATTCAAGAAAAATAAAGATTTATTGCACGATTTTATAAATCTCGCAAAAGAAGTAATTGAATTTGGTTGTTTTTTTTTCGTCTCCTCATATCTATTCAACTACAGAACTGTCATCTCCCGTAGTTCCACCACTATCCAAATCATTAGGAATATCCATTAGTTTTTCCTTCTTTTTATTTGATCGCCTAGTAGCTGCTTTCTGGAATCCGCCCCTGTAAATGAAAATTATTATGATCTTGGAGGATATTTAAAAAATCCGAAGATTAATGTGATGTTCTTACAATGAAGCTTTTCTAGTGGCTGCTTTTAGACTTTGAGCACCCGATGCACCTCCAGAAGAACCTCCAGAAGAACCTCCAGATGAACCTCCAGATGAACCTCCAGAAGCAGAAACATTTCCCATTGCACTACTTCCAAAGGATCCACTGCCACTATCTCCACCGGATGTTCCAGATCCCGAATCAGTTGTTCTCACACTTGTGTCCTTTACTGCTGGCTGCGATTTTCCAATCATTGCTGGTCTAGTCTCAACTGGTGTTGCTTTCGGGGCTTTTTCAGAATGTGCAATTGGCACTTTTGCTGGTTTTGATTTGGATGCCATCAACTCCTTCTTTAGCTGATGAATCTTTTTTTTGTAATACTTTTTATAATGTCTATGATCGCCTCCTTCGTCAAAATCAAGGAAATTGCATCTTCGAAGTTTTGTAATGAATGGGTATAAATTCGAAAGTTTGAAGTTTTCACGATCAGAATATCCTGTCAAGTCAGCAATTCTCATCAGTTTCACTCTGTAATACTAACATAATTTCCGAATCCAAAAAGATCTATTAACTCTTTCCGGTCGCCGCTAACCAGAGAGAATATTCCAGAGACAATGAAGTATAGAATAGGCAGAAGTATTGCCATAACGTAAGGCAGAAAGTCCATAAACCAACTATACGCTTTTTGCTCTAAAATCATATCTTTGAAAACTGATTTAATATCATATATTCTTACTATCACAATGTCTACCAGTGTACTGCTTGAAACAAAGGCATTCTACAAATGAGCCATCTTCTAGTAGCTGACATTTTCCGAAGGCACAAGGATTATGCAGGTTGTATGCTTTTTGATCTCCAGGAGGTTGTGGTTTACAGTCTTGTACTTCTACTCGATGTCTACTAATCAAACTAGTGTTCCCAGGACGCATAGTCGTGCATTCTATGACGGCTCCATCAATTTCTCGAGTTACTGGATTGATATTCAAAGATCTTGCAACCATGTCAAACATTTTTCTGCAATAAGAAGGGAATGTCTATTATCCTGGTACAACAAATTCAGAGCTGTGGACGAGGAAAGCCGGTGACCGTCGTCGAAAGTCTCACAACGACAACTATCGTAACTTTAAAATATTTGTATTTTCCAGATTCATTATCTCCATTTTCGTGCGTTTTCAGTCAATAGCACTATCAAAAAGAACACTATCAAAAATGTTCTTTTCCACAGGGAAAATCGAGAACATCAATACGGAAAAATTAGGTTACAGCAGTTCTTGTTGTGGACCTTCAGCCACATCCAGTTGCGTTTCTCTTCCACAGCTCCCATTTTTCGAACCAGGATAATATTGATATGAGAATACTTACTGTCCGTTTTGTTCTAAAATCGTGTCAGTGCCGTTAGCAAACCGCATCGTCCATACCAAGAGTACCGACTGAAAATATCATACTGAATATACCCTATTCTGATAGTGACCAACTTGATCTATATTTAAATCCTCCAGCTGGACGGCAGAATCACAAGTAAGCTTAGATGGCCATCCAAGTGGTAAATATACTTGTTTGTCGCTTACAACATTCGTCCCCGGTTCGACAACTAAGAAAATGACATTCAGATAAATCTAACCCGAGATTGGTCACCTATTTTATCTTTAGAATTTATCGAAAAGCAGTAAATCACATTTCCTACAACAAGGAACGCCAGCAGGATTGAGACAAAATTTTTGATTTTCATGTCAAATCAATATTTTTATATGTTTGTTAAAATCTATCATATGTTCTCTTGCTCTTATCCACGATTCAATATGTCATCATGTGATGCATCATGACGTGATGTGTCTTTTCGAGGACGCGATTCAAATTCTGACGAGTTCGCGCCAATTTAAATGTGTGAAAGTGCGCTGCGGTGTTTGCACACAGCCGTCGGCGTTCCGAATTTTTGTTCCTCAATGTTCTCAATTTCCAATTTTTCGATTCTTTTTTCAACATCAAACCTCTGTGTAAATCCAAATCTCACTCGTTATCATTAGAAAATCAACTGCGACCTGTATCGCGTTCAATAAAGCCATGTCTTCTCGCTGTCAAGGACGCGAAATTAGATCTGTTTTCAAAGAATCTCAGCCGTCCTAATTTTTGATTTCCTTCCTCGCGATGTCGCCTATTTCCTTTTTGTTCTTCTCAACCGCAGCTAAACGGAGCTATATATGTCTTTCGAACATCGTAAAATTTGATGGATGCATTTTATTGCGTAGCAACCCCTCTGCTCTCCTGCTGCCGCTGCTTCCTCCTCCACTCTGCGCTCACCATCGATTTTGCTTTTGATTTATACGAACGTGCAGTGCTTGCGGTTTCTCAGAGTAATGGTGTGTTCACAGTAGCGCGTGGGCGGTCTTGTTGAACCGTTTTCCCTTTCTGATATATCGAACGACTGTCTCAGAATTTGCGGCTTGAAAATCACTTTCTCCATATTTTCATTTCTTCGCATATAATCTGTAAAACGTATCTTTAATTTCAGACCCGTTAGTTCGAGGGGTGTCTTTTGTCACCACTGTTGTTTGGTTGAAAGTAAATTGTCTGGGTAAAGGATGTCGGACGGAAGTGTTGAGCGAGGAACCAAGCGTGCTGAGGATTCGTTGGCTACCCACCAACTTACCGTTCAATACAAGAGATATTACATCGATGTGAACGAGAACACTCGCGGTCGTTACATCAAGATTGCTGAGGTAAGGAAAAACATGTCACTTCCAGACCAAAAACTTTTATTTTTTCCAAGTTGGGTAACAGCTACAAGAGCCGCATCATTTTGAGCATTCCTGCGGCCAAAGCCGTCGTCAGTGAAGTATCGAAAATGCTTCCTCTACTCGATGAGCCATCTACTGGAGAACACGCTGTAAGTATACCCACCTTTTACTTCCCACAATAGGTCGACAAGTGTTTTCAGCCAAAGGAAAGTGTCACGATCAAATCGGAAACCCTCAACGTCGACGGGCGTAAGTTCTACGTCGATTTGAAGGAGAACGATCGCGGACGCTTCTTGCGCATCGCTCAAATGCCAACGAACCCGCGTCAAACTCGTCAGCAAATCGCTGTGCCAGCTGACGGAATCGCTGAGGTTCATAAAGTTCTCTCGGAGTATCTGACCAAGTTCGGAGAAGGCCATGAGCAGGAGAATACCAACACTCCAAAGATCACTGCTGAGAACAAATCGTTCCTCTTCCACGCCGGAAAGAACGACCGCGGAGAGTTCCTCCGTATCTCGGAGGTACAAATTTTCAATTGAAAGCCAGATGAAACGTTGGTAATTTCAGATCAAGTTGAACAGCGGATACCGCAATGCAATCACTATTCCAATGTCGGCTCTGGCTGACTTCCGCAAGGAGTTGGACAACATCATCGCCACTCAAGGAAAACAGTAATCGAACTTGTTTTCCTTTCAATTTAAAGAAACAGTCGTAATTGCATAACATCCATCAAATTCAAGAATCTCTCATCTCTTATTCTCATAGTCTTTACTGCATTTGCACGTAGAGATTGAACCTATTTCTATTACCACCGTTTATTCTTGTACTTTCTCCACCTACTGTTTCTCGTCTATAATTTATTATGCAAAAATGTTATCACAATCGAATAAACTATTGGGAAAAAATTTTGGAATCTCTAATCTACGCCTCACAAGCCGATATTACGAAACACATTTAGGGTGGGCGGGGTTTCCATGTGAACAACTATTTCATAACTCTTGGTTCCACTTGAATAGGAACACACATCTCCGCCAACTCAGCCACCAATACGTGGAGCCAAGATGTAGAATAAAAGAAAATGTTGACTGTCTCATTGAACTCAGCAAGAATCTTCTCTGAAAAAGTTGTATTCCAAATCTATAATGGGCTTGCTTTTCTCCAAGTTTTCATCCTATTTATTCCCAAACATTGAGTGTCGTACTCTTATGCTCGGTTTGGATGGAGCCGGAAAAACGACGATTCTTTACAAGCTGAAGCTCAATGAGACTGTTAACACAATTCCAACAATTGGTAAGGCTCCTTTCTCAAAATTAGAAACAATACACCAGGTCATTCCAGGTTTCAATGTGGAGACGGTCACTTTTCAGAAGCTCACTCTGACTGTCTGGGACGTTGGAGGTCAGGAAACAATTCGTCCTCTCTGGAAGTATTATTTTCCGAATACAACGGTACTCCTCAGCTTTAATGAGCTTCAAGTTCAGATCCTTTTTTGTAGACTCTTGTTTTCGTGGTCGACAGTTCGGATGTGGAGAGATTTAGCGACGCAAAAGAGGAATTGTTCAGTTTGCTTGCTGAGCAAGAGCTCGCCAATGCTCAATTGCTTGTATTCGCCAACAAACAGGACATGCCAAATGCAAAATCACCAGCGGAACTGACCAACATCCTTGATTTGGGATCTATCAAGAATCGCGAGGTATTGATCTTTTTTAGTTTGTAATTTTATCTTTGTTTGGTTACGGTAGTTTTCATTGTGGGACAATTGACCATGGCCACCTATTGTACCAGAATACTATTAAATATTTTTCAGTGGTTCATCTGCGGAACCAACGCTCATACTGGACAAGGTCTCTACGATGGTTTAATGTGGGTGAAGAAACAAATGAAGGCTTAAACTGTGTTTATTTTTCTTCTTGAGAATTTTAATAAACAAATTTCAATATAACTGAAAAGTTCGTTGAGTTTGTATTGTTAGTCACAGTTCAAAATATATCAGAAACATGATCGACGATTATAGAGTCGGCTAGAATTATTACAGTTGAAATGAATGGAGAACATTCGGGAATCGGCGACAACTGTGTTGATCATTGCTTCATAATCACTTCCAGGTTCAGAACCTTCGCCGCTGCAGAACATCTGGAAAAGTATTAAATGATTACAGATAACGGAAGATACTTGATACCGTTGAGAAAGTTAGCATAAGTGATCTCATACTATCAGTTGAATCGAATGCGGGAAGTGTTTTCTCCTGATGTACATGATGTTCGTTTTGCCATTTCGCGTAAGAATACAAAGTTGTTTTGAATGCATCTGCTAACTCAATAGTTGATAAAAGTTGTGGTTCGATGCTAGGCGATCTTTGTCTATTTGCATCCAGAAAACCACGGAATACACCGTCAAAACATTCTAGTTGGGAACTCTTTTCCAATCCTTGCCAGAAAACTTTAGATATCATTTGAAAAGTGGTTATACCAAGACTTGAATATATTCCATACATTGGAACTTCATCTCCTGGTAGATAGATTGGTGGTTCTATAAACGCAAGTGGAATTACTATTGCTCCGACATTTGAATTGTAAAGCATTGTTGGTTCTGTGATTGGGAATTCTGTGGTATCATCACTGAAGAAAAATACATAAATAATTACAAAACATTGATCTTCTCACCTATCCAAATACGTTCCAATTTGAGACAGAGCGTAGTCTCTTTCCGCTTTTCCAACACGGATACTCGAATCAAAATAATCAGTTTCATTGAGAGATAACTGAGATACTGGCCTCCAAATCAATTCTTCATTTTGAAGTCGTCTCGGAAAACCAACATAGAATCCAAGCCGATTTATGTTGGATAGATATTGTAAAGGAGTACTCCGATGGACAGATAAAAAGTCAATTTTGAGATTTTGAAGAAATTCGACAGTTTTTGAGAGATTCATTGATTGAGACGCTTTGTCGACATACATTTTTCTTGCGATTTCCAGATTGGATATTTGATCCACGCATTCACGCCATCTGCGAATTGAAACGGTGAGGTGATAACCAAATTTAATTGTAGATCGAAGATCACAAGATCTACAGCACCGGTCAATGAGAAAAACAAAAAAGTATATTTCAGTTGATTTTTGGTCATTTCGATCATTTTCAGGAGACTGGAGCACGGCTCTCAAGTTTCCGAGCTGTTTGAAAATTTCGGGGTGTCTTTCAGTAATCCGCAAATAGCTGAAAAACTAAGAATTCGCAAAAAGTTTTGTGAAAGCAAGTTTTTCAATCTAGGGCTGTTTTACACCCTTCTAACTTTTCAAAATGATCGAAAACTTGGCAGCCGAGCTCCACCCATTGACAACGGTAGAAATGGCTGAAAATCAACTGAAAAAAACGTTTTTTATATTTTATTGACCGGTACTGTAGATCTTGTGGTTTTCGGTCTACAATTAAACTTGGATGTAGTTTGGATGTATTTGTGTTGGATGTAGAAACATCCATTTCAGGAGGATTCTCGATTTTTTTCCCACAAAAACTGAAAACTTCGAAAAATTTGCGATTTTTCGAGAGATAAATTTATTTTTTCTTCGATTTTTTGCAAAATTTAAAAAAAATTTGTAGGTTTTCCAGCTATTTTCGAAGAATCTTTTTCGATTTTTCCAGCTTTTTTGTCTGCAATTTAAGGGGTTGGTGTTCTGGATTGAAGATTACTGAAGAATACTGTAGAAAACCTATATTTTGCAACATCCTGTAGTTTTTTGAAAAAAAATTTATCTGCATTTTGACGTGATTGTGTTTGGGAAAAAAACTACGAAATACAAGAGAATCAGCGTCTACAGTAATCTACAGTAATCTTCACGAACACTGTCCCGTCAAATTTCAGACAAAAAAGTCGGAAAAATCGAAAAAGAGTCTTCAAAAATTGCTGAAACCCCTGAACTAAAAAGGTCTAAAAGTTATGTAAAAATCGAAGGAAAATTAATTTTCTCCCTCAAAAAATCTTAAAGAAACCAAAAATTTTTCGAAGTTTTCATTTTTAGCGGGAATTCGAAGTTGCCAGAAATGGACGAAAAAGCGATTTTCGAGTTTTTGCGAATTTTTATTTCACAAAATTTTTGAAAGTTCCTGGTTTTCAGCTATTCGCCGATTCCTAAGAACCACTTATTAAAAATACGTATTTGTATATCCTGCTGAACGGTACTGTACCTATGGAAAGGTACAGTAACAACTCACCCAAACTGGTCTCTGGGTGAATATGAATACTGCTTCAGATTCCAAATTGTCACCGTGAGAAGATAATTGGCGACAGCTTGACGACTGGTTCTGTAATAAATAATAACCAAACTCTTGCTGAAGTTTACACATGCTCACTGAGCGATGATATCCGAAAGTCTTGCAAAATAATCATAATCTTGAATTGACAGCATATCACTTTCGGCCCACTTGTAAATGTTTGATAATTGAGCATCAAAAAATTCTCGAAGATATAATTGAGGAAGTACTTGGAACATGTCACCAATTGTCATATAAGTAGTGTTAGGTGATAGACTAGCAGACTGTCTAGCTGATATGTATAGATCAACCATTAGGCGAGCCACTTCATCCAATTGAGATTGAACGTCTCTTGGATCACGGAGCAAGATATCACGAGCAAATGCACTTAGAAGGTTCTGGAAAACTAGTTGGTACTACAGTAATCCGACTAACCAAAGTACCTGTCTCAAAGACAACTGCAATAATGGTTCGAATTCTGTGGGACTTGGTTTAGCTAGGGCCATCAAGTCTCTCTCAATTGGACCAACAATCGGGTCCAAATTAGGAGGTTTTATCTGAAACTCGCTGGATTTTGTTATATGATTCCAGATTCCTCTCGTAATACCTGTAGAATGAGTTTACTTCTGTCTTGTGGATGTACATCTCTATTATAAACAATTAGATTATAATCTCCAGCATACCAATCCAACATTCCCGAATGTCGTTCCCAACTGAAACATAATATTACTTTTGGAACACTTTTGGTATTGATGAGAGAGAGAATGATTGGACTGTTTGTTCAATAATTAGTCCCCTCTTCTCTTTTCCCCTATCTTGGCCGCTAGATTAACAGCTCTTCGCCACTGACACGTGTGTCAATGTTTGCGATAGAGTGACCAATCTCCGCCGCCTAGAATTGATACTGAGAGGGATACGGTACCTGTAGGAGTCAGCGTCGAAGCTTTGACAATCACGTAACAGAGGACCACAGGGAAAGTTTCTAACAAATATCAGAAGATCTGTAGGGGCATTTTGTGATCTGAAGTCATCTTTTGTGAAATATTCATTTCATTCAACATACCGAACCACAGCATTCATACAAGCTGAATATAAGTTTCTCGAAAGCCTTGCAGATTTTTGAAGTGTTCTAGGATCTTCTTCAGATGACAATAAACCTGAATCATTGTATTTAAGAATCATTAATAATCCAATTACACTCTTACTATGTATTGTTCTCAATGACTCATCTTTCAATTGACTCAAAAAATTCAATTGTTTGTCGGCGGTTTGTGAATGATATTTTTGACAGCTGTGCCGATAAAAGTTTTCACATGGTTCGATGTCATCATCAATAGAAGACGACATACGGAATGCTGGAAAAGTTATAATGCTTTACGAAAATGTTAAAGTTTTTTTTGAATTTATTTCCAGAACTATTCTGAACTAACTGCCATACCATAGCACCTGTACTAGAAGGAACTCCTCACTTTTAACTGTGAGACAGTTTATTCCGGTTCCTGTCAAGGATATGAAAAAGCAGTTCACTGATAAATTGTTTATCATAGTATCAGAATTGTTTTATTCGTTAATACATTTTTGATATCTTGCTTGGAGCCAAAAGAAATTAGCTCAAACTCGACTGTGTGAGGGCCATTCTATTACAGGTTTTACGGTATTACCTATTGTTCACTGATTTCTGAATATATACATAAATATATTACAGAATCAGAACTTCTGTTTTTTGTCTTATTAAAAAAGAGAGTATGGTTCTGTTTTCAAAATCTAAGTTACTCTAAAAATCTTGAAAAAGTCTATTAATATCTTACCAATATCAATACATTGTCTAGAATTGCACACATTTGTTGATTTGGATCCAATTGTTCTAAATCCATCGGTTGTTATCACCCAAACCAAGAACAGAGCAATTGATAACAAAAAGAAGAAAGCACATAAAGCACCAAGCCAAATTGAACACTTCGAACATGTTCTGAAAAACTACATCTCTCGTGTTTACGAAACTACAGTAATCCTCCACCACTGACCGCAAGGGGGAAGAGGCGATCCTTTTTTGCTGACTCTCTTACATGTTTATAGTTGTTTTCTTCGAAAAATAGAAGATAGATAACGTACCCTTTGCGCCTATAGAACGGAGTGATTGGGAAAATGATTCTTCTGTCCGTTGGAGTCTCCAGTTGTTGTTGATTTAATCTGTTTTCTGATTCAGACTTCCTAGGATAGTCTTCTTCTGGTATTATTTCTTCTGGAGACTGTCGAAGAACTTCAACCTCAATTTCCTTGTGCTCCGGTGGAGGTAACTCAATTTCTTGGACTGTTTCTTCTACGTTGCCCTCTTCGTCATCTTAAAAAACTGACATATTCTCAATTTTTCCTATTGCTCAGCTCACTTTCTGAACTAAAACTTTGAATAAGGAACAAAGTAAGAAGTTGAAATAAGGCGGAAGCTTTACGATAAAAACATCGCTTCATTAGAAAAGAGAAAAAGAGAGGAAGGGATAAAATACTCTTTCTTCTTTCCCGATATCCCATTTTGTGACATGTTTACAAAGCGATAACTCACCTCTATCTTCTTGTTCCGGATTCGTTCGAAAACTCGAAGTGGATTCGGGACCGGCGATTGGTGCTGGATGAATCTGTATAGTTGGAGGAGGTGAGAATGGGATTCGAGTTGTCATATGGTACTGAAAATATTAAATGATAGAACCTAGCCACAAGTGAAGTATTGAACCTCTCTGACTTCACGAACGATTGATTCATGAACTTTCCTTCTTGGAGAAAATGACGAATGTGGAGGTGGTGGCGGTGGATTTGGAGAATTTGAGCCAGATTCGATTGGAGGAAGGTCATGATGGGGAGATAGAGGTGGAGATGTCAGGATCGCTATCTAAGAGAAATTTCGAAATACCCAAACTTCAAAAGATCTAAACCTCAAAAGATGGAGTTCTGTTAACTGGAGAGGCAATTCGACGAGGGGATCTGTCCATTTCATTGAAAATGATATTTTGAAATCTGAAATCGAGCAGAAGGTTGTTTCCTGTCTAGGGAAAACGAAAAACCGAATCTGCAAACAAGACTTCCCGATCGAAGACACAAAAAGAGCCCCTCCGCCGTTGACCACCGTTAGGGGCGGCGCTTTGACAAGCCTGTGTCGTGTGCTCCGATGCACTCGCTCCTCAATTTCCTACTGTACATACACAACATATCACATGGAATATTTATTTCAATTTTCCAAAAAATTAATCAAGCAAGCAGGGAGAGATATAGAGAGACACAAAAAAAAGAAACGCATAACTAGTTCATGACAAATTTCAAATAGCCGCCCATTTTGAAAGTTTGTGACTCGTTGATGACGTCATCTTTCTGATTTACGCGAAACTGGCACGAGCGAATCTGGCGAACTCTGAAAATATATATTGTTCGGACCTGGAAAGGTCCGTACAAGACCTGGAAATATTACCTTTTGGAGAACGGCGTTTAGCAAAAGCGAAACGCATTCCAGCGCCCTCGTGAGCCAAGGATTGTGGTCCACTGCGAGCCTCGATGAGAACATCCGCGTCTGGTGCGCTTCTCTTTGCGAATGCAAATGCAAACTTCTTGCGGAGCTCTAAATCCCGAGCGAATCTTTCATTGTTGCTCAGAAGCTCTGAAATGAAAAAATGAATACTCAGGATGATGTAGTACTGTAGCTTATGAGAAACTCTTCTTATGAGACAAACGTAGTTATATTAACATTCAAATACCAACTTACCGGTATCATCATCGGAGTACGGAGAAGCTGCGAAAGCGAAGAATGGAACAAAAAGAAGGACAAGAGCGAAAAGTGTAGCTTGCATGTTTTACCTAAAACAAAAAAAGAGTTCATGATAGATTTCATGATAGAAACCATATAGCTTGAATTCATACTTGTAAAACGGACCCTGCCATAGTTTCTTTTAGAATTAACATTTGTGGGCCAACTAAATTAGATATGAGAAAACTCGACAAGGGTCCGGCCTTTTTTTCAGTCTCCTTCGGTCTCGGTTGTAACTTCGTTCTGTCCATAGACAAGATACAGTTTTTTAGTTAGTATAATTTTGTAATACTCGTTGAGTTTTAAAATATCTAATTTAGTTGGTTCAGAAACGAATCCTAAAAAAATATGGCAGGGCAGGGGAAAGCCCACCATGGGGCCGGTTTACAAATATGCCTAAAATAAGGAACAAAACCCAAAATGAAACCAACTGCTCCGGACGCTGGCATTTATATAGTTTCTCGTTTTCAGTATGACGAAACCAAAGGAAATGTGTCGTGCGACATGAAAGTCGTCTGCTCTTCGCAAAGATTTTTCCCTATTTAGCATCTTTTACAGGAAACCGATTCCAAGTTGTTGACGAAGTCTTGGGGAGAGATAACAAAAAAGAAGTTTGTAGAAGAAGAGAGTGTGCTAGTACCAACGTCAGAATACCCGACTATCCTCATTGGACTTTATTGAGGCGGAGCTTCGCGAAGGTTCTGAAATTTCTTTTTTGGTTCGTAAGAATAGAATAATGACATCATTTTTGGAGAATGAGAACAATGAAAATAAAACGAATGAGAAGAATCAACTGTGAGCACGAAATACAATTCAATCTCGAAGAAGGATTTCGTGGAATTCTTGAACAACCATTCCAAGCACTTTCAAGTTGGGGCCCTTCCCATCACTTACATTCCAAATTCTTCCAAATATAACTGCAATGTTACAGCTACTGACAGGAAGTAAAAGTTAACTAAAATTTTCGAAAATTAATTGTTTAATTTCTCACAATCAGATGAAATAAGTGAAAATTAGGTATCAATAAAAGTTCGGAGCAATTCAATTGAATACATAACCAATGCAAGCTTCCAGTTTCGTAGTTTACATTGTAAAAATCCGTTCGAGATAGATCATGTTGAAATTTGGAGCTAATTAAAATGTTTAGCTAAATTAAAACCATCAAAAAACATTCATAGAACGCCCCCAAACCGTCAACTTTGAGCCAATTTACAGTATTTCCTCTAATAGAAGCCCACCTCTATTTGAATCCCACCCTCTGACGTGCTTAAAAACATAAATAGAAGCGCATCCTCTAACAGAAGTACGTTCAGTTCAGTTAGTGCAGTTTGAACATTTCAGTTCGTCTATTCGGTTATTGTAGACATTTTCTTTCTATTTTAAAAAACTTCTGGTAATTTCAGTTTTTGGTAATTTCATAAAAAGGAGGTTGAAAAATATGTGGAAGCCCATGGGCCTCAATTAGAGGAAATACGGTATCCCAGTTTTCGTGGAAGATATCCAAAAGTGGTCAACTGACAAAATATTTATCCTAATATGGAAAATAGTTGACAGTGGACCACTTTTTGGTATCTTTCATAAAAAATTAGATAAACTGGCTCAATGATGAATGTTAGGGGGTGGCATTCTATTAGAGTGTTTTCGATATATAAACTTCTACAATATGTACTACAATTTATATATTTGGGCAGTGATACAGAACTGTTGTCATATGATGCTCTGTTTCCTATTTTCAGAAACTTTCAGACGAGGTAAAGTTAAGGATTTTGTTCGTCACCTGTTTATTGCATGATCATCTGTCTCCACATGTCCAAAACTACTTTCTTTCTGGTCTATTATGTAATACCTATTTTTCTGACCTGGTTTTCAAATACATCAGAGCTCGGAAAGCACATATCCGGAAGTAAAAATTATTCCTTCTCTTCCTGGATTTTCACATTATCTTTTATGCTCCCTCACAACCGATTATTTCAAAACCTACAATTTCTGCTGGTCATATCATATAAAAGGAGCAGATATGGCACATTTTTCGAATCGTGAAGGTGAAAAAAATGAAGCTTCTCCTTGCTTTTCTCATATTTCTCTCTATAGGCGGGGAGAGTCAGGTTAAGAGCAGGAACAATGTCCAATGTAAGTTTTTAAAAATTCAATAGGAAAATTATTATGAGATTCAGTCAAACGACATGCCATGGAACCTGTAAAAAGAAGGCACTCCTAACTTTTTACTTTGAGCCGATTCTTCTCAGTTCCTGTCAAAGATATGAAAAAATTGTCAACTGATAAATTGTTTATCACATTATCAGCAGAATCTTAGTCAGATTACAATTTTTCGATATCTTTTACAGGGAACGAGATACATCGGCTCAAAACTGATGATTTGGGTGGCGTTCTATAAATGCTTACGGTAGTTGAGCCCAAACTTGACAGTGTGGGGGCTCTTCTATTACAGGTTTTTCGGTAGTCATGTTCTGATTGCTTTTTCCTTTATCGAAACACTGAAAATAGATTCGCTTCTGCAAAACTCCGGGAAAGCGAAATTACTCTTCTTTTCCGCAAAACGAAACAGAAAAAATTCTCTTTCATTCTCAAAAAACGGAAGTTCCTTCCATCACTGCTAAAGATGCACCCAAAGAGTTTTTTTTCAGTGCCTTCTCCATCCGATAATCTTGACTGTAGGAGTATCACATGCTTCGGTTCAGCCAACTGCACAACTATTCCTGTGAGCAACATTTCAAAATGCATCCCTGTTACTCAAAAAGCCCAGAAAATCGAGGATGTGATTCGGCAGAGTCTGAACTTCACTGATGACTACAAAAATTATACACTGGCGAACGGCACATGGAACTTGAATATGACGTCGTCAGATCATTGTATTTCCCTTTTCTCTGTCATTTTACAATTGTCCGTTGTATTTATTGGATAAAGATATACAAAATTGTTGCAATAAGTGAATGTCAATAATGATAAAGTCACATACGGATCAAAAAATTAAGAAATATAGAGGTAGAACATGAGAACGTCATGAGTAATCAGACAATGTGATGTAACAAAATTGAAATTATTTGGAGGATTTCTCCTTCTTCTCACTTGCCCAAATGGCGAGAGTATTGTGGTACTCGTCCTTCAGCTTCTTGGCCTCAACGGTGTACTTCTGAAAGTGAAGAATTTTCCAAGAGTTAGATGACGGGCTGCTTACCTGTTTCTGAGCATCACTGGAACTTTTCCATTGCTCAACTGCCTCCTTCATCTTGTTCTTGTTTTCAGATCCAGTACCGGACAATTTCTCTTTAATGAAAAGTGCATAAGCATTGGGTGGAACAGTTGGACGTCCTTCCTGTTTTCTTTTCTCACGACGTTCCTTCGCTTCGCGTCTCGTGGCGCGGTCTGCCTTCTTTTCTTGAGCCTCATTCACAAGCTTTGTTTGTTCTTCGGTTGAAAGTTTCAAGAAATCCTTCATCCTCTTCTCGTTGTGGCTCTTCGACAACTCCGAATACTTCTATAGTTCGAAAAACAGTGTTGAAATGGTAAACCATTGAACAACTTACATTCTTCTCAGAATCTTTCATAGCCTTCCACTTGACAGACAAATCTTTCACGATTTCCGTATTTTTCTTGTTGGCATCATTTTTGAAATTCTCTTTGATGTACATTGCGTATGGACTGATTTTCAGTCCTGTTGGGAACTTTGTAGCAACTCCGGTTGCAGCAGCAACTTTCGTAGCGAAAAATCTCGTAGAAATCGCAAGCATTCTGAATGAGCAAATCTAGTTTGTCTGTTGCACTCGCACGGTTCAGTTGAGTTTAGGGAACAATTGAAGTAAATGGCCAAAAAAACCAAAAAAAATATGTTTCGAAACAAAACGGAGACAATGAATAAAAATTTTATTGGCGAGATACCCCAGCAAGAAACCCCGAATTTTAAAGCATTAAAGTAAAAATTATAACATTAACAATTTTTTATGTTTAACAGTCGAAACGCTTCCATTATCCCATGCATAGTATCGTTGGCGGTTTTCGGTCTACTTGTTCGAGGCTTCTCCTCTAACCTGTTTTTGAGAAGCCCTTTTCCAATGTTTTCATCGCCTTCTGCGATTTTCTTATTGCCTTTCTTTAAGTTGATGTTCTCGAGACGCTGTGATTCTTCGATTGTACCATTCCAACCACTAACCGCTACTCGTCCTTGTTCAAAAGCGTCTTCCCATTTTACTCGAGACGGACGACACTTCTGTAAATCGTTAAATAACAAAAAGAGCACGAAAAATTAATAAAAAATACCGAAAGTGTATAGTTCTGTAGGAAGAATACTGCGACTGGGTCGTTTTCCCCTCGACCCAGATACATTCTCATTATGTTCACGAAACGTTTGGAGCGTGGCGGTACGAAATTCATCATCATCAAAATGATGGCAAGACGAACTTGTTCAGAGCATTGAGATGCACTTCCTTGAATTGATTCTATGCATCGGAAAGCATCCTCTCTCTTCACTTTTTCAGCATAAACCTCTGAACTTGCGTAAAACATGACAATTTTCTCCAGAAAGTCGATGTCTCCAATACGGGACAAAGCCGTTTCCATAGGAAGAGGAATGTCGCCAGGAAGACCGTCTTAAATTATGAGGATATGTTTACTGAGTAGCTGAAGAGTTGAACTTACAGTGGGTATATCGATCTCTCGATAATTCATCAGTGGTGAAATTTCCTTTGTTTGCAAATGTACATTTAAGAGCGAACATTGTGAGTTCCCTGAAATTCTTGAACTGAAACATTGTTACTCGTAATATCGTCGTTTATAGATTTCGCGGCATGAGATGTATGAAACCAATTAATTGATTTTGGAAAATTACAAAGTTCCTGAAAACCTCCTAACCTTCTGTTTTTCACAATGCACTCTGCGATGAACATGAACAGATTTTCTCGTTTCATATTCATGAATAAACGCATTTGCTGCATGATTTGGTCATCAGTAAACTGCAGCATTGACACTAGAGCACAAAATCCATATTTATCTTCGACTCGTTTCTCCTCTTCAGTTAAACTATTGAACTGCAAAACAGGATATTATAATTTAACTCAAACCAACTTTGGAAATACCCCATCGTAATGACCATATTGAGCTAATATATGAGCTGCAGGACTTTCAAGGAGAGTATTATGATAATCTTCATCATTGTATTCTTTTTGTTCGAACACACTGAGGTTATGATCTTCGAGATATCGTAATGTTTTAACATCTCCGTTGTACGCTGCCATGTTAATTGCGTATAGTTGTTTATCGTGGGTGGTTGTATTGATGATCTCTGATAATTGGAGTCTGTCATCGAATGAGTCCATGTTTGAAAGGCATACTATTCTGCTCAAAGTACTGGGCTGTAAATAAGGCCAAAGTCATTGACAGAAGACTCGGGGAAATTCAGAAATAAAGGTTTCCGTTACCAGAAAACAAAAACATTTACTAAAATCCCCAAAAATCGAAAACTTTTGAAAAAGACCTTGTAAATAACTTACAAGATGGTCATTAGAGGAAGGTTTTTCTTTCGAATGATATGATATCATTGCATCCTGGTATTCGTGTCCGTTCATTTCAAAAAATGCTTCTACCCGACCTATATGAAAACTAATATTATAAAATAGCAATGTGTTCGAACTCGCCATGTTCCAGAGCATTTTCAGCTGCTAGCATACTGTCAGTATAACTCATGTTATAAGACCAGTTTCTCATCAGTTCCTGTAAAATATTGAAATTGCTCGCTAAAGAAAAAAAAATTAAACCTCAAAATGTTCAACGCAGTCGACGAAATCAGAAATTTTTTTTTGCATTTCGAATTCTTTCATGATGTGCATCTCACGCTTCTGGACATACCCCTCTTCCTTCGAGCATGTGTTTTTGACGAACTGAAAAAAAGTGGAAATTGTTATGTTCAATGTTTTTACTTATGTTCTTACAGTTAAAATATTGCTTGTTTCGGTGGTTAAATACCGTATTTAAAATGTTTAACGCAGTAGTTTTGAGTAATCACACCAAGAGATATGAGCTCGCTTGAATGATTGCAAATCACTGATAAACTAGAAATTTTCAATCAAATAGCGAGAGATTTCGAAACTTGGAAAATTTGCTCATGGAATACCGCATAATTTTGTTGAGAATTTGAGTCGAATCACAAGAAAATCACAAACCGTCTCATTCGATACAGCTGCAGCCAAATGCAACGGCGTTTTGTATCTAACTCTGATCGGAATATGAATTTTGCAAATACATTGTTGCGTGCAGTTGCCATTCGAATCAATTCTTTTGACATACTCTCTGTAGAACATAGTTTCGTCAGAGAGAAGGATAGCTCTCACAGCCGGTTCATTATACGACACCTTCGCCAGTGGTTCATCCAGGGAAGGTAAAGTTTTCTCTTCTTCGAGCGAAATGAACTGTAATATCGAAGTCATCGCATCCAATTCCTTTTCTGTTTTTGTTCCTTTGAGGACTTCCTGCAAAAAAAAAATCAATTAGGTCACCTCATATTTAAATGTGAATCAGGCTTTATCGGAGAAATTTTCGGAAAATCTAATATCTGAACTATTCTCCGACTTCGACCAAGCCTAGATATGACATACCTCTATTGGCTCAGTTTCGTAAAACCTACCAACAACTGCTAAAAAGTTATTGGTAGATAAATCGGTCTCAAATCCAACATCTTCGTCGTCATGTGATCGTGCATCATGCCATGTATTCTGATACTCATCATAATCCATATCACTGTTTGATCCTGGTAGATTTGAAAGGATCTCCACTTCAGGTTTTTCGTCATCATCCATCAACAAGTGATCAAAAAATGCCATCGACTCCTTTTCAGTGGCAGCTTCAGCCAATTTCTTCTCAATTGGTCCTTCAAGTTTTCTCAACCTATTTATGAACCTTCCATTGCTCCTATCCGCCTGCTCTTGTTCTTTTCGAAGTTTGGGCAATCTAAATATCAGTTATGAAGAAGGACAAGAAAAGGAGTAAATGGCTACCTTAATTTCACCATGGATTCCACTGTACGTATAACGGATCCTTGAACATCATAATTATGGTATTTCTGTAAAAAACAACTGAAAAATGACAGAGTTTTCATTGTGTTGAAAACACAGTAACTCTTCTGGTTCCCGAACCAGATCACTATTTACCGTAAAACCTGTATTAGAAGGGCTCCTGAAATTGAAGGGACCCTCTAATTGGGAAAATACTCATTAGCTTGATGATCTTTTGCTAAATGCTCAATTGCTAATTATGCTCATAAGCTAAACTCGCTCATTTGCTAAAATAGTCTCACTTGCTAAATTCCATTTGCTAAATAGAGGACTTGTTCAAATTGCAGGCTTATGCTGAAACTCCTTACTGGAAAACAGGCGTTTTAGCCTAAGCCTTAAATACAAAACAAAAACAGGAATATTCTGAAAAAAGTTCAGTCATAAAGTACTGAAATTCCCAAATAACAGAAAAATTTCCACTTTTTCATTTTTAGCAAATGATCAAAATTTAGCAAATGAAATTTAGCAAGTGAGACTATTTTAGCAAATGAGCGAGTTTAGCTTATGAGCATATTTAGCAAGTGAGCATTTAGCACAAGATCATCAAGCTAATGAGTATTTGCCCTCTAATTGAAGTGCCTCTTTGACTATCCCCTTTGATTTTCGGCCGTTTTTTTTGTTGTTTTGATTGAATCGTTGTCAAATTAAAGAAAAAACTGGCACCTGACAATGAGAATTTGAATGCCGTCGCTATATCACTGATTTTTTTACAATTGCTAGGAGTTTACAATTTGAGCACAATTTGAACTGGGAGTTTATAATTCGCTGGGAGTTTACAATTTGAAAAAATTCTAGAAATTCCAGCGATCAAAATGTTACCAAGAAACCTGAATTTTATGCAGAAAATTGGACTACATTGAAAGAAAAATTTTGTTTAATACAATATGGGATTTAAGGGCGGGACCTCGTAAATCGGTACGAACGGCGCCCGCAAAACTCTCAGATGCCAGTTTTTTTTATTTGACAATATGAGAAATTTTGTTCTTTATAAAGAAATTTTAACGGATTCTAAGTAGAAAAACGAAATATTCACTGAAATATGATGTCACTCCAATAGAAGTTCCATTCTCAGCGACCACACGAAAAATACAAGTGCCCCCTCTAATTGAACGGCCCCTCTAATTGAAGTGCCTCCCTAGGGGCTCCACGAAAAATAGAAGGGCTGACCCTTCTAATACAGGTTTTACGGTCAGTTTAAAATTCATGTGAACGTCCTATCGACGGTCTCTTTTTTAGGCACCTCATAATCCGAGATAAATTTCATGAAGAGAGCATTTATATATTATTAAACCAAACTTTATTATAAAAATTGTTTTACAACCAAAAATGTCCAGAACGCATTTTGGGTGTTCCAAGTTCCGAGGTTGTTACACTCGCAGTAGCCCATGTCCGTATTCTGACGATGAAGATAAACACGGTTTATTAGGCTCACTATCCTCGGTTTTGTTTTTATAATGAGCTGTTTGCTGTTTGCACCTTTTCATTGTTTTCCCGGAATTTAATCTGGCAGATTAAAACAGCATTTTTTTTTCCAACTGGACAGTCTTTAAAAAGTCGCTCGAAATTCAAAACAGGCATGTTTTTGCACAAAGTACGAGTGCTTTCAAAGAATAGAATCGCATCAGACAGGTCATCACCGTAGTATCACTTGATTCCAGCTGCATAGCTTGGTCGAATGAATTCTATAAGTGTTAATCAATGTAGATCCCCGCTCGCCTCAGCTGAATTCTTCAACCCGTTGTCCTTTCAAGTTCTAGAATTATCTGGTTCGTTCGTATTTCCGGTCATATTATCGAAAATTGATGTTGACCGTTATTTTCATTGTTCAGCAAGGATGGGTAGACACGACACAGTTCGAGGGCTATAAACTAAACTGGAGATACTTGAGAGACGAGGAGATGACAGCCAGGGATGGCGTAACATTATCACACCCATTTTCTGTACGTCTCTCTTAATTCTCCAATTCTTTTCATGTGATTCTGACAATTAGGAAAATGCATAGAGAAGAAACTACGACAAAAAACATAGTGACTTCGTTGACGGGGGACTGATTTGGAGACGCAGACGATGGATTCTCCTATGTCAAAGGTGGGATGAGAACCAGAAGTGAGACGTTGAAAGGTCTAAACGGTCTGTGCAGTCACCGTTTGTTCATCTGTCGTTTTGCACTTATCAATGCCTCATACTCCACCGCCTAATAAGAAATTGAGCAGGGCTACGAGCCTCGATTCCCCACCCGAGAAGACAATATTCCGAATAGGTGAGTTCGTTAGAATTAGCAAAGCTGCTTCAGAGAAGACAGCAAAATATGAAAAAAAATCTTGTAGTTTTTTTTACTTCTGTGGTATTCAAATCATCAATCGCTTCAAAATACTCTCTCATTCAATGAAATTCAATTCACTTTCTTGTATAAACAGTTCCAGTCGGTTTAGCGGATAAATGACGACTCGCTCAAGAAAATTTGATTTTATTCAAGTGAAAAGCTACAGTATTTAGATAGGAACTTTCGGGGGAAAAAATGAAATTCCAGCCCACACATTTACTAAAGAATACTCTACCTATAACTATGAACGATAGCCTATTATGGCATGAGTGAACTCTATTTGCCCTTTCTGCATCAGAAAATTGTTCTTTACTTTCAGACACCGTCGACCTTGACCTGCCTTCGACTACAAATACATCTAGTTCAACGGCAGCAATAGATGAACAGAGTCCAGATGATGAACATTCTGCTCCTTCCGTTTTGTTCCCATCGATGAGGTTGATGCTAGCCGCAATGCTATGCTGCTGTTTCATCACCCTATCAATCTCGTCGTCGAATTTGGCTGTTGCACTCATATGTATGACTTCTTGCCCGGTTCATGGTTATGGAGGAACACTGGAATGGCAATCCCAACAAGAAGGCCTGGTTCTTGCTGCTCAAAATGCGGGTTCCTTAGTAATGATAGTGACCGGAATGTGGGCTGACAGGTTGAATGGGAAGTGGATGGTGTTTGTAGGATTGTTTCTCTGTTGTATCGGAAATCTTATGCTTCCCCTGCTTGCTTCTGAATCTTTCTGGTTCGCCGTTTTGGCAAGAGTTTCCGTTGGCGCTAGTGATGCGTGTTTGATGCCTGCTGTCAATTCTCTTATAACACGGTAATCAGAAATCTCATTAAATGTCAATTATCCTATACCACCAATTATTTAGATGGTTTCCGCAAGCAGAACGACCGGCTGCAATCGGTCTCATTTCTGGAGGTCGTCAAATTGGAACCCTTTTTATTCTTCCGACAGCCGGATATTTGTGCACTCGTAAAGATATTCTTGATGGATGGCCAGCCATTTTTTATCTTTCGGCGACGATTTCAGTACTTGTCACAGTGTTCTGGATACCGTTTGGCGCAGATAAACCCGCGAAGCAAATGTGCATTTCAAGTAGAGAAAAGGAATTCATTGAAACCAGAATAGCATGTGAATCTATAGGAAAGAGAACTGACAGAACGAGACGAGTGCCGTAGGGGATTTTTTTTGATGTTGAATGAAACTCATATCATACTTTCAGATATGGTGCAATGTTCCGCTCGAAGCCTCTCTGGGCATGTATTTTTGCACTGATCTGCCATGAATACCCATTAGTCATTATGCTACAGTTTTTGCCTAATTATATGAGAGACGTTCTTGAGTTTGCACCGACTAAGAATGGAATCATTGCGGCCCTCCCGATTCTATGCTTATTCCTCTCGAAAACATTCTCGTCATCTCTTTCGTCATATCTGACTACAAAGCTGAACTTCGACAAAACTTTTGTTTGCAAGGTTTGATGAGAGAAATCACTACGGTTAAGAGATTCAAAATTTAGTGTTTCAACGCAGTAGCTTCAGCTGGACTTGCGATTTGCATTTTTCTCGTTCCATATTTCAACAAGGAAAGCGCATTTCTCGCAGTTTTCTGCTTGTGCGGTGCTATGATATTTGCTGGATTGCACACTCCGGGAGTGATTACAGCAATGGTTCAAATAGCTCCAGCGTTTTCAGGCATCATAACGGGTTGGTCATTCTTCGCTGTGGCCTGGTTTTCGATAGGAAACAAGATTCTCACAAAATACATTGTTCAGTCAGGTATATCTATACTAAAATAAACGATAAGCGCCCAATCGAATTTCAAATTTTAGGTTCTGTTTCTGAGTGGGGTATGGTTTTCCGAGTGTCCGCTCTAGTCGCAGCACTTCCCGTTATTGTGTTCACTGCATGGGGATCTGCTGATCGAGAAGTAAGTGAGGACGGGGAATTACGATTATAATGAAACTGATTTAGTGGTGGGCTGCCCCTTCTTCGAAATGCTCTGTAGCATCTTTTCACCGTCCATCTATCAGAGATAGAAGTAGAGAGGTTTCTCGAACGCAGTAATTTTCACAAGCCACACATGAAACTTTCAGATCTCTCGAGCTACTTCGTCAACTTCTCTTGGTCAACAATCGCGTGTTTCATCGACGAGATAAACTTTTTAATGCTGACAGAAACTCACTTTTTCATCCGCATCATCCATTTTCCGATGTATTTAATGTTCCAATTGTTGAGATTTTGCTGAAAAGATCTCAAATAAATTTATTTTCTCCAGTCATCTTGTTTGAATTCAATTTCAGAGATTATAAACAGAAAAAAGCAACTAAATAGAAAGCAATTAGTAGAGACACTCAACAGGGATCTTCGGAATGTGGAAAATTCCGGAATATAAAGTCCGATTCAGAAATTTTCGGAATTTTTCAACTTTAAAAATGAAAATTCCACTTTCCAGTCACAAAAGCGCAAAAAGTTGACAAACTGGTTTTGAAAACGCAAAATACCATTAAGAGATTCCGCTCAAAACCCACACGCAAACTTTCCGCATGCGCCTTGAACATACAGTAGTCCTTATTCAGAAAAACATAGTCGGAAAAATTTTGACCGCAATTTGATTCAGAAAAAAACGCTTCGAAAATATTCCGATCGGAATTTTTTTCATTCCGAAAATTCCGCTCCGAACATCTATAGACCGAAACTTCGAAAAACAGCTATTTAGTTATTTAAGAGTCGAACATAAATTCATTTTTCTCGCCCTTTCATTTGAAGTCAGCAGAAAAAAAAACCAAAACAAATTTTGTGCGCCCGAGCGCGTTTGCCTCAAAGTTTTTTGTACATTGTACACGATCATGAGAAAAAGTATGTGCAGATTGCAAAAAGGTTTCTTTAATTTTAAAAGAATTTATCCTGGAGAAAAGGAGTCCATGAGAAAGATTTTATTCGGAAAAACACATTTAAAAAATCACTTTCATCGCTATTTAAATAATACAAATATTTAACATTCTTTAAAATCAAGAAATATAAATGTGACTAAATTATTTTATCAATAAAAATGTATAATAGTTGACATTTAGTGTTAATTCTCATTTGTGCTTCCTGATGGCATTGATGGTATTCATAATAACGTCGAATAGCCGTAACACCTAGAATTAGCGAAGAATGGGCGAATAAACTATACGCTTGGCATAGACAAGTTGAGTCGACAGATAAACAACTTTATTTAAAAACTTTATTCATAATTTCGTAGTCTTATCTTTTATTTTTCTGTCTGATTGAACATGTTTTCTTAAATTGAAAGTGCTGAGTACTTGCAATTAGTCTCAAGAAACAATACTAAAAATAGAATTCCCAAACTGACAAATTCTCAAATTCAGAAGCTGACAAATTCGAAAATCCCAAGTTTCGCTCGATCTCGACTACTGTATCCCGTGGTTTTTGTTCGATACCCCCGGACGGATAGCGAGCAGCTCTTTTTTCCACCCACCCCACGGTGCTTTTTTCAGGACGTAAAGTAAATTCTCTCTAACGCGAATACCGTAGTTAAGCGCGTTGAGTATCGACGTGCATGCTTTAAACTGAACTGCTTGAGTCGCTACGCAAGGCGCGAATTCAAAATTATGTTTTAAAACGTTCCGGAAAAAACACCGTGCCGCCCAAATGGAAAACCTAATGAGAATGTTTATGAAATTCCCGTCAGAAGTTTATTTTTCTAAGAAGTAGTTCAACAGTAGGTCGGAAAACATAAACAAAAACCAATGAAAGCACAATTCAAGGACAGTCTTTATAGCAAAGAAAGATCAACGGCTACTATTCTCTTTGCTCGTTTTCCGATGAACTTTCTTGTTACGACTGGAATGAACTACTGACTTTGCTTCTCCTTCTCCTGCTTTTGGTTTGTATTCTTCAGTTGGCTTGGTGTTGAAAGGTGCCAGAACCACTCCAACATTTTTGTGCCAATCGGAAGCTTGTTTGGAGAATCTTAAAATTAAAAAAAAACATGAACTTAAATAGTTATTCGTCGTTATTTACTGGATTACACACAATGCATGACTTTCTTTCTTGACCGTGATCTTGTTTAGGATAACCATCATCTTTGACTTTGCATCGTCCTTTGTTTTTTCCACAGATAACCCAGAAGCACTCGGTTCCATTGATCCCGGCCGAATGGATTTGTTTCCATTAGCGTTGTTCTCAAACTTCTCCAGTGCGTTTTGATAGACATACTTGGCCTTTGCAAACTCCCAATACTCATCCGAAATAAATTTGGTAAGAGGTTTCAGTGTTTCCAGTTGCATACGAACATATTTTTCCTGCTCATCTGCCAATTTCTTTGTTGCTTTCACTATTGGATCCAATGAATCGAGTTTGAGTTCTTTCAAACCATGTTTTTGAATACTCTCGTAAACTGCAAGATAATCCGAACAGTGTTGATAACCAGGGTCTACAGGAATTTTCGAGGGAATCGAAGAGGTTGCGAGCTGGAATCATTCAGTTAAAAATCTTCTAATTTTCGAATAGTCTTACCGAATCAGCGGAAGCTTTACTTTCAACCAGAAGAAGCATAAGTGCAGAATGAAGTTTATCTGCCGAGTCCTTGTAGTGATCCATATTTTTGCAATTTGCCCGAATATCATCTTCATAGTGCAGTTTCTTCTTTTTCTTCTTCAACAATGATATTCCTTTGTTGTGAACAGTGCCATTGATTCCATAAAATCCCTTCTGGAATCCTCCATCGTCAGCTGAACTTTTTGGTCCTCTTGAACTTCTTGTACTGTACGACGACGCCATCGTGTTGTCAAATTTTACAGTTTTCTCCGGAGCTGTATAGTGAAATGATATGAAAGGAGATGCCAGAAATTGTGATCTTTCCTTGTCGTATTTCAACGCAGAGTGTGACGCGTGGATTACGCGAGTTATGGTTGTCCAATGGATTTGACCCACATGAGACGTGTTTCATTAGTATCAGACTCTTGTAACCATATTAGCCCGATTCTTGGAAAGTTCCAACGAAAAAATGTATTGTCATATAGGCATAAAATATTGCTTTCTGGTTGGTTTCAAAACATAACGTTCAAGCCGGTTTTCCAAGGGGTCCAATTGTCCGTCAACAGTCCGGCGACGGCCAATCGGTTCTTCTTCGGCTGCCAACTAGCAGTCACTCGCCAGTTTACGCCTCTTCAGCTTCCATTCAGCGGTTTTTCAGCAATGTTCCTTTACCTGTGATATAAACAATATTTTGTGGGATCGTCTTATAACATTATCTTCATTCAATCTTTCCAATCAGAATAGAGCCAGTGGCCTTTGTAAAGCGAATATGAGAGATTTTCCGGAAATTTCTAAACGGTCCAGGCAGAATAAAACTAATCAGGGCTTCATTAGAATCTGGTCAATTTTTTTTTTGGATTACTGTAACCAGAATCTTACCAGATTTAATAAAAACAACTTTGTTCAAGTTTTAAGAAAATCTTAATGTCAAATATCGTATTTTCTGAATATTCCATGTTTTGTGTCAGAATCCTTGCTCATCCAACTCATTCTCCGTTCTTCTTTCTCTTCGTACGCCACCCATATTTCATCCAATTTCCGGACACGGCGACCTTTTTTGTCCCAATCGTTTGTCGTGTCCGTCGTTCTTCTTTCTATTCTTCTCGTTTCTCAGTCGTTCGTTTTTGTCTCAAGCTCCAAAAATTCTTTTGGCTTTATTCTTGTGTTCAAGGTTTGCACGAATTGGAGACATTGACTCCAGAAGCAGTTAGCTCGAGGGGGTTAAATTAATCAAAGTTTTCGAACATAAAAACAGAAACTCATTTCCGCTGAGACCACCCACATGCGATTCAGATACTGCATTCGGCTTCACTATACTTTCTATGAATTTGCTTGTTTTCTCCATCTCTGTGCTGATTATTTTTCTGTTTTTCAGAATTGCAGGCTAATCCTCTTAAAATTTCTATGTAGGAAAAGTATTCAATATGAATTCGGGCGTATCCCTACTCAAATACCTGAAACAGGACCCTCTCTTCTTTTCAATATTCTTCCATTTCTGTTTGCCTTTCCATTTTAAGAGCACAAAAAGAGTCGCCAAGTATTGGAGGAGAAACAGAGCCTCCTGACATTCGAGAGTTTTTTGTATCCGAGCGAGAGCAAAGAGAAGAATAACTCAATTCGATTTTGAAGGCGACGAAGTGAGAAGAGTCTCTTCTAACTCAAAAAAGAAGAAGTTACATACCAAAGCGTTGATTGTAGCCTACTATTTTAAGATTCTAGATTTGTCTAGAACATACTCTTCAACTGATTTTCGTTTTCATTGGTTCGAAACTTCATACAAAATAGCTTTAAAATTTAAAAAATTACAACAACAAAAAAATTATCTTATACGTCGGGCATTCTGAAATGTACAAGGAATCATTCAGAATCCGTTCACAATATACGGCAAACATAGAAGTTCTCATTTCCTACAGTGGTCGTCGCCGAAGGTCCCACAACAGCAAGTACCGTAACCGAAAAATTGTGTTGTTTTCCGAATGTATTTTCTCGATTTTCGCTGCTTTTCGTCGAGTTTTTTATTATTTATACCAAAAAATGTGACACAGAAAATTTTTTGATCGCGAAAAATTGACTGGAAACGCTCGAAAATCGAGAAAAGGAATCCAGAAAATACAAATATTTTTAGGTTACTGTAGTTGTCGTTGTAGGAACTTCGACCATGGCCACCGTAGTTTCTCTTCCATAATTCCTATTTCTGGAACAATAAAACTGACGCTATCGGAGTATACTCGTTATGGGTTCCCATAAGTTTCTTTCCTAGGCTCATCTGAAAAACACGAAAAGTAGTGAACTCAATTAGTAATCGTCGCCCGTCCTCACTTTCCATTTCACATTTGACTTTTATGGAGTAAAAGCCATTGTCTTTGTTAGCTCCCGTTGTTGTCTCCTAGTGTACTACTTCTTCTTCCTTTTTTCCACTCAACTCTAGTCAGTCCATTCATTCCTTTCATCCCACCCCTTGCCATCTCGATCAGAAACGTTTTTTTTTGTTCGTCGGAGCACGGGCCCGTTAGAACGATTGGCTTTGTTGTTAGTCGCTTTTTTGTGTGTATGTGAGAGTGCCCTCGGGGAAAAGGTGCATGATGACGGAGCCGTTTTTTCAACATCTTCCAAAGGAATTTCGTGATTTTTTCATGAGTTTTGCCCCACTTTCAACGTATGTATGTGAGAAACTGAATGAAATCGTTGAGTGTTCACGTAGGATCGGTCAATCTTCTCAAGTTGGAAGAGGAGACCTAATTGTAAGAGAGGATCTGCTACCAGAAATCGTACCGATTTAAGAAATCAAATTCCCATTCTGACTTCAAAAAGTAGTTCTTTTGGAATTTGACAACTCCCACTATTCAATTTAGCTCCCCATCGTACAACTAGTAGTATAGCCAGATGCATAATCAGAACACTACAACATGAAACTCTAATCTCAACGGCTGGCGTCACCTGAAGTCAAATTCAGCTGACCGGCCCTTGATAATCAAAGTTGAAACCTATGATGACTGATAGTAGTAGTCCCTGTATGCCTATATGACCTATTTTTAACTATAAGTACAATACATTCTGATGTCAGATAAAGTTTTCTGTTATGGTTTAGTTTTCTCAGGAGCTGTTCTGCTGAATATGACATCAAATGGTACAACCCATTCAGATTTAGATTTGAGTACCGTGATCTGGTATTCTGAGCAAAGCTGGCTATACTTTTTTGTTGTAAATAACGCTCATAGAACTCACAGGTAAGGCGGGGTTGCTGAAAAGCGTACAAACGGTGACTGAAAATCTGAAAGTGTGTTAAGATTTGAGTATTTAAGCAAATGGGGAAACATTTGTAACAATTAAGGTCCATTTACTCATGACTACCTTTGATATTGCTTGGCACAATTTTTTTTTCAATTTGCTTGAATACGCAAGTTATAGACCACTTTTACATATTCTTCGTTTGTACGCCTTTAGATCTTCAGCCATCGTTTGTATGCCTTTCGGCAACTAAGCCTTACCTGTGCTATTTACATTGAGACGTTTGAGTTATACGATTATGATTTTGAGCATTGTTTCTTTTAGTAGGAAAGATTGGATCCCAGTCGCCAAATCGTATTGAACGGTACTGTAGATCCCATTTTAAAATATCAAGGTTTTTTAACCAGTCTTGGCTAGAACACCTTTGGCGCTATCACATGCTTTTTCTTTTTTTTATTAAAAAAAAAGATCCCACTTAAAGAAGTTCATACATGTTTGAAGAATATGCTAGACATTTAAACCCCATTTCATAAGACTCTGAACGTTTTTCGGGCACAGTTATTCTGTGCCCGTTTTCTGGAATATTCTATGAGAACTTTCTTTTTACTATGTTTCTGTGGTCATTCAGTATGCTCTACCAGCAATCTGATCTTCTCAAAGTCCTAAAATCAGAACTCAAAACGAGCTCCACCTCTTCCCTTCATTTCTCCTCTTTTCCTTCTTTTCTTCACATAAACTCCGCCCCTATTTCTCTCCATCTTCTTCCTCGTTTTTCGCTTCTTCGTCACATAGACTGAGACGGAGAAAGAAATATTGTGCGTTTTCTACTGCTGGTGGCTGCATGTTGTCACTGGCTCCTTGATACCCTCTCTTCTCTTTTTTATTTTTTTTGTTGACCATCCTATAATTATTGTAGTCCCGACTCTCTAGTCTCCAAGGCAACACCCCCAATGTGGTTGATGTGAACGAGGCGGCATCAACCAATGCACCTGAATTCATTCTCTTCTGCTTTTCAACCTTTTTCTTCTTCACATCTTCACATCCCGAATCCTGAATCCGAATACACATCGGAATCCTCACGCTTCTCACATCGTCCACGTCGACGAAAGCAAAAGTTATGATATTAATATGGACTTGTTGGCTGTGGGTGGCTCTCGTCATCTCTTTGGCATTAGCAGGTAAACTTTTTTAGATTCATTTGAACACTAAAAAAAGGTAAATTCATGAATATTCATCAAAGATCCCAAGGTCTAAAAGAAAAAAAAATGAAGGGGAGGTCTTCTTCAGAGAGTAGATCTATTGAGGGATACATGAATCATAATAAATGTGTATATTCTAATCCTCTTTCTGCTTCGTAATTCGATGATTCTTGTTTTTTTTTCTGGTTTATTTTCAGTGGATAATCTTTTTCTCAAACTTTTCTATTTTTTGTAAAGTTAGAAAAAAACAAAAAAGAATTTTTAGGTTTAGGTATATTTGAGAGAAAAGACAACGCTGCTTCAAAGGAAGTTAATGTAAAAATTCCACAATTGAGCTAATCAAAGATTCTCAAAATGCGATTCGGTGTGTTTTTCTCATGCTTTCGGCTCATCTCGGTTTTGAACTCGGAATATTTTCGAAGAAAGAAAGCGACCTGAAAAAAGAGACAGAGAATGCGAGGGATGCTGGCAGTTAGGTTCCAGATGTCCGAGTGAAAGAATCGCCCATTTTTCTTTCACAACGAGAAATTAATGACAATGCGTTTCGTTTTATTTCTTGCCGCCAGAATCTTGAAGCACCAACTGTTTTCTATATTTCTCGAATTCTTTGCTCTCTCGAGACATCTGATTTATTCGTTGTTTATCATCATCATCATCATCTTCATCATTAGTTTCCTGGATTGAAAAAATAAGAAAAGGAGAGAAAAGATGAGCTGATGGCAAGAAAAAAAGATACAAACCGCAGACGTGTTGTTATCACCTATCCATCTCAAAGTGATTTATCAAACTCAAGTTGACAGCAGGTTTGAGTCATGTGGTTTTTCTGAGAACACTGTTCAAATAGCTAGAATTTCAACCAGGGATGTCCGAAATGAGCCTTTGGAGGAACTGAATCCGGAATTCGGGACCAATAATGAAATTAATTTTTCGGAATCCGGAATACGGAATCCCAAACTATGAAACGCGTGGAATCCGGAATCCGGAATTCTTAATAAATAAATTGTCTCAGAATCCGGAATAAGGAATCCGGATATCTCTGATTTTAACTGAAGGGAAATATTCCTATCTGAAATTGTAGTCAAATCCAGTTTCATCCACCAAGATATTAGTAGCTTTTCGTCACTTGATCTCTGAGATTTAGAATTTATATCACCATGTTCCTTTTCTCCATCCTATCCCATTCATCCATTCATTCCATAATAATAACCTTATTTTGATTTGTTCCATCTCTATTCGTTCCCCCCATTGTCTCCTACACTACTCAGTTTTGCTCTTCGCTTTTTTTTCGAAAAATTCCAAAAAGCAAGCGAGTGAGTGTAGGCCCATGGATTATTTGTATCTCCTCCATTCTGCCACACAGCTTCTTCATCCATCGTGGGAACATCAGAATGCGTGTTGCGTGTCTTTGTGCACTTTTCTGCCTTTTCGTCGTCAAATTACACACGCCCACACACTGTTCAAATTATTTTTTGGGGATCTACAAAACCATATCTTTCTTCATCTCCACTTTGCACTTGGAATCCGGGACCGGAATCTCTCTTGCACCTTTTCGGCCTCTTATTCAGTCTAAAAGCTTCCCGTGCACTTTTAGAATACAATTGGATTGTTTCGTCTTTCAACCATTATCCAAGAGCATAAAAGTTGAACCCTTCCGGTGCACTTAAAAAGTAAAAAGTCATGGGGCAGCATTCAATTGAATTCCATGAAAAATGCGTGCTCCTCCGAAAACTCAAAATTCTGGCAGTCACTAAAAGGGCCTACCAATATGTGCAATTTTGTTTCGAAACTGCTATAGATTAATTGATTATGCGCGTAATTCATAAATTATGAGAGAGATGGGGTCCTCCTTCTTCCAGTTGCTCGTGTGCACTTTCCTCAACTATGCATTGCACAGGGTCAGAGGAGGAGTCATTCAGTTTTTAAGTGACCCAATAATGACTAAGACATTGGGGTCCATGGGGCCGGAAGTCGATGCCACAGGCGAGCCAATTGTTTGTTTATACAAGTCGAATGGCATGCGGAAAAAGGTTTTCGAAATGTCTCCAAAGCAAAAACCCAGAGAGAAGAGCTGGTCCATTAAGACAAAAGGGGTTGTTTCTTTTAAAATGTTTTTTAGAATCATTAAATAGAAAAATAAGGTCAAAATTAACGTTAAAGTCGGATGGGGGGAAATAGGACTCTCGGTTCCTTCAGAATTTTTATCGGAGCGCTGATGTTGAAATACTGTGACATTTCACAGTATTTCCAAACTTCTGTGTGGCCATATCTGAAAAAAATATATACCTTCTTCGTACCAAAATGTCCCACAGGAAGTATTTTTCTTTTTTTCCTCCGCCGGCAGCACCCAAAGTCTTTCACTTTTCTTGTCTACTCCCTGAAGAGTACATTCCTTTCATGGAGATCACCCAAACACTTTCCTTTCCTTTGCACTGGACCAAGAACGAAAAAAAAAAGATATGATAGAGAGCAACACTTTTTTTTCAATCCTTTTCTTCGGTCAAGATCCTTCTTTTTCTCTTCATTTGCAATTTGATAAACGAAGAAAAAAGTTTCTTCGATGCGCCGAATAAAGAAGAAGAAGGGAAATAGGGGGATCCCCTTGGGTACATTATATCTTAAACGCCTCGATTCTCTCACAAAAGAAACCACAGGATCGCATTGTCTCCTCGTTGTTTCGCTCGTTTTTGATGCCAAAAAGTGTATGGAAAAGGTCAGAATTTGAAAAATGATGATGGGATCGGAAATGGCAAGAAGAAATATGATTCTTAAAATTTAAACTGATTTAAGGCCTTGGTGGGATACCGTGATCCATTAGAGAGTGAAGGGAATTTTGAAAGAAGGATTGTATAAACTACTGCGAAATTAATTTTCGGGAACTGAGAGATTAATTTTCAGGTGGTCACCAAGTGAAATGCTTCTGCGATCGAGATTCCTGCGACGACAACTTGCTGTGCCAAGGAGACTACTGCTTTATAGGATTACATCGGAGCGACGATCGTAAGTTTATTTTTCTAGTCATTTAATCTGAAAACGTTAAAGTATCGGGTTCTAGACAAATATTCGAACTTTCAAATAGATATCGTAAACACTGTAAACACTCTAATAGAGTTTCACCCAAACTTTCAACTTTGATTCAATTTATCTCGGTCAATATGAAAAATATCTAAAAGTTGTCAACTGATAAATTGTTTGTCATAATATCCCAAACATTTTATTAGTTGACACATTTCTGATAACTTTCATAGAAACCGAGATAATCAAGCTCAAACTTGACTGCGAAGGGGGCCTTCTATAACAGTTTTCATTTGTGTTTTATCAACATTCTTTTTTGGCAAAAAATATTTTGTGTGGTTATTTATTTGGCCTTTCTCATATTGAAAGTTGTCTGATCTGCCTGAATTTAGAAGGTGTAATATGATCAAGAATTACTTTCAAGTGACACCAACTATTCTCTTGATTAGCTTATTGTTCTTGATCCAATTAGAACTTTTCTCATAGCTAGTTCAATACATCTTTTTTCCTAACCTCTGGGATTAATAGTCCTTCGAGTACCAGTACCAAAAACAACATGAAACAAAGTTCAAATTTTTTGACAGCTGGAGCTCAGTTGTAATTTATGATCTACACATTCCACTAGAACACAAAAACGAGGCAACAAGACGAATTATTATCAGTGAGTTCAATCAGAGCCGTTTCTCCATTCATCTTGCTCTTTTTCAAAACACCGGCAACAGCCACCGGGTTCTTTTACTCGGCGGCTCGTTTTTGGGAAAGAAAAACATGACGCATGGGAGAGACGAGAAGTGTGGGTGCAGTTGGCATACGAATTCCCGCGGGATTCACCAGAATTCTAACCAAAACTTTCCAATACAGAAGATCCCTCTTCTTCTCTCCTGCGAGAGTCCTCTGCACACACACACACACACACAAAGTAGTAGTAGTGGATTCAAATTTGAGGAATTGAATAGGCAGCACTTGATTCGTGGAGACATTCTGTCTCCGCGTCTCGATTAAGTGTAATGTTTCGGTGGGGATGAGCGCCCTTCAGGCGTGTTTTGGGTGCAATTGGGCGCGAAAAGAGTTCTAGGACAAGCACCAATGTTTTTGGGAGTAGGAAAATGAGGAGAAACGGGGGAGAATGAGAAACTATTTGCTACCTTCATGTTTTTCCAGGAGACGTACCACGTCTTCGACAACACTGCGGGACAGTTGACGAGCTTCCATTTCTGAATTCTCATGTAAATTGTGATGAACGACAGGATAATTGGCAAGAAGTGTGCAGGTGCTCAGAAGATTTCTTAATACATTCGCATTCCTGCGATCCTCAATTGATGTCCGACCTGACCCAAAAGATTCGGTGCAGTTTGTGAAACAGGATTCACAGTATCCAATTGAACACAGACCACAAGTGAGTTTTTAAACAAAATACCTGTTTCAAACTTGAAATATAGATTTCGATCTACAAACTTTTTGCAAAAAACAATCCCTTACTGGGCTCATGTTTTCTTTTTTGGAAACATCACATTTTCAGCCAGAAGTTGTTTACCGCCAACACAACTCATCTCTCATCGTTCTTCTGGTTATCATCCCATTGTCCGTTGGTGGATTCGCAGTGTGTCTCATCTTTTTGAACTATCATTGCAAGATGTGCTGACACGTCTTCTTTATTCATCTCAAAACTCTTTCTGTCATCAACATTTCAATGAGTTTCAGGGATCACGAAGCTCGTTTTCAAATCATTATTTCTCTTTAAAGGTCCTTCGTTTTTTTTTCTCACCTTCTGTGATATTTATGTTTTTGGAATCTGATTTGTCTGTATTGTCCAATAAATCTTCATAATTTAGAAAAATTTAATTTATGCTAATAGCTGAAAAAATTATGGCAAGGATTTGAAAGTATCGTAAAGTACATAAGTGATAAATCAAAAATTATAAGACACGTATTGTTAACCGATTGAGAGCCAACTTTGGGAACGAGGAGACCGTCCTCGTTCTCTGTTGAGCATTGAAACATCATGCATCGGGGGACGATTGAAATCTGAACACACTGACACGTCATCTCGAGAAAATACTCTTCGGAGTCCAGATTGACGACTTCGAACATCTGTTATCGCCGTTGTATTAGATGGAGTATTCGCTCGATCTTTTGGCTGGTTCCGATAGTAGCAGAACTGAAATACAAAAAATTTTTCTTGAATCGTATTTCATCAACATACACAAGAGAAGCAGACAAGGCATATCACGCACAGCAAAAAGATTGACGATGCCAGAAGAATAGCTGAAATTCAATTTAACGGATGATTTTGTTGGTTATTGGGGTCTCCTCTCACCATAAAGTATTACTTGAGATGTATTTCTTGTTCCTCGTTCATTGGAAACATGCAATGCTGTCAAAGTATGAGGTTCAGCAACAAACTTCTGTCCCGATAGTGTCATGTTCAACTCTCCAGTTGACACCTTCTCGGATACCTCCCTCGCGAATTTTCTTGCCTCAACATCTCTGATTGTAAACTTGACTGCGTTGTCATCTCGAAGAATAACGTCTTCAATGGAGCCACGTGGAATTTTGAACCGATCGACAAGCAAGTTAATGAGTTGGCTATAGAAGTTAAAGATATTTGGATTTTAGAACTGGTTGCTTACATTTCAGCATCTTCCATTTTGGAAGTTGGGATTTTTCCCCCGGAAAGAGAAAATGCTATCTGATAAGACTCTGTTGGTACTGGTGCACTTGCATGATCATATGGAGACGACAAGTCGAGACCGATTCCTTGAAAAATAAAACAAAGTTCAGCTTTTGTAATTTGAATTCCTCACCAGCACAGAAATTATCACAATCGTCTCGAATTGCGAAATTGTTCAGATTTCCAGAGCATCCTCCATAGTCGAACGGAGCACACGTGTGAGCCAACGATGAGTAGAAGAATCGGGTTACAGTAGCAGTACATGGACCAGCATCTCTTTGCAAGTTGCACACATATCGTTTCGATACACAACAGATTCCTGATTTTTGACCTGGCATTGTGGAGCAGTAATGGGTTGCAGGACATCTGAATGATTGAAAATAAATTTGAGTAAAATTGAAAATGATTGGCTACTAACCCATTCGTGAGTACGGTACAAGAGAGAGGAGTTCCATCAGAAAGAGATGAAAATGGATCTCCATGAGGACAAGAAAGACTATTGTGCTCTCCAATACTCTTGATGGAAGTGGCTCCAGGACAGCAGACACCATGCATATTGTCATCAAAAGCAGTACAATAATATCCCATCGGACAAACTGTGTTCTGGGTGCAAGAGTACTGCTGCCGGGTTCTCGTTTCTATTAGAGGACGTAATCCACTGTTGCATGGAGATTTCTCACAGGTGGGCACAGGAAGACACCATTTATTTGGGCAGTCAGCTCTTCGTAAAATGCATACTTGTCCATTTGGGCAATCCACATGTTCACAAGCAGATTTGCAGATGCATTCTGATCGTGCGCAGCCAATTGAATCAAGGAGCAAACCATATGGACATAGTGACGCGGAGCACTTGGATAAACACATCGATTGAGCTGGAATTCAAAAATTCGAAATTGGAAATTTGCTTATCATGAGATCAAAAATTCTACAACTTTTGAAAACTCGAAAAAAACCTCGTAGAGGATCGAGATTAATATATTCAGAATTCTCACGACTTTTTTTCGGAAAATTCACTCACACTTGCACGCATTCTTTGTTTTCTTCTTTCGTGTTCCATGAATCTCTTCTCCACTCAATTCATCTACACACCAGCATCTTTTGTTGTCGCATTGCGTCCTTTCGTAATTTCCGTTTTTACTGCACAATGGCAAAGGGGATTTTAGTATGGCCCCGTTTTGGTGCAGGTATTCCAGAGCAATACGCATTGTTGTACAATCTGTAAATATATAACTTCGAAAAGAGAACATCTGGAAGATCACTTACTTGTCGATAGAGACATTGGGACAGCTTCGACTACCATCGGATGGTTGACTCTTTCAACTACTGTAGTTGTTTCAACAGCGTCTGGTACAGCAGCTACTATTGCTGGAGAAATAAGATTGAGAACGGAAGACTGTGTTGCTTTTTGGTGGCAACATATTCCTCTCTGAAATAATAATAATAATCTATGTAAATCTCAACATCTGAAACTTTCGAAACCTCAGTTTTGCGATTGATCACACATTTAGAAATTTTCCCACATCCTCCATCGTTCTCACAAAGAATGACGTTTCTATAGAGATCTCTTTGAGGGATCGGACACTGCACTTCTACACAAAATGGTACATCTGGACATGGATTAGATGTACATTCTACTCGACGAAGAGCACATTCCATATTCAGAGGGCAATTGAAAGACTGAAAAGAATCTATGTGTTTTTTTTGAATTGTTGAAGTCTCACTCACATTGCATATATTATTGCACTCGCAAACTCCATTTGCCGGACAACCACTTCCATCTGTTCGGATACCATAGGGACATTGATTTTCCATGCATTTCGTTTGACATATTTTTGGTAAATCGCAATCTGGAGGCTGAAGTCCAATTGTAAAAATTCTGGTTCCGATTTCTTCTACTCCCGTTGTAACATCAACACACCAACATTGACTGTAAATTTCAGAAATACTAGAAGAAACAAAATAGGAATAGATTCTTACTTTATTCTCGCATCACATTGATATCTTCGGAATAATCCTTCCGGAGTGCATTGAACTGGTGGAATGATCAAATTCACAATTTCAGCGGCTAAATTTGATTCAAATGCAATCAGTCGATGTATACAAGCAGTTGCGATTCTCGGAGCAGAACATATTGTTCCACAGGAGGCAGTACAACATTTTAAGAACCCATGACATTCTGAATCCTGACTACATTGCTCTGTGCACCCCGGATTAATTAAAAGTTTTGGACAAGTTCCGAGTTTTGCCAGAACGGGAGATACTGGCAGTACTGCATGATGTTCAACAATAACATTCTGGATCTTTGAAGCCTTCTTTTCGATTTTCAAAGAACTCAGAATAGGACGCCGCGTGGTTTTTGGTGGTTTCGAAGATGAAGTGTAAGATGGGCGAATTGGTTTTATAGGTTGTTGTCCTGAAAATCAAACATCTTTTCCAAAAAGGATGGATTCAACATACGTGTCTCAAACTGACAACTTGTACCACATCCATTAAAACAACAAGACGAATGGGTACAGTCATAATGATGCCTACATCCGACGACACACGAGGAACCATCAACCGAAGCAATCATGACGGGGATCACAGGACACCGGAGAGATTTTTGAGCCATCTCAGGAGTGGAGCAGCAAAAAAATACATCTGCATATCCACTGCTCTTGCAATGGAACCCTGCTGGGCATGGAGATGATAGGGAACATGTTGCAAGAAGAGAATTCTCTAGTGCCAGTGGCTCGCCACTTCCACACATATTTGGAATGCCTGAACAATAATTTTATTTTAAATTTGGGTATGAAGAAATTACATTTCGCGACAGGTCGACATTCTTTGGAAGAACATTTAACTGGCATCATTCTACAAACATTTCCAGCCGGACAATTCATGTATTCACATGGAGATATACAATCACAAATTGGACATCCTTCGTTATCACTTTTGAATCCATATGAGCAGTTCACAGCACAAACTCTTGTCGGGCAGGGACGAGGATTATCACAATTGGGAACTCGGGTTGATTTCGTTCCAGAAATCTCTTGACCCAATTTATCAACACACCACATTAATCCAAAGTGAGATTGAACTTCGTCAAAGTTTCCAGATGCATCACATTCCGGAACAAATACTGCTGAATCTTTTTCGTTTGACTCTGATCTATAAGTTTTCAAAAACATTGAAGTTTAACTGAAGTTTTAACCAACCCTTCGCTCTCTGAAATTGTCAAAGCTGCAATTCTTTGATGAACACAAAGTGGAGCACGATTTGGTTGAGTGCATCTCATAACACAACCATCGGAACAACATTTATAGAGTGATGGACAGTCGTCGTCGTTTTTACAGTCGGCAATCGTTGGTCTTTGAAGACAAAAAGCTCCAAGTGGAGCTACGTTCAGACAATCTCCGAAGTGAGATTCGGAAACAGATTGGAGAATAGTAGTAATAGGACGAGGACTACTAGATGACGTCACACATGTCAACCCACACCCATTCCAACAACATTTCGATGTCTGATCGCAGTCTGAATCTGTTCTACACTCCTGAACACATTTCTCCACTTTCGCTGTATTTAGTTCCGTTATTTTAGGACAGAATCCAGTGTGAACCTCCGGAGCTAAAACAGAAGGTTATTCGTTAGAAGATAAGTAATGAGTCTTACATTCTGCAGTACAGCAAAATCCAAAATCTTGAGTGACCATCGAACAATGAGTAGTCATCATTGGATCAAAGCAATCGGTACTACGGTAGCATTTCTTCAGATGCAACGTTGTTTCGTTTTTCACTGATTCTGATACAGGACAAGGATTGATGACACATCGTGGAATCTGAAAATTGCTGTTTTAAGATGGACTATTATTCTTCGGGATACAGTTGGACATGGCTTAGTAACACATGGTACTGTAGTTGGTATACAGAGAGAATCATCTGGACAAGTGACACCTTCGCATGGATCAACACATTCGCATGTTGCACATCCCCTATTGTCCTTCTTATGTCCGTATTCACAACCGATTGGACCACATTCAAGTTTTTCACATGGTTCTGAAAATAACTCAATATTCATATGATGGGGAACAGACATTACCTGGACAGTTTGGAGTGACATCTTCTCCGGCCCTTGTACCATCCACGTAATTTCCTTCTTCATCTACACACCAACAAAACTCTGTGTCGCACTGAATTTGCTCGAATGATCCATCCGGACGGCATTTAATAAGATCCATCTGTCCCATTTTCTGAAGATTTGTCTTTCGAACAAGACATTTGCTGGTTTGAAGAGGATAGGCACACGCTTTCACACATCCATCATCACAACATTTGGCAACTCCCGCACAATCTGTATCGTATTCGCAAGTGTTTTTTCTGAAAGAAAAGAAGAAAGTTCTGTAGTAATCCGTTGAAAAAAAACTAACTCTAATCGGTTACATAACACCCGTTGTTCGGAAATACATGTTCCTTGTTTTTCAAATATCTCCTTGGAAATTTCAATGAGTGGAGTTGTGATATCTCGACAAGCCGCACCACACCCATCAAAACAACATTTCTGGTGTCCATTGCAGTCATCATCAACTTTACAGAAAACTCTGCACATCCTAGCATCCAAGCTGATTGGAACTGTTGGACAAGATCCTGCATGACGAACACGGGCAGGAGAAGGACAGCAGACTCCTCCAGAAGACATCCCAAGACGATGACACCAGTGGGTAGAAGATGGACATTCTTCATCTTTTGTACAACTTTCCACGTTTCCAATACTAGAAATATAGGGTTCACCAGCTGGGCATAAGTTTAGTACGCATCTGGGTTGGGGAACACAGTTTCCAGTTTGATAGCACTGCACAGAGCTCATAACACAAACACTCCCTTGAGGACATTTCACTTCTTCGCATGGATTTTTACATTTACAAGTTGGACATGAGTTTGGTCCTTTTTCGAAACCAAATGGACAGGCGACTTTGCAAACGAGAGGCTCACATGGGTTTCGACCTGTAAAATCAAGTACTTTTCAACAAATGAATCTTGAAGACCTACTTTCACAATTAGGTTTTCTTCCGATGGCTCCTGAACCAGGAAGTTCCTCTCCGGTCGCTATATCCACGCAAAAGCATCCTTCATCATCGCACTGATATTGCTCGAAGTTTCCGGCTCTGTCACATTTCATTGCGTTTCTCAAAGAATACAATTCGGCAGTCAGCGCCAAATGGAAACATGCTGGAAATTATACATGAGTTAGCTCGAAACATCTTTTTGTATTCCTTACGTGTGCTTCTGATTGGATACATGCAGTTTGTTGAACATCCTTGCCTACAGCATCTCTTCATTCCAGCACATTGAGAATCCGAATGACATTCTGTTGTGCAGCTGATATTTGCAACTATCACATCAGCGCAATCGGCAACCAGAGAACTCAAATGACCTTTGTTATACTTTTCGACATCTCCAGGTTGATAATGCATTATTGGTTCTGTGACTGGTTTCACTGGTTTTCTGATTACATAATCTTCTGGTTGAGCACAAGAAAGAGTACATCCATTGAAACAACATTTCTCATCTTCCGAGCATTCGTGATCAGAATGACATGAATTTCCTGGATAAAGGAGGCATTTACGTTTGTCGGCTGGTTGAGAAGGACATCGACCATCTCGAGTGGAAGATGCTGGACCAGAACAACAGAAACCAAGACCATTATAACCGATCTAAAGTTATCGAGATGTTGATGCTGAGCAATCAGTTACTCACTTTGGAACAAGTTCCTTCTGGACAGTCTTTATCACTGGAGCACAGAGCAGTTATACCGTTCGCAAGACGAGATGGAGGTCCGTGTCGACAAGGATTCAAGAGACCTGAATACCATTTGTTTTCATGAAATTGGAGGATCGACTCACATCTCGGAACAGGAAGGCATGGTGGATTTGCACAATCAGGCTCTACCAATTGACACTGTTCCCAACTATTTTCACATTTGACATTGAGACAAATATCAAGACATGCACAGGTTGATATGGGACAACCAAAGATGTCCATAATGTGACCATGAGTGCATTGATTAGGACACTTTTTTGCACATAATCTTGGTTCTGTAGGATGAAATATATCATAGGAAAATTGGACATTGAACGAAGGCTAACCTCTGCACATATCTATTCGTCGCTGCTCTCTACTGATTCTGGTTCCATCGATTTCCGTTCCGTAATGAACATCAACACACCAACAAAACTGAATATCACATTGAATGGAAGAGAACCTCCCATTTCTCTCACAAAATGGTACATATTCATTTGGAAGACGTCTCTCCTTCAATTTCGAAATAGCCAGTACCATATGGATACAACCAGTGGCCTTTAACGGCGCCATACACGTGGATCCGCACGCAGTCGGACAACATTTGGCCACACTTCCACAATCAAGGTCATTCGCACATTGCTTTTGATCACTACATAATGATTTGTTTTCAGTTGGTGATGGGCACTGGCCGACTTTTGTTGTTGGAAGAGGACGAATTGGAGAAGGAGCTGGGAATAGAGTGTTTGCTAAATTTCGAATTGTAGGTGGTATTGGAGTGATGTTGAAATGAGTTGATCCGATATTGGAAACGGCTTTAATCAGCCTTTGGAACGATCGAGGAATGTTGGAAGACGAAGAAACGGGCTGCAGGGATTTATCTTCACTAATTGGAAAACTTTTGGCAATCGGAGCAACACATTCTCGTCCACATCCATTTGAACAGCAAATTAATCTGCCATTACAATCCGAATCTTTTTCACATCGAAGTGCGCAAACTCCACCAGTTAGTCTTGGACATTCCTCTCGATTGGATCCTGAATAAATCAACATTCATTTTTGAATTTCTCTTTTTTTATTCTCCGAAAAACTATACACCAAAAAAGAACACAACACAAAAACGTGTCCGAATACTAGCTTACTACGGCCGGTAGTAGCCAGATAATTGTCACCTCTCTTCGGAAGAGAGGGACTGGTCGTAGGGTCTATAATTGGCAAAGGGAGAGTAGCAAAAAAAGGAGAAGTACTTACCGAACTTTGGGATACAACGTGCTTTGACACCAATGGCAATGCAACTTTCTGATGGTCCACAGATTGTTGTCTGGAATACCATTTTTAATAGTTCGAAAATTCTAGTTGGGATGGTTTGAATTTAGAGAAAGTGCCTTACCTGGCAGGGATCTATTGCACAGGTACAAAGACATTGTTGAAGTATGTCTCTGAGATATCCATAAGGACAAAGTAAATTACAATTTGTTGGTCGTACTGGACAGACATTCAGAACATTTGCAGGTAAAAGATCCACAGATGATGTAACGATTGGTTTCAGAAATAGAAGATACAGTAACCACATTTTTGCTCATTTGACATCCGGAAGTGATAAGAATAAGATTAAAAGTTGTGATGGCGGTGGTCAAAACGAAAGAGGAGGGAGATGACAGGTGGATATTAAGGGAGGAAAGAGACAGGTTACTTCTGTTGAGTGGACAGAAAGCCCCACGGAGGAAAAGACACGCCCGCCCACTTTTGCGGTATGAGGTGCGAAACTGTCGTCCGACAGATTTGTAAATATTACTGTGAGGAAGTTGATGTAATACGGAAGAGGCCCTGATTTAAGAAATATCAAAAGATTGGGATGGGAGAGTATAGGGGTTATCGGTTGGGATCAGAGATGAGTTGATACACGAATCAGTTTGTTGACTTTTAAAGGTGGTGTGCGGTGAAAAATTTTTTAAAGTCAAAGTGGGAACCGGTGACCTAGCGGCCAGGTTTGAGTTTTTTAGGCCAACTGCCGGTAAAAGCGCGTGAAATTTGAATTTTTATTGATTTTCAGTGTTTTCTCTGACGTTTTTTAAAGATTTCAAAGTTTTTTCGTTAATTTCCTACATGGTGTATGAAAAAACCTGACAAGAATCTGAGCAAACACTGAAAATCAATAAAAATTCGAATTTCGCGCGCTTTTACCGGCAGTTGGCCTAGAAAACTCACACCTGGCCGCTAGGTCACCGGTTCCCAATTTGACTTTTCGATGCCGTTTTCCTCAATGAATGATTTTTTTGAATTTTTTCTTTATTTTTATGGGAATCTGCATGAATTTCTGCACAAAATAAAGCAATAAAATTTTTCACCGCACACCAACTTTAAAACAACCGTTAATGTTATCTATCGGATCTCATTAGAGACGGTGGGGACGTTTTGAAAGTTTGGTAGTTGATAAAATTAAACTTCTGGAACATCAAAATTAATCAGAGGGAACATTAAATGCATGCCTTTGTAATATCTAGTAGAGGTTCTATAAAACTATAATCACTCTCCATAATTTTCATTTTTGTTGTTGAATCGAATTCAACTGTTTCGAAGGCTACGGTAACATTGTTCCATATCTCTTGATACCTGCCCATCTGTATTTCGACTTGATCAGTACAATGTTCCAATGTTCCGAACTCACAAGATTTAGCTTTGCTTTTCAATTCGGTAATCGTACATATCCATCTTCTGCTCCGTTCTCTCTTTTCTTTCCAATTCAAATTGGCTGCTCCCTGTCTCAAAGCTCGCTAATAGTAGACAAAACAAATGTATTCGCTAACTCTCTATGCGGTATAAGTGTCACTTGGAACTCTCTTTTCCCTTCTCCCGCAACCGTATTTGTGTATACTCTTTTTCTCTTTTGGGAGGGGAGCCGACTGCACAGTTTCAATTTAAAAAGAGAATGATCAGAAACGAAATTAGTTGGAGAACATATCAAGGGTAAATAAGCAACACAAACTGATTTCAGATAAGAATGTGGAATGTACATCTTCATGCATAAACGTCAGGAAAATCTCCACGTACGGTAAAACCTGTAATAGCCAGCATTGTTAACTTTGGCTCAATTTATCTCGGGTCGTAGAAAAATATTCAAAAATTGTGTCCGTTCGGCTTTTGGACATACACTGGTCAGGCTCTGGCCGGAAGTTTTTTAATAGGATGTCGGAGTTTGGCAGGTTTTAGTGGCAGTGCGGTGGAATCTGTCCAACCTCTGGCCAGGAGATGCCGGCAAAGCCCAAGTGGTTACTGTAACATCTGTAAAAATCCTGGTGGGAAGTTCATTCTTATCTAAAATCAAGCTAGGAAAACAACCGAATTGAAAAACTTTGGTCATCTCATAATTGCAGACTCGAGTCTGTAGACAAATTACGGCATTTTGACAATAGATTCCAATTTATTAAGCTACCGTATCATTAAATTTAACATCTCCAAATTTACAACCCTACCCCTCCCCACAGGGTTCCAAAATTCATTGTCCGAAATCGCGCCCCAGATACCATAAAACCTGTAATAAAAGGGTCCCTCAACTTTTAACTTTGAGCCAATTTTTCTCGGTTTGTTTTCAACTAATAAACGGTTTGCTATAATATCAGAAGTGTTTTGTAAGTTGCTTTATTTTCGATATCTTGCATGGGAATTGAGATAATTGAGCTTAAACTAGACAGTGTGCCCTCCTGTGCTAAATCGCACTCTTCTGATGGTGATTTACTGGGGAATGTGCATTGCATCCCCCGCAATCACTTTCTTTTTTTTAATTCTTTATCATGTAACCAGTATAAAAGACCCTCTATTGTATCATTCTAGATCGTGCAATAAACCAATGTAGCTTTTAAAACATGGTGCATCGTGGGTTGAAAACCCCGGTCGCTCAAAATCCCGCGTGGCAGGTTTCTACATTGGTACCTCTATTCTCCTATTATTCGCTGTTGGAATATTCACTTCTGTATCGCAAGCGGCATGCAGTACCAGATGATTGGCGGCTCCTGATATAGTCAACAAAGGCTCCTGCTATAGTCAACCAGTTTCAGAAAAAATGTGATTATAATCATTTTACTAATTCGATGTGTAGACAATTCAAAATTGACATCGGGAAGAATAGTTCTATGTTAAATACCTAAAACTAGAGTTGTCGGACTCGGTTTCATCTTTTTTGTGCCTTGACATGTTTATTTAAATTCTTTTATGAAAACATTAAAACCGACGACTTGATAAGAACCATAGCTGAATCAAGTGATGGTGATGTTTCCTTTTCCTGTGTTTAACATTTTTAGTTTCCAGTTAAATATCTGAAATCTTATATATAAAGAAACCCTAGTTTAGTTACGACTGGTTATCATCGGAACACTTAACACGAATATCATAAGTTTTCTCGAGATTTATCATTCATTGGATAGCAAGACAACAGTCTCAGTGTATGTTAAACGTAACTGCCTTCATTCAAATTTTCTCGACCTTCCCCGTCGTCGTTAATTTGATAAGTGTGACTTTTTCGTTCACATCGTCTACCACCCTCATTCTTTTTTCTGCCACCACATCTGGAATTCATCTCGCCCCTCTTCTGTCTCCCATCAATGCCATCATTCGTTGACCTTTTCTTAATTGGTATTCGCGCTCATTTTGACATTGTGTCAACTTTCGTGTCAACTGTTTGTCCCGGGGTTACCTGCAAAAAAGTAAATAAGAAAAACGAATTGAAGACGACGGAATAGAAACGAATTGGCAGAAAAATGGAAGGAATTGTTGTTGAAAACTCTCTGCATCATGAGACCAAAAACATCGAATCCTATTCAATTCTCCACACAGTTTCTTTTCCTTTTTGTCAAAAGTTTTGCCTTTGCTTTTCTTTTGTTATTTTTATACTGTTTTCCATAACAATCGCATGCGTTTATATTGCCGGCTTCTTCCTTATATGCTTGTTCAGTTTCTTTCCGATTTTCAGTTATCTGATATTCTTTTCTTTTCAGAATGAATTCATCATTTGGACGGGTCAGAAAGAAAGTTTCCATCATCTCGATTCCAGAATTCGTACCGGATTCGCATGATAGTAAGTTTGAAAAAAAGAAGAACAATTTAGTGGAAGAGCAGGCCTGCTAGCAGGCTATCAAAAATGAATGCGCTTTTCAAAGTTTCAAATTCTTTGACTTTCCAAAAACTTCATTTGACCGATTTATCTTTTATCGAGATCTAGTGATTTGGTATTTTCATGATGTCAAACCTTGAAGTTTGTGCCCCACAAAAAAACAATCATGAGTTTTGAAACTTTGAAAGTTACAAAGTAAAAAATGGAAGTCCGGGATATTTATAAATATACATACTTTTGAAAAAATAAGGCAATTATTCAGAATCAAACCCGTTTTGAGTACTTTGAATTACGGCAATCGTCAATTTCCAAATAAACGCATAGTTTCGAATATTTTTGGATTCAAATTCTCATCGTTTCCAGTCACCACACACATGTCGATGACTCATTTTTCCGAGCAAATCGATTTCCGGGGACAGAAAAGAACAGGAAAAAAAGAAAATCATATGGTAGACAAACCATCAAAACACTTTAAAACACAGTTTATTCTCGAAGGCGTTTTTTTTCTTCTTTCCATAGAAAAAGGGGCACCTTTAAGCGGCTTAGCGTACCGTCTTGGTCTTCTTTTTTGCATGTACATTTATTTCATGAATGTTTCTACAAACAACAAAACATACCGATTTCCTTTCTTTTCTCTTCCATTTCCTGCACATTGAGTATGATTCTCATGAGTTTCCATCTATCTTTTCTTTTCATGCTTTTTATTTTTTTTCCCCCATCGCTTCAGAATTTTTTTGATCCAACGAACTTACCTAGAATATAATACATCTGTGTTTTCAGCATCGTAACTAATCGTAGGTGATTGATGATCGAACAAGAATATATTCTCACTTCCATTACTTTTTTCTTCTGTCGTCATCGTTACCTCGTCGAATAGTTCGTCCCGTTGATTTCTCTCTTCTGACGTCGTCAATTCGTTCATCGAACCGTCCCCGACTGATCAATTACGTTTTTCTCTCTATTTCTCTTCAACAAAGATTGATCTCTAGACTGTATCATTGCAATGTAGAATTAGTTGCGCTAGATTCGGGAGCTTTCTGGTTTGTGACCGACACTTCTTATGTTTCAGAAACCAGTGAAATAAAAATAAAAAAAATTTTGGATAATATTAAGATTATTATGGACAGTCAAACGGTTCTAACAATTAAATTTTAACTGTTTGACAACTTATTATTATTCTGGTACTAAAACCAGAGCTGTGGAAGAGAAACAAACATCGGTGGCCATGGCCGAAGATTCCACAACTACCGTAACCTGAAAATATTTATATTTTTCCAGAAAGTAAGCAATTTTTAAAATATGCCCATTTCTCTGATAATTTGACACCTACTGAATAAAACATGGTTTTTTCCGTTTCTAGGGGGAGATTCTCTTATTTTTCAACATTTTCTTCTTTTTTAAGTGCCTCATAAAACAGCGTATTTCACAGCTGCAATACATAATCGTCGTCAGCTTTTGGTCCATAAAACCACAATGTTTTAGATGTTTAGTTGTCACTTTACTTCCATGATTTTCGTTTCATTCTCATTTTCTTTTCTCGAAAAATGTAAGGAATACGGTCTGTAAATTTAATTTAGATCAACCATGAAAAAATTGGTGTGGCAGGCATGGAGCACAATTTCAGCATTTTTTTGTAGAAATTTAAGATGATTGAAATGAATTTTTTTCAAATTAATTAAGGGTTTAGAATCCTTGTATGGTCCTTTCCCAATTTGGAGCTCTCATTTTTTCTGTGGGAGACCGTTCATCGTGATTATGTTTTTCTATTCTGAAGAACATAGATTCGAATCATATGGGGAACAAAAAACAAGAAGAGAAGAAGTTTCTGCTAGTTTGTGTTTTGTGTAAGAGAGTGTGTGAATGACGCAACGCAGCTCGTTAAACTTTTTATAGTCCTTTTGCTTTGAGTGTACCGTCTTGATCATCCGATTCAAGACAATTATGACATGGAGCAAAAAAAGATATTCTAAAAAACTGAATTTCAGACGAAAACGTTGCAACAAGCGGTGGAATTGTTGGAGATAAAACATCATCGTCGGCTGGTGGAGGTGGTACTCGAATCGAATTCGATTTCGATGATTTTGAGGAACAAATTATGAGAAAATCCAGGTCAGTTGTCAAACATATAGCAAAGAAAAAAGCGGAGGCGAGAATATCATAGAACGAGATAAAATAAATGGAAAAAAATCTTGTTTTATTTATTTAACCAGCGGGGTTACCATCTCAAGTGCATTGTCTTTTGGGTATCACTATCAGTATTTCATTTCACAAAAGTACACGACCACCGAAATAATAAAAAAGGGTAGTGATCAGTTTGCGGCCACTATATTAATTGATTCGGAAGATTCTTGTTTTGTTTTTTGAATCTGCACTTCATTATTATCCTCAATTGAACAGTTTGATCAGAAAAGTCTTATTGCTACCTTCCATTTCTGATAATTTCTTCATCTCCCGGTAAAGATGACACTAAATAATCTGACTAATAGGATTAGATACATTTTTCAGACAGAAAGTAAAAGGATGACACTTTTCTAAATTATTATCAGGATTATTTTTTGGAAACTCATCACAGAAGGTACAATGTATTCTGTACAAAAAGACTGTCTGAAATCTTGAAAATTCTTACGTCACAAAATAAAATACAATACAACAATCGGATTCTTGTCAGCTAATAATAATGATTTTCTTGCGTCTCCTCCCACATTTTCCGTCACGAAACAGTCAGTGAAGGTGGGCAAATCCGCCGAGTAGGCGGACAAGCGTAAAGGGGAGAAGACTATCATGATATCACCATCTTTTTTCTTTGGTCACTGATTAGCTTTTGACAACTTTTCTCTCTTTCATTTCGTCTCGTTTTACTCTTTTTATGGATCTCTTGCTAGTTTAAAATTGGTTGTGTGTTGAAGATGTTCCTTTGAAAACTTAAAAAAAGAATTTATTGCATTTGTGAAACTTCTTCGAAATGATAAATTCATTCCAATTCATATAACAGTTTTCTGGTTTCATAAAACCGCGAATCCTGCAGTCATAGAACTGAAAACCTCGTTCTTTCCGTATTAGCTCTAATAGAAACCCACTAAAACGTCAACTTTGAGCTCAATTATCTCGATTCCTGTGAATGATATCAGAAATTTGTCAACTGATAAAATATAGGTGATATTATGATGAATCATTTATCAAGTGACACATTTTTGATTCAAGTTACAGGAATCAAGATAATTGAGCTCAACGTAGACGGATTGAGTGTCTTCTAAAGTTTGTCGACTTTATTTCAACCATTTTTTCAAGATTGTTCTATAACTGCTGCTTTTAAGAATCCTTCGTCACTCTTTTATGTGATTCTCAAAATTTTTTGGTAAAAAACTTCCCTAGAAACTTTGAAAAATATCTTATTACTTTCCTGGAACGCTTATATTTTCCTGGTCAATAGTTTGAGTGATAGTGTCATACAAAAGCACACAATCAAAACGATGGATTTGTAAGCAAGTAGAAGAAAAAAGAGGAAGAAGAGAAACAGCGAAAAAAATAGTTTGATTGTCTGTCTGATTCTCTTCCTCTCTCGTACTATTTCCGATTCCCGTGCCGTGTACAAAAGTGTTGTTGGGCATATGAATACTGAGAGAAAAAGAGTTGTTTGCATACAGATGTAGATTCAATAACCTTATCACTTTCTCTCTGGATTTATCAATGATATGCTCCCTCTTCCAGACTTCAATGTTTTTTGTTTGTCGAGAGAAAGAGGAAACCCTTTCGAAGAGTGAAAGGAAACACTTTCTGTTCTATTCGATTTGCATTCTTTGTGTTTTGAATAACTATACGTGGTTTCCATTTGCGTCATTCGTTGTCTTCCATTTTCAGACCCAAAATTAGCTTTTTCCTAACCAAATGACATTAGAGTTCTGGAATATACAGAGTTTAAAGAGAAACATCACCCTATTATTCTTATGTGATTATGAACATAGTCTCTGAATGCATCTAGCTTTTAAAGGTTATCAAAACATGATGTGGCAGATTTATCATGATAAATTGAGAAAAATGTTTGGAACAATCTATTTTCAAAAGAACCTTCTAGACTCTCATTTTCTGTGACTCATGACCCAGAATACAGAGCTTTCTGCGTCAAACAGTTCTTTCTTTTTCTGCTTTCATTTTCTCCCTTTTTCATAAAACAAGAACTCAGTGAGTCACTCTAGCAAAAGCAGAAACTGACATTCCCACCAAAATAAGAGAACATTCAAAGTTCAATTCAATCGATGTTAACTGTTCCAATTCCCATAATCCTTTCTCCTGATAATCTCAAATTTTTCAACCCCACACAATTTGCTGCTGCTTCTTCTTCTATTGAACTGTCCTTCGGATGGTGTCTGCTGCATTTTATTATCACCTTTTCCCTCTCTTTCTGATAACAATCAATCGTTTTTCTTTTTTTTTGCAATATTGTGCCTCCTCCTTTTCCTCTTTTCCTCCTTCTCATTCCTCCTGCTTTTTCAATATGTTGCCATTTTCTGATTAATTTTTTTATTTCAATTTTCATCGTTTCTTCTTCTTTCTCTCGAGAACTTTCTATGCCATCAAAAGAGCATTCTTACGCTTTTAATTTTGTTCTCGACATAGATTCTAAAAAAGTTCTGTTACTGACTTCAGAAAGGATGTTGTCTCTAACAATAAGTGGTATACCATTAAGTTGTATTCTAGAAAGTTCCCGTGATTCCATCTCATATAATTCCAGAATGACCTCATCCATCTCTCCCTCATTTTTCTATGAATTTGTCGTGATGACTCTTGTTGTGAAACCCGTTTTTCACTAAATTTTCCATTCACTTTTTTTGTTTTCACCTCGTTTTGATTTTATCTCAACACAGTCTGAATTTCATAAATGTGTTGTCAATTTCATTTATAGTTCACTACTCAATATTATTCTTCATCTTCATTTATGTCTTCAAACATTACATAATGGAATTGGACTATAGGAGGCGTGTTCTGGATCGTACTATTGGGTGAGAAATGTGAAAGCATGAGAAAATGAAGGGAAAGACTGTTTTGTGCCAGTAAAACGAAACAGTGAACATTGAAAGAAAAAATGCGTTTGTTCCGCACGATTGAAAGGCATCCAAAAAATTGGAAAAAATGGTTTTCCGTTGATGTGCTAAACGCACAGTTCCCCTTTCCATCCTTTTCTTTTTTCCTGAATTTTCAATATTTTCAGCATGAACCTTCCGAGTAGGAAGCTTACCATCGCCAGTAGTATCGATCATGGAAACAATGGAAATTTACACATCGGAGATATTATTTCCCTATACACAGAATCTTCCACTAATCAAGAACAGAGAGGTTTCTTAAGTACACTTGGGTGAGTTTCTATATATTTTAAGATGAAGTATGTGAGTATAAAATCGATTGTAAATTTCAGATTGGTAGATGACAGATGTATCGTTGAACTGAAAGATGGAAGACCTGAAAGTCCGCCAAAGAAGTTCAGAGATTGCCTTTTCAAAGTTTGCCCGGTGAATCGATATGCAGCCCAAAAGCATTTGTGGACAGAGCAAAAAAGGTTTCAAACAGGAGATTCTATGTTCGATGATGACTTGATGAACAAGTTGAGAGTTGCTGCTGAAAAGGTATGATTAGAAAACTTATGTTTGAATTTATATACCGTAAAACCTGTATTAGAAAGGTTTTTTGAATTGAAGGGCCCCTCTAATAGGAGGGCCGGGCCTTCTTAATACAGGTTTTACGGTAGATGTGAGCAACGGTTCATCAAGATCTAGCCTCAATGAATCTTTGCTAACGTTCGGTGTTTAAGGAACGCGAAGAAAACGAGGCAGAATTTCAAAAGACGCTCGGAAATATTATACAATATGGATCAATGGTTCAACTTCTCCATGTCAAATCCAACAAATACATCACAGTACAAAAAAACTCACCGGCCAAGAGAGAACGAAATGCGATGAAGGTTTGTGTTTTCTTTTTTCGTTTTCTGTTCGCTGAATATAGCTTTCGTGTTTGTTCTCGATCATCATTTATCTCGATCATCATTTATCCTTCTTTGAATGATAGTTTTGTGAGTTCAAATAATTGAAGATATCGATCTAGGAATGGATGGGTATGAGAGAGACACATTCTCACCAATTTTTGACACGGTAGTTTTTGGCACCGGTGCTAAAAAATTTGCTGAACTAACAACAATTTGCTGACTTTTGAAGCATGTCTAAAAAAATCACCGCTGCTTATGGATTTTTCTCGATTCTAATGCTTTATTCATTCACAGGTCTATCTCGATCGTGCTGGAAACGAAGGAAGTTGGTTCATCATTGAACCAGCATACAAACATTATGCCATTGGAGACAATGTATCTGCTGGAAATAAAATTTCCCTAATTCCCAATGCAGTATCCACCACTCAAACTGGACATGTCAAATCGCAACTTCATCTTTCGGGACTCAATCTCTTGGATCATCAGACAGCAGCAGAAGTTAACTGCTTGAATGAGCCTACCGAGTGGCAGGTTTTCATGTTTCTTTTGTTTGACGAAAATCAGCAGAACAGCGTTAAATCGGTAGGTGTATTTTCTTGATAGATATACTTTCTTTTTTTAAATTTTCAGGGTGATGTGGTCAGATTGTTTCATGCAGATCAACAAACTTTCCTCACACTGGACACTATCCCAAAGACCAATCCACCGAAAGATGTTGTTTTTCTGAGAATGACTAATCGACCATCAGCAGCAGATGCTACAAGTTCTCGAGCTCTATGGGAAGTACAGGTAAGTGAATAAAATCTAACTGCAAGATGAAATTTTAAAAAATGTCAGGTTGTCCAATCAAATGCATACCGTGGAGGAACAGCCAAATGGAACAAAACGTACCGTTTCAAACATCTTGCTTCCGATATGTACCTGACCGTAGAAGAATCTCAAATGAAAGCAAAGCCAGCTATGAATGGAAGACGTGCGAGTTTAATTCATTCAAAGTTAGTATGTTTTCCCCTTCTTACAATACTCCTTTTCAGCTCCTCTGCTCAGTACATTATCTCAAAAATCCAAAATTCTGGAGCGGTAAGAGTCAGCTGATTTAGCATGTTTTAATCTTCTACTAATCACTGTCAACCCTTTTTAAGTCATTAATTTGCTATTAATAACTTTTGGAACTGATTTACATTCAAATGTGATTACGAAATTTCAGGACCCAAAGCCCACTGGCTAGTATGTATTCTGATGGTCCTAATGGCGGAAATGGTAAAAATAAGACAAAAGATATTTAGCTGTATCCAGAATCATTCCTTTTCTAGATACCTCGGATGCATCTGACGGCCCGACCGTCAGCTTTTTGTCACCCAAAAAATCAGATTTCCCAGAAGATGACATTAAACTTCTGTTTGAATTGGATCCATCGACATTCATGAAATCTAACAAAGAAGTTCCACGTCGTTCATATGTTCGACTTCTACATCATAAAACAGCTTCATGGGTTCATGCGACAAATGCAAATGAGAAACAGAATCTTCATTTCAGTAATAAAAATGAAAAAGGATGGGTCAAAGTGATCTGTGAGACACATCGAGTTGACAAAGAGACATTTGCTCTGTTGCCTGTCAATCCAGATGAGGTACGTTTGCTCAAATATTAGAATTGTAATTATTAAAGAAAGTTAAGGTTCGGGACCTTGATTTTGCTAATGATGCCTGCAAAGCTTTGCGCAATTTCATCAATCTCATCAAAATCGGTTCAGTAATCTCAAAAGAATCTCTGAATTCCACAACTCAACTCCTTATTGATTGCATTCTCTTCGTTACCAACTCCTCTGATCATCTCGCTGATCCACTCAAAATCACTGATTTCTCCCCATCCCGTGATCGTCAGAAGTTGCTCCGTGAGCAGGAAGTTCTTCATCAAGTATTTCTTCTTCTCAAAGCACCATTCCAACCACGTCAAGGATCGACAGAACTTGGTCCACTTCTCGGGTCTCCAGCTGATTTGAGTGATAGCCGAAACGAGATTTTTAAGACGATGTTCCAGTTGTGCTATTGTCTTTTGAAGTACTCCCAAGTCAGTTATAGAAAGAATCAAGAGTTTCTGGCCGAGAAGTTTGGAGAGATTCAAGAACAAATTGGTTTTGATCTAATGGCAGAAGACACGATGACAGCTGTTCTTCACAATAATCCGAAGCTTTTGGAGAAATATGTCAAGGCTCCGCATGTTGAGAGATTCGTCGATTTGGTCAGAAATAATCGCCAGGGAAAGTGAGTGTGACCTTCATTTTCCAATTGAAATGAGACAGATAGGACAGATGTTTAAACCTTTTAAAGAATTCCTTGTTATTCTTTACAGAGAAATTGCGTATTCATCTGCACGGTTTGTTCAGAGACATTGTGTTGTTTTCAGTATCGTGCTTAGGATTGTCAATTTTTTATCGTGTTCTTGTTTCCTCCCAATTTTGATAATTTTCAGATTCTTGGACTACCTAGCTGATCTTTGTGTATGTCGTGGAGAAGCGAATAAGAAGATTCAAGAACTGATTTGTACATCTGTTCTCAGTGACAAACACCGTGACATCTTCATGGATACAAAAGTGATCAATGGAGAAGTGGAAATCGGATGGGATCCAAACTTTAGAAAGTTGGTCGACATTGCAGAAGGTGCAAAATCAAATCATGATGACGTGGAACATTTGGATTACTATCGGTATGATACAGCTTTACCTGTTTTAGAAATTTGAGCTATTTTCAGACATCAACTTGATCTTCTCTCCCAAATGTGTCAAGAACAACAGTACCTTGCCATTGATCCACCTGTAGAAAGAGGTCTTATGAATATTTCTCAGCAGTTGCCAGCGGAATTGGTTCTACAGTAAGATTGAAATATTAAATCAACTTTCAAAAGCTCAAAAATTTGCAGATGCATGTCAGACACACGCCTTCCATATGATCTTCGTGGATCCTTCACTCGTCTGATGTTGCATCTTCACGTCGTTCGGGGCAGTCCAATGTCTGCGATCCGACACGCCAGACTTTGGCGGAGTATCCCAGAAAGTGTGAATGTTTCCACATATGAATCTGTGTCTGTCGAGGCTTATTCTGATGGAAGTCGTATGAGAATCGGTGCATCGATCGCTCATAAAGTTTTGGCCACCGTCGAAACCTACTTGATGGGTCTGAGAGATCAGCCAACAGATGAAAGACACAGTGTCAACTCTAGCAAACTTACATACGAGGTGAGGGGACTCACCTAACAAATACATCGATAACAAAAATTACAGATTGTGAACCTTGCCAAATCTCTTGCTCAATTCAATTTCTACTCGTTCAATGAACTTCTCCAACTCACTAAAAATCTTCTGGCGATCATAAATGAAGGTCCTGTTCCAGAACAAGTTCCTTCGCACCAAGCTATGGTCAATGTCATAAGAAATATGTCAAAATCCATGTTGAGAGGGGGAAATAACAAGGAAAATTCCAAAGATTTGGCCAAGACGCCGTCTATGTCAACAGATGATGCGGGTCGCAGCAAGGAAGGAAGAGCTCTGATAGTGAAAACCAAACTAATTGTCGCTGAAATATTACAATTCGTGATGGATGTCAGAAGAGATTACCGTATCACAATGGCACTTTCTTGGTTCAAAAATGAGTTTCCTTGCGATGAAGATGGATCTTTAATGCATTCAGCCAGTATCAATGAGAAAATGGCTTCTGAACTATACGATGCGATATATCATTCATCCGGGCATGAACTCCATTTGGATGGAAAAGATGGACAACTCTTGCTTGCAATTCTTCTTCAAATGACAATGTCTGACTATCCTCCACTTACAAGTATTGCTCTAAAAGTTCTTTTCCGCCATTTCACTCAGTATCAAGAGCTTTTGGAAGATTTGAAACAAGTTCAACTATTAGTATCGAATGATGATGTTGAGAACTATCGGCAGATTGATAGAGATTTATTCATTTTGAAGAATCTAACGGAGAAATCTGAATTATGGGTGCATGGAGATAGGAATCATTCTGTGGAGACAAAGGAAGTAGAAGATAAAGAAAAGACCACGGAATATGATTTACATGTAGGTTTATAAGTTTTTGCATTTCGATTTTCTGTGATTTCAGATGCACCAGTTGAATACTCCGAGGGCATTTGAATCAAGAGACTCCATGGATGCCGTGATCGCAGTCATCAATGAGCATTATTCAAACTTCAAGAATGAAAGTCTCCAACTTCTGAACCGGCTCCTAATCAACGATGATCGAAATGATGAAGCTGTAGCACTTCAAGAGCTCAGTGATAAGGCCCCTTTGATTGCATATCCATTGATCCGTCAAATGCTAGTTCGTCTCAAGAGAATGTGCTATAGAGACGGAAAGCCGGATACCATGAACCAGCAACTTCTCAAGAATATGAGAGTCTACGAGGTTGTTCTGGAATTTATCAGCGTTCCCCATGACAAGAAGCATGACCATGAGATGATGAAACTGATAACGTTGTCTCATGAATTCTTGAGAGACTTCTGTAAAGCGAATAAGGAGAATCAAAGCAGACTGTACAAGTTTATTTCTTACGAGAAAGATGCAAAAGAGGGAATGCTTCGTGTGGAAACTGTGGAAGAAGTTGGAACTTTGGTAGCGATTTTCCGAAACAACAGAGAACTTGCATCGAATGTTCCAGAAGAACTCATTGCTCATATCGTTGGACTTATCGAGCACAACTCCAGGAATCCAATTTTCTTAGAACTGTTGCAAGCGTTGGTATGCGTATACGATAAGGAGATCGAAAGTGGACAAGAGAAAGTGGCCAATGAAATATGTGCAGCATCAGATGAAGTACGACAACTGTACGTGGATAATGCATCATTTGAAGAACTAGAAGCAATGATGAAACAAGAAAAAGAATCAAGAGGTCGAGAGACAGAGAGCAGGAAGCCACTGAAGTATCATATCGAGTTGGTTCGGCTTCTTGCGATGTGTACACGTGGAAAGAATGGAAATACTGAATTGAAATGTGCCTCCCAAATTCCAATGGATCATATCGTGAGAGTTGTGACTTCGAAGCATTGTCTGGTAGAAGTGAAAACAGTATATCTGCAACTACTTCTTCACTGTTACATTGACACTGATGCTGAGATGAAGGACGCCTACAAGACAGAATACGTGGATAATATCTTGAACAATCTCCTTGAGGATATCCGTTCTCTTCGTATCGATCGACTCACAGATGCTGAAACAGTGGCTTTGGAACATTACATTTGTCACACTGTCACCGAAGTGCTTATCAAGTTTTTCGAAGCTCCGTATTCAGCTCTTCAACAAGCCAAAGTGGATGTGCATCACCATAAAAAGACCTTCTCAGAAGTTCTTCTGGAGTTGACTAGTTTAGAAAGAGGAAAACTGAAAAGTACAAGATCATCACGGAACTGGTATCGAGTGGCCGAATGCATAAAAAGACTCACGAAATGGGCAGAGGAACACAGATCTCTCTTCCAGCTACTCTTGTTGGTCCACAGATGTCTGCTACTGCGACAGTTCGTCAGAAATGGCAAAATGCAGCTACTTCAGCAAAACTGATCGGATTGAATAAAGTGAGTTCAAGAAGATAATGGTTCTAGGCGTGAGGGAAGAATATTTATGACTGATTGACCGGAAATAATTTATGGGTCATGTTTAGTTTACCCCCCAGAATTTTAGATGATGAGCCAAGAATCCCAGTCGGAGTACGATTCAGATTGCAGTCAGGGTCCTTATCAGTCGTCGGTTTGTTTCGTTGGCGTGATTTAGAAACTTATGTAGTTGTGAAAATCTATGGTGTTGAGTTCGGCGCAAAACTTTACAGATTTATTGCTTTTGTAACAGTGTTCATTTGGTTGATAGTGATTTGATCTATATAATCTAAAATCTATTGATTATTTTCAGCCAGTTATAACGCTTGTCGTTGAGGTGAGAATGGAAGTGTGTGATGTGGGCGTGTGTGCAACTTTCTCTATTTCCTTCTCCAGATTTCCCCTATTTTAACCAATTATTAAAACTTTCAAAACCAAAATTCTATCTATACTTTTCAAAGAATGACCTTTCTATAGCATGAACTATCTGCATGATTGCAGCGATTGAAATTCCAGTGTGCACATTTTCAGAGACTGAACAGACAGAATACTCTTAATCCCGGACATCGACTCTATGGAACATCGAATTCTATGACTGAACACACATCTGCCAATGTCGTTACCTGCTACCACGTAGGATTTTCAGATTAGAACTTTCAGTAGATTTGAATGAATTACAGATGATGATTGGAGAGTTCAAATTTTATTTGCATCCACTACATGCCGCAGAAGGGAGTGTTCTCGTTGAAGTTCTTCACACTCCAGAGCTACTTTTCCCAGAAGGATCAGCTCTTCGGGATCAGTGTGCTCGTGGAGGAGTCGTCGCAAAATTGATTCAGCACTGCAAGACGTTGATGCAAAACAAACAAGACAATTTGTGTTCTAGAGTCCTTCAAACACTCTGTAAAATGTGTGATTGCACAAAGCAACAACTAACTCAGCAGGTGAGAGTACTTCTGAATTTTCAAAATATTCTTGAAAAGCAAAATTGAAATTGTCTGAAATTCAGGGTCGTCGTTTCTATAATAGTAGCTTTGAAAAGGTTTGACACCAGCTATTTTCGTTTTTTGTTTTAAATTTTTCCACTTTTGAAGTTTCATATTCAGCATACTGTACTTTTTGTGAAGCCTTATTTCACTTTGGGTCAGCATTTTTCTTTATCGCTTATTTTCATCACAATTTATTTCTATGGAACATGGGGTTTCTTTCGCTGAAAAAGTAAATGTTAATTTTAGGGTCAACAGCTTCGGCATCTTCTATTGCAAAGATACTTTGGGCATCATAATCATCATCATCCACCTCTGGACAGGCAGCAATCGAAAATCGGAGAAGTTGTTGAAGCTGTTAAAGGTATCAATTGTGATAGATTTTTTAAAATTGAAAAAAAAACCCTTGAATTTTAGAGAAGAAAGAGGAGACATGGAGCCAAGAACGAGATCTATATGCTATCCAGTGTAAGCTGAATGATGCAGGAGCTTCTGATCTTGTCATTGATATCATCATAATGGAACCGAGTCGAGAGATATTCCTGAAGGCAATTCACTTAGCAAGAGCACTTCTTCATGAAGGAAATGATAAGGTATTTTGAGTTACCATTCACATCAGAAACATGAGAGTTTTCAGGTTCAACACTCGTTCTACATGAGAATGAAGCAGAAAGACATTCATGAGCCTTTCTTCAAAGTGATCTTAACTCGAATTCAGACAGCTCAGAACAGATTGAAAAGCGATATGATGAGTTGCAGTGACAGTAAACCCAAACCTTGTAAGTTTTCCTTTCCGGTTTGCACCCAGTAATAGAACAAAATGCAACCACAATTTCCAAAAGAGTAATGAAGTAACACTTCTTCTTTCCACCAATTCTATTGTAATTCTTTCCACCCAAACTCAAAAAATCACCCACCTAACCATCACCTCATTTTCAGCGTTGTCAGCAACAGTGAGTAGACGATGTAAGTTCCTTAACAGACATATTCCTGATTCCCCGATTCCCTTGATTCCTATTCATCTTGTGTCCCACTCTGCCCTAACCCAAATGCAACAATGCAAAAAGTGTTTTCAATTAACCTCATCAGGTTCTGTTTTCTCTTTCCAATCTTTAAATCGGGTTTTAATTTTCATCGATACTAACGTTGGTCTTTCAGCATCCACTGTTCTAACTCCTCTTATCGATGCGGGTGATACCGGTTTCAATGGAACACTATTTGAAGTACCACAACAAGTTCGGCACCCATCCATATCGGAAATGTCCCAATTGAGCAATGATTTGACACACTCGATTCCGGATTTAACCCCATATCAGGACGAGGATAAGTGAGTTCGATTTTATTATAAAGCATTATTCAAAATTCAGATCCGCTGACGCTTTACCCCCAGAAGTAGCACTTGTCGAACCCATTCTTCGTGTACTACAACTTTTGTGTGAAAATCACAATAGTCTTCTTCAAAACTTCCTCCGCAAACAATCTGATAGAACCAATCATAATTTGGTTTCTGAAACGTTGAGTTTCCTTGATACTGTATGTGGATCAACCAAAGGAAGTCTCGGAGTTTTTGGAGAAATCGGAGAGCACAACTTCTCGCTCATCACTCAAACACTTGCCACGTTGACAGAATTCTGTCAAGGACCTTGCCACGAGAATCAGAATACAATGGCGATGCAAGAGAACGGTTTGAATATTATCATTTCTCTGGTGTTGAATGAAATTAAACCACTTGCTGATGATCATATGGAATTGGCACTTGAGATCAAAAGTCAAGCTTCCAAACTCCTGTTGGCTATTATGGAATCGAGACATGACGGAGAGAATGCGAACAGAGTATTGAGAAATATGGCCAACATGTCTGGAGGACCAAAACAATTGGTTCATGCTATCAAGCAGGCATACGAGATGACACGTTCCAACCATCACATGTTGAAATCGGTTAGCAGAGATCTACTGAGAAGAGCCGAGGATGATTCAAAATCAAAATCAGGTCCTCAGATAACTGTCAACACGAGTTAGTTATTTTGATTATTTTCGGTTTGAACAATTTGAATTTTCAGTCACTCTACCTGAAATCAATGTGGATGCATCTGGAATTGTATCGATCCATACAGAGAAGAGCATTTCCAGTTCTCTGGATGATAAATTCCACGAAGACGACAGTCCGAGTGTGGATCCAAGAGAAGTCGGTCACAACATCTACATTCTTGCTCATCAATTAGCCATTCACGATGGAGAATTGGAAATTTGGTTGGATGGAAGTGATGAAAAGAAGGATGATTTGACGAGAGAAGCACTGAATTATTACAAGGAGAGGACGGCACAAATTGAGGTAAGCGGTTTCGGAATTCCCCCTCAATCAAAAGTTGTTCTGATTGAATCGTGACAATCAGATCAAAGTCAAGATCAGTCGTTAATGCGTTTGATCCGAAGTCACAAATCAGTTTGCAAAACTTCCAAACCAAAAAAAGAGAATCGAATCAAATCACTTGAAATTTGCAGATAGTGCGTCGTGATCGTACACTGGAACGGGTAGTATTTCCAATCAACGAAATCTGTTCGTTCCTGACAAAAGAAACAAAAGACTATGTGTACAACAACACAGAAAGAGACAATCAAGGTTCAAAAGTCACCGAATTCTTTGACCAATGGGAGACAATGTACCATGAAATGATATGGCAAAGGAAACTACAAGACAGAAAATGGCTCTCTTGGTGTGCTGTCCGATTACCTCTTTGGACACGATTGTCGTTTCAATTCGCTTTCATTGTGAATGCACTCGTCGCTTTATATTATCCCTTCCCGGAGTCCACAAGCTGTAATAGAGGAAAAAATAGGAAAGATCAATCATAATTCATTTCAGCCTCGATCTCATTCGGCAACTTATACAGTTGGCTTGCCGTAATCAGTGCATTCCTGCTCGCTCATTTCCTCCGACATGAAAAAGCTTACCTTTCGAAAACGGCTCTTCTCATACTTTCTAGTCTCTGTTTCTTGTTAGTCAATTCTATTGGTGTCAACTTAACGCTTTACTTTTTCGGGATGCTACAGGCAAGTTTAAATACTCCATTGAGATTTTAAAATTTGAGTTTTCAGCTAGTCAACAAAGTGATCCATGTGCTTGCATTCGTGAGCAACAAAGGATTAGAAGATCGACCTCTGAGTGAAATACTTGGATGTCGGAATCTGCATTATCTTCTGGTCTACTTGACAGTTTGCATAGCGGGTTTCGTGATTCATCCAATGATTTATTGTGCACTACTTTTCGATATAATTGCAACCGAAGAAACACTTCAAAATGTCATCGCTTCTGTTACAAGAAACTATCAATCCATTGTGTGGACTGGTCTTCTTGCTTTGATTCTTCTCTACATCTTCTCTATTCTCGGATTCCTTTTCTTCCGTCACGGTTAGAAACGTAATCAAAGTCAAAGTCTATAAATCCAATTTTCCAGATTTCTATTTGGAAGTGGATCCAGTTGAACCAGATTCTCCAGCTTCTATTTCTGGCGCATTACCAACTGACACGTGTCCAAAGGAAGGTTGTCCTGGATTGGAAAGGACAAAGGATAACGATGATGATGATAAGAAGGTGAAATCATGTGAAACACTGTGGATGTGTATTCTACAAACGATGTATCTTGGACTCAGAAATGGAGGTGGAATCGGAGACGTCCTCAGAAATCCAGCCCCTTGGGAAGATATGTTCGTTTGGAGAGTTGCTTACGACATGACTTTCTTCGTTGTTCTTATCGTTATTGTTCTCAATTTGATTTTCGGAGTTATCATCGATACTTTTGGAGATTTGAGAGCTGAGAAAAACGAAAAAGAGCAGATTCTTAAGAACAACTGTTTCATTTGCGGATTGGATCGATCTCGGTTTGATAACAGATCAGTGACATTTGAATCTCATCGAGAAATGGAACACAATATTTGGCATTATCTTTATTACATTGTAATGCTTCAAATCAAAGATGAAACCGAGTTTACGGGTCCAGAAAGTTATGTGGCTCAATGTGTGAAGGAGCGAAATTTGGATTGGTTCCCAAGAATGCAAGCTCTATCCCTTCAAGACTCTGAACTGGATACGGATCAATCCGAAATGAAGCAAATGAAAGATCAGATGATGCAGGTAAAAAATTCATCTGTTATTTTTCAATTTACTAGGTTTTTAATTTCAGATGATGGCCATGATGCGAGAAAACCAAAGTCAGTGGGATGAGGTTCGAGCCTTTATGGAGCAGTTACAATCTCGCTAGATAATCAGTTCAATAGCATCTTCGAATAGAAGTCATTTAATATTTTATTTTCTCATTCTCTTTTTTTCCACTCATTTTTGTCTTATTCTCTCATTTTTCCTGTAGTCGTTACAGCACCGGTATTGTCTTTTTTGCTTGTTTTTTTTGTTTATCCTGTGACTCATTTTTTTCCTTGCTCTAGTCTTTAACTGGATCATGAAGTTTTTGGATGATTTTAAAATTTTGGAAGTTTGAACAACCGGATAGAACAATTCATTTTCTCTCAAGGTTCTGACATTCAAGAAAAGGAAGAAATGGAGCCAAAGGATGGTTTTAAGAAGAAAGAAATCGGAACGGATGATGGTGTTAGGGGGAAGTGAAAGGACAGAGAAGAAGAAAAAGACGGAAAAATATAGATATTAGGAAGTGTAGACACACAATCGTCGACTAGATGATATCCAAAAATGGACTTCAAACGCACACACACACACAAAGAGAGATAATTTATTTTCGTCCGAAACGGATGAGTGGAGCCGATGAGGCACGTCCGAAACGGATAAGTGGGGCAGCTGCGGAACGTCCGAAGCGAATAAGTGGAGCGGCTGATGGAGAACGACCGAAACGAATCAGAGGAGCCGATGGAGCAGCTCTCTTTCCAAATCTGATGAATGGAGAAGCTTCTGGAGCACGTCCGAATCTATAAAAATTAATTTATGAAGCTATCCTATCAGTTCTGATTAAATTCTAAAATACCTAATAAGAGGGGCTCCATCCGCTGCTCTCTTTCCAAAACGAATGAATGGGGATGCTTCTGGAGCACGCCCAAATCGAATGAGTGGTGCTCCGTCAGCGGCTCTCTTTCCGAAACGAATTAGTGGAGAATCCATTGCACGAGTCGGTCTATCACTTCGCTTTTGTTCCAAAAATGGGAAGTAAGGATGATTCGTTTCGTCTGCAAAAGTTCGATTTTTGAAACGATTCTTGAAAGCTATTTCAGTTTTTTTTAGAATCCGTCTGGCATATGGTGTTTGGGGAATCTACTTTAAAAATCACTCATTTTTGTTTTGCATCTTCTTCTTCTAATTTTTACAATTTTACTGCAGTCATTCAAGCCTGTTCTGATATTTATTGGACTAGAAAAAAAAATAGAAAAAAACACACTCACATTGTTCATCGAGCATTCGAATTTCCGACGAATCAAAGGCCTGAATGGCCACGACGAACATCATTGGAATAACTAGAAGTGACGTCATCATTGTTCGAATCGGAACGGGGCCGAGTTTGAGTAGTGGGTCTGGAACAATTGAGGAATCCCTACAACATTTTACTACTTGTGAGAATGATAGATGATAGTAGTCGTTGGAAAGGGTAGGAGAAGCATTAGGAGAAAAGAAATGAACGATGGTTTGAGCTTTTAATCCCGCCCAAAGAGTAGCGATAATTTGCAAGTGACCTCCAACTAATTCTTAGTGGCCATCTACATATTAAGAATGTAATAACACAAATTTTTTGCACGGATCTTATTGATCAAAAAGTATCCAACCCTAAGAAAAAGAGTCAGAGAGTCCGCCTACTGGAAAACAAAAAATAGAAGAATAGCATCTGATGAAATGAAATACGTAATTGGGTCCAGTCCACTGGATTCTGAAAAGCACGAGGATACAAGTTCGAAGTATTTGGTGTTTCAGTTCAAATCAGAAAGTTTTGAGTCACAAAGTTCTAGAACAGTCATATGATATCGGTAGTTCTTAGAAAATAGAAATTATGACAAAATCATCAGTTACATCATTTCGGTTCAAAAACTACGGTAGAAATTGAAGAAGTCAATTGAAAATTTGTTTACCGTATTTCCCCTAGCCCACACAAAGCATTAACTTTGAGCTCAATTATCTCGATTCTTGTAAAAGATATCGAAAATGTGTCACCTGATAAATTCTTTATCATGATATCGCCAATATTTTATCAGTTAACAAAGTTTTGTTAACTTTTACAGGAATAGAGATAATTGAGCTCAATGTTGTCGAATTGAATGGGCTCCTATTTGAGGAGATACGGTATTTTTCAACAACCAAACAAAAATAATTTTAGACAACATAACTAGCTGAGCATCTTTATCATCATTCTTCAAAAGTAAGTTCGCCATAAAGCTCCACCCACATTCTGAAAATCATATTCTAGTCTATAAAAAAGTCTTATCTCGCCACAGATCACAATTCATATCATAATTGAATTGTCGCGCATAAAAACTACTATAACATAATTCTTCAAATGGATCACTTTCTCGGTTTTTAGTAAACGTCAACCAAAAAAATCTTCTTGAAAATAAATAAAAGAGATCAAGTTTCGGCCACCCACCTTCCGCCAAATGAAGGAAGTATGGGGGAATGGATGCGGATAGAAAAAAGAAAAAGAAGAAAATGGTTTTCAGGAAGAATCAGAAGGCACAATAATAGACGAATAGAGTAGATTGAGTGTATATATCTCTATACAGACAAATTAATTGTCGTCTCTCTCCGCCTCCATTCGATATCAAATTGAATTGTAGGCTCCTCCCTGTTGTTTTCAATGCCTAATTACGATAAAACGATCCTCGTATCTCAATAATTCAATTTTGAATCACTTCTCACTAATTTGAATTTTTTTTTTTAGGTTTTTGACTATAGTCAGAAGGAAGAATGTCACTGACGATGGTTCTACAATTGGTGACCTTTTTAGAACGGAGAATTTTAGTCTAGATTATCTAGATTCAGAATAGAATGGTTGGATTTTCAGAAACCTCATATTCTGTTATAAAATGAAAAATAAGAAACAAAATATTTCAGTGAATAGTGAAAAATGAAGATGTTTGACGGTCGGGGAGTTGAAATAAATATGAGGAGGAGTCATCAATCGAAGAGAACAATTTACATTTTTTCAAGTGCTTGAAGAGAACATATCCTATTACAGCTTTGATGTCCCACGATTTCAGGAAATTGCATATTTTGGGGGCGGAGTCGGAGAACACAAAGAGGTACGGTAGAGATGTCACATATAGTGACACAGAGAGAGTTTTTGAAAAAGTTAGAAAAGTAGAGGCGGCATTTTTATGCTCCAGTGAATATAAGGATGAACACAATATCAAGAAATTCACGAAAATAGGAAATAAAAAGAAGTCGTTCGAAGAAAATGAAGATGTTAGGAAGAGCTTGAATTACACCTAAATAGTCAAGTTCAAGACGAGGTTAGTCAGCGTGACACGGTCTAATGGATTCCCTGTTTTTTGTTGTGTTCAATGGAAAACTATTCAGATGACGTTGAATTTTTTATCAACACGGAACTTATCTGATTCATAATTTAAGACAGAATATTTCATGACTTTTATTTTTGAAGTAGTGATCTGATTGCAATTATTTTTCTGATTTTTAAAATCAGAGCTATGGAAGAGAAACGCCTGTGGTCGTAGCCGAAGGTCCCACAACGACAACTTCTCGGGATTCAGAAGAAAAAAAACATCTCAGACTGCCCAGAAAGCCTAAAAGAAAAGAATGACGATTCTTCCGAATAGGTGGAGCCCACTTGGAAAATTCGTAGGCTGATGATCGATGGAAAGTCGAAAATTCAAGTGCACCTCTCTCAAGGGCTCCCACGTCTTCAGGTACTATGTCTCCGGGAAACACTACTTTACTTCATATTCCTCCTGATATTTTGGTCCCCATTCGGAGAAATTTTTAGCACGTCATCTTGAATAAGTTGTGCAAGATGAAGAGCACCATCTTAAAATGTCCATTCAAATATATCATGTAGTGGGAAAATAGTGGGGCTAGGTCTTTATTTATTGTTACGACGACAGTCGGAACAGAAGAAGGTTACCAGCATCAAAAAAGGTTTGCAGACAGAAAACATTTTGCGTAGAGTTGAGGCTATTAATAAAGTCGAATGGGGTAGAGAAATTAACAAATCTAACAGTAAAATTAACGGGGAGATGACAAGCAAGAGAGCAAGATGTAGAACCCTAGTTTGTACATTTTGGTTTGAATAAAACTCCGAAGTTTTGAAGTTAACCGAAGATCAGTCGCACTTGACTACAGACTTCTGCCCTCCGAATCCAGTCAATGTGTTGATAACCTGAAAAAAAATTGTGGTCCGTAATTTTAGGCCAAAGTGATACATTAATAATTTATATCAAGTTTAGGTCTTAAGTTGAAACAACGTCAGAGGAACATCTCCTACGTCACCATACACACCGTACATCTAGAAATTCGTGAAACCCAAAAAAAAACGAATCGTTGTTAGCTATTTCAGATTCACTTTGTTTAATTCCGCCTACGTCAATAATCAAATTATTAGGTACGCAGTAGTGAACTGCACTATTTCGGATGACAAATTGGATTGTCTTTTATAAATTCGAAACAAAAATACTTACATTGGCAACTGACTGATAAACATGGCTAGTCTCATACGGTCCAGTTCCATAGAAAGAGAATTGATCGGGCTTCGCATATTTTCTTTTGATTCTCTTTCGCAATGTCATTTTCGGGTTGAAGATGAAGTCCGCCATCATACCTACCCAGCTTCCATGAGTTTGCCAGTCTTTGTAGTATTCTGGAGCGATTTCGCGGACCTAGAAAATATTTTCATTTTGCTGTGAAATCATACATATTTATCGTTCTCCGATTGGAACCAGGCTGCAAAGTTCACTTCTGATGACCTCATCAAATATTTGATATTTGATAATCTTCAAAACGTCGGGACGATGATCTTATGAAAGCCAAAACTCGCATCAAATTACAAATTTCCGCCCTTTCATTTCAAACGCTTTTCGTCGTATATCCGGCACCCGTAATTTCCATAAATGCCGGCAGCGCGGGTGCGCAGGATTAAAAATAGCTACGGCCTGCTATGACCCGACCCGTTTACAAGTGAAAAAAAGATGACTAACCTTTGGGAGATTCGATCCTGTAATATAGGGGAAGTCGTGATGCTCAACATGGTAACCGACGTTGAAGACTACCATATTGATTGGTCCGTAGTAACTGGAAATTAAAAGATAATTCGAGATTTACATTATTTGTATGAGTCTCACCTATAAGTTTCCTGGTCCTTCTTGAAAACGTAATGTTCAGAAACAAAATGGCCAGCACATGGATGCAATCCCATTCCAAGAACAAGTCCTCCAAACAAGAAGAAGAATGATTTTGGTCCAAATTGAGTATAGATGAAACTACTGAACGCCAATTCAATTGCGACATTAATCAGTTCCAAATCAGTCATGGATTTCGGGTAAAGCATAAAAGGTCGAATCCCGTAGAAAAGTGGTTGAAGACTCATCCATATCATCTTTCCGAGCCATGTACGGAAAACTTTCGCTTCGAACTCAGTGGGCACATCAGTATCAATCACATCTTCTCCTAGATTACGATGATGTTCTAAATGGTACTTTTTGAATGATATTGACATTGGAATACACATTGGTAGGTTGGCGATAAATCCAAAGATACGGTTCTGTAAAGATGAGAGTTGAGCATTTCGAAAACTATCATGCCAGATCTTACCGCAAGAGGTCTACTTGTTCCAAATGCTTGATTATGACTAACTTCGTGAACAGCAAGTGTCAGGGAATGGTTGATAGTTCCCGATACAAAATATGCTTGAAGGACGACTAAAAGCCAGTCAGAATCACGGAGTAAATATGCAAAAACAATCTGAGCAAGAACCATACAAACGACAACGGGTCTGAATGCTTTGTCTTGTCCAAACAGTTCCTTGATCTGAGGATATTTCGCCAGCATCTCTTTGCGCCTAGATGCATGTGGCTCTTCTGTGTAGGCCCATGCGAAATCCTCTTCCTTGGCCGGAGCCTGACCCATGTCTGAAAAATTTAATTTTTTGATTTTTTGTCTATACGAGGGAAACTATATATATAAAGTGAAGGATATTTATTATACTGGTATGCAAAAATCGGGGCTCTGGAAGAGAAAATTCGGACCAATAGTATAAAAAAGAGGACCGAAATTTTCAGGTCAAAGTGGTTTTCGTTACGGGGACCGTTAGGTTTCTCTTTCGCAGCTCCGATTTTTTCATACAAGAATAATAGCAACAACTAAGACCAGGGTGATTATTGATGAAAGTTACTAAAATAAGGGAAAAAAGGAGCAAGAAAATTTTTTTGATACTGTCCGTCAGTCAGACTGGTTTATCAGAAACTATAAGAAAATGTGTGGGAGAGGAAGGAGAAGGAACGAGACTAAAGAGAAAGATAGAGTGCGGTAAAGAGAATGAGAATCAGAAAGTAGGCCGAATGAGGGATAGAATCAGGAGAAAAGATAATTGACACATTGTTATTTGTTGATATAGTTTAGTTCACACTCCACAAATCTAGGTCGTTCGGAAATTTATTTGCTCACATCTCACAAAAAAATTGTTCTTTGATTTTTCAAAGCTCTTGGTATTCCTTTTGAAATGAATTTACTTCAGGAACTTTTTTTCAGTACAGTAACGAGCCAGAATGAGCTAAACGAGTCCAATGTCTTTGACGACAAAACGCCACTTTTCAGCTGATAAGAGCCGGAGCCCGCAATCGCACTTTTTTCTCACGTAAGTTCAAGTATCGGGCGGTGCACCAACCAATAAAGTCAGACACAATTTGGAGGAATTATATGCAATTTGAAATTAATTGTTTATCAATTACAATCAGAATAACAAAAAACGACAAAAAAGAGATACAATAAAAACACTTGATAAGAAGAATCTACAAGACTAAAATTTCCTACAAAAAAGTATGTTTTCAAAGAGCAGCCGCCATTGCGGGTGTGGCGTCATCAGTTGTTTCCTCTGTTTTCTTTTCATCCTTCTTCTTCTTTTTGTTCTTCCGCTTCTCGATCTGCAAAAAAGAGAAATGAATATTTTGAAACAAAGGAATCCATAGCAACTTTGAAGTCAATTTTCACAGGGAACACAAAGTTTCATAGAATGTTCTTGGTCTTTGTTCTGATAGATTCCTACTTGGGATCAGTTCGCGTTATTACAACCAGTCATCATACCTTTTCGATTTCTTCTTCTGTTGGAACTGGCAACCATGGTTTCACATCAATTGCATAGTTCTCTTCACCTGGAATCGTCATGAGAAGTGCCCGATTGATGAAGGGACCGAGTGCTGGATTACGGTGAGAACATGCAGCGGCAATTACAGTAGCAATATTGGCTTCAATCTGTTCATTTGGCATCGACAATCTTCCAACAACACAGTCACTTAGCCCCCAAATTGGATAAACTGGGTCACCATTGATATTCAATTTTACTCCATTTTTGAATTTCTCGATGAGTTCTGGAAGGTTTTCTCCAAGTCCTCCGTTTGCTCTTGTTGGGAATCTCGTTTTGAGAATTCCACGAAGAGGCAAAATCGAGGATCCCATATCAGAGTGGGATACACAGAAATCGTAGTCATCAGTTCTGAACTGTCCCTTAATAATTTTCTTGATTGTGTCTTGTCCAAGAGCCATTTCAGCACCAGATTCGACTGCAAGTTCTTGAAGCTTCACATCGTTTGCAAAAGCAAGAATTGTTCGTTTCTCATTGTGATTGAAAGGGAACGGAACTGGCACGATCTCATCACTTCCTGTAATCATTTTCGTTTGCTTTTCTGTTGTCATGTTCAGTTCAAGACGGAGACGAATTGGTGCGTTCGGATTATTGTAGATGGAAGGACTTTGAAGTTCTCGATGCATATCAAGTGCTTCAGCAACGGTGTAATATTGGGTTTTGAAATGAGACCTATAAAAGAAACGGATTGTTCTAACGATTATGGGGAAGATCATACTTTATAAAGACGTCAAGAGTCGGTTTCTCTGGAAGATTGGATTCATCATCAATGTTAAGTCTTCCAGGATACTGTTGAGAAGGAGACAATAGATTTTTCATTCGCCGAATATTGATTCTTTCCATAAACGAATATTGTTTTCTAGCTGCCTCCTTTTCTTCTCTTTTCATTCTTCTTTCCAATTTCTGCTGACGAGTAATTGTTTGTTTCAAGGCTCTTTTACGTCCTGAAACAATATTTGATTTTGAAGACATAGATATTAAAACTCACCTCTGATTTGAACAACGTCAGCCGCAACTGGACGGAGCATGGTGCTCCCTGAAGCAGATATCGTCTGTCTAACTAATGATAACATCCTGAAGAATATCGAATTTGAGAAATCATTCAAGCAACAGGGAAAAATAAATAAATGCTGTTCAAAACAGGTATAACAAGCTAGAATCAGTTGAGAAAAGCTGACGATGTTTATTGATTCGGTACTTTTCGAAAGAAAATTTGTGCAAGTCAAGAGATAAATCTAATCAAGAGGGAAATAAATAGAGAAGGGGAATGTCGATATAATTCGAATAGGACTTTTGGTTTTCACATTAATATACATGTACCATTCCGTAGAAGAACACCCAGAGCAGGACGAAGGTCAGAAGACCATTTCCATGGGACCAGGTGAAGGAGTTTCTCTCTGGAAAGTAGCTGAGCCAGTTTCCTTGAGCTTTCACGTTCCATATCAGCGCTTGAATTCCCACTGAGATGAAGTAGAGAATAAATCCTTGGAATCCAGTGAGACCGAGAATACCTGAAATTCCAGTTTTGCACAAACATTTATAGAAATAATTGTTTTAATTCGATATCACAAAAACTATATTGTAAAATATTACCGGCAGCCATTCCAGCAGCACACGATTGACATGTTCTTCCGAATTCGAGAGCTTCTACATTATTTGTGATCGCCGCAGTACTGTAAATTCAATCGTTTAACTTGAATATTAGCTAAAACCTCACTTGTAACACTCGTCGTTTTTCTTCTCCGTTTTCGACGACTTCTCACTCATTTTCCAGGCTGAAATATAAGCAATCAACTGAATGGAAATTTGTATATTCAGCAGCAGTATATTTAAAAAAGTTTTATGAAGGAATTTTTGAGATATATCTTTTTAAAAAAGAAGAAAAAAGCTTCTTCAAAGAAAAAATAAAATCGGTAAAAATGGAATGGTGCAATTTGTCGTGATGGTGTATGTGCTTGCACGCAATTGCGGACCTCATTTTCTCTTCTCTCCCCTCATTCTGATTTTTCCTCGCTTAAACTTTGTAAAATTCACCTGAATTATTGAATTAATTGATTTTTATTTTTTTACTAAAAGAAATGAAATTTCAGATGCTTCGAAGTCTTCAACATGTAGAATCCCACATAAACCAATGTCGTCGAATTTCGACTACATCTACACTTCTCAAGAACAGAGCTGGTAAAACTAAGGTTCGATACTTTTTTATTTTAATAGTTATAATATAAATTCGAGAAAAAAAATAATTAACTTATTTTTCGTATTTTTTGCTAGCGCTTCTGATGCGCAGAAAACCACTATTTTAATTACAGTCAACATCGAATCGGACACAACTTCTGACTTATGAGATGGCTCAAAAACCGCATCACATCGGCGTCAGAAAGTCTTGGCTCACTTGGCATTCACAAAACCTCGAAGGTTGAATAATTGGATTGAAGATAACATTTTGAAATAACATTTTCAGAGTTCCGACAATCACAACCACTGGTTGTCGCTCAAGACGAAGTCGTTCGTCGTTTCATCAGAGGATTCTTCCCGCAAAATCTCGTAGTCAGCGGAAACGAGGTAATTCTTTGTGAATGATAAGTAATTTTTCTAACTTGAATTGATTCTGCCAACTAAAAAAACTATATATTGAATCATACCCCAAGAAATGTTTATCAATATCAAGCAACATTATTCAGATATATTTTTTTAAATTTCGAATTTCAAACTAACAGTAATCTGTTTGTAGATTGTGATTAAACGACGAGGAAACGTGCTAATTGTTGCTGGCTTCCTCCAGTATTCTCGTAGACTGGACATTCGGCGTATCTACTGGATGTTCGGATTTGCAGAAGAATTCCTATCGATTCTACTGAAACAGCCTGTGAAATTGGAACTGTCGTTCGTGGAGTCGGAAGAGACCGTGGCATACAACTACATCTAATCATTTCTTTTAGTTTTAGTAAATCGTAGTATTGTTTTTTTTTATTGTTTCTGTTACGATCCAAAATAAAATCTTTAAAAATTCTAATTTTCTGAAGTTTGGCTCCCGGAAAACCACACAAACACTGTGATAAAACATCATCATGCCTCAAATTTATCAAATAGTGATTCGCGACAAAATCGATAAACAATTGTGCTCTCTCGCTCAGCACACTGATAACCCAACTGATGTCTTCAGTATTAACTATTGCGCCCTCTCGACCGTCCTTTTAACTATACGTGATTCACAGCTAACTATGCCTTGCTATTCTACCCACTGATAATCATTCCGTGGCTTATAAAATTGCAGTCGGTCGTGGCGTGATTCTGCTCCAAAGACGTCGCTGTTACATTGATACTCGATTGACCTAGATAATTTCATCACTAGATGGCTTCTTCTCCTTCAGTGGATGACTCTCGTCGGTCAGCTGTTCCACCAAAAGAGCCAAATGGACGAATTTGTACAGTAGGTGAAAGAAGGAACATTTGGAGTTTCAATTAGGATTTCGTATCAACACTGATTGTTGAATGACTTTATGGGTCAATCATATTATTTTGTCACAAAATATCGGAGCCGTGGACGAGAAACAAGGTCCCAACCTAAGTAAGGCAACCTAAGTAAGGTCCCACAACGACATCTACTGTAACCCAAAAATATCAATATTTTGAGGATTTATTTTCTCTGTTTTCGTGTGTTCTCAGTCAACTTTTTCTCAATCAAAATTTTGATTTCCCGACTTTTAAAAGAAAATTAACAGAAAAATCGACGTAAACCAGAAAGAGAAATTGAATTCGGAAAATGTAAATATTTTCAGGTTACGGTAGTTGTCGTTGTGAAACCTTTAGCAGCGGCCACAGGCGTTTCTCCTCCAGAGCTCTGATTGCTTGTACCAGAATAATATTTTGAGTTTCATCTGTGAAGCGCAACTTGTGATTTTGTATCAGAATGAATTCTTTAATGACTTCATGAGTCGTGTCTTATAAGACAAATTTATGTAATTCCTTTCCAGCACATCTTCAAAATTTCCAGGTATGTTGTGATCGTGCGAACGGATATAATTTTGGAGTTCTAACTTGTGAATCGTGTAAGGCATTTTTTCGAAGAAACGCTGCAAAACACAAGGTAGCTGTACTATTTTGATCTTTAAAGCTTACCATACCTTGTTTTAGGATATCAAATGTCCGTTCTCCGATTCCTGCCAAATTACTTCTGCATCTCGTAAGTTTTGCCAGGCGTGCCGTCTGAATAAATGCTTTGCCGTTGGAATGAGCAGTGAATGGCTAAACGATATAAAACCAAAAACTTCTGGATCTGGAAAGTTCAAAAGAAAGAAGCCAGAAACAAAAAGTCAATTGAAATTGGAAGTAGAAGACACTGAAGATTATATTGAGAATGAAGAAGAAGAGCAAATCAGTGTGCCAAAAGCATTGCTAGAAAAGCTAATTAACAGAGCAAATGAGTAAGTTGGGGATCATTTGGACAAATTATACGTCACTCTTTTATTCTGCAATTTTCCTTATCTATCTTTTTTGAATTCGAACCATTATCTTTTTTCTGACACTGCACTCTGATCAGCAAACCAACTACATCAGTCACAAATGTTCAACTTGAATTTCAGGAAGCCAAAAGATCATTGTATTTGTAAATGTCAATGCGGATTCTATCCAACCTCCCAACGTCTCACTGCCTACACCCCGGAAGACCAGACAATTGTTGTTTGTTCTCTGATGAACACTTTTAAGAGTTTCAGAATTTTTCAGAGCAGTACAGTAACCAAAAACTCGTTCTCACAACCTTCTCATCACTCTGACTCATTTTCCTATTCGTCATCTTCTTCAACCCTCTCACCAATGTCAGTTATCAGCTGTGCTCCATCATCTCATGACTCCAGAAGCTACAGTACCCCTCAGATTGTTCCTCAGTCGCCTTCTAATTATAGAGTTTCTCCTCCTTCCATGCCTGCTTCGATTACAGGTTCTTTAGTTTCTTAAATGTAATTCCCAAAATAGGATTTTTCAGATATGTCTCCCCAGATGACATCTCAATATCCACAAATGTTTTCTCCATTCCAATTCAATTTCATGTCCCAGCTGTCTTGTTCGAACAGTTTCTTGAATTTTCCTCCTCCAATGCCAGAAAGATCGTGGAGTCCAGTTCAGTCAGTGCAAGTGGAGCCATTAAATGAAGCAGTTCCATCAGTTTTGATCAAGAAAATTCATCTGAGTGAGTTCGAGATCCATTGAATACAATTATGTTAAAACTTTCAAAGTTCAGAGATCGACAAGTATCTTGGAATTCTGACTAGAGAAGAAATGACTCTACTGGAGGAACTCCACATACAAAACGAACCTTTAAATGCTCCATTAATAAAATGGCATAATCCAGATAGTATTGATGGAGTTTTCAAAATTATTGAAGAGGCTCTTCGGCGGATTGTCAACATGGCTTGTCAACTGAGTCTCTTCAGAGAGCTACACGTAGATGATCGCAAGAATCTTTTGAAAAGTGGTTTCGGAGAACTACTAATTGTTCGCGGGCTGATGGCATATGATAGAAGTGATAACAGTTGGAATCATTCATTTGGGGTCGGAGGAAAAATGGAAGTCAAAGTGGACGTTCTGAAAAATCCCAAACTGGAAGAACACTACAAAGCCCATGTCAACTTGATAGCGACATTTGGAGATGATGTGAGGAACAACGAAAACCTTATGCTCTGTTTTAATGCAGCTGTCATATTTCATCCTCGTGAGTTTGGAAATGGGAAAAACTATAAGTACATTGTTCTTTAGATTTAACTACACTACGGGAAAGCAATCGTGTTCATGCAACTCAGGCCAAATACTTTCAAATGCTTTTAAAGTGTGTACACCTTTCTTTTCTATACCGAATGATGAAATTTCAGATTGCTCACTTTTGAATATGGAAAAGAAAAAGCAGATATTGCCTATAGTAACCTTCTACATCAAGTCGTCGAACTTCATCGCGTCAATCGAACCTTACTCCGCGTCTTTTATGGTTTAGATATTGCCCAATTAGATCCATTAATTCGAGAACTGTGTTCTTTTCAATAATCATTTATTAACATAAATTTTGCACATATTGCACACTTATTAAAAGAAAATGTTTCGAGAAATTGCACATAGAAAAACGAAAGACGGAAACGAAGAGTGATTGAAATACACGTATAGCTGGATCGAAATCAAACAAATTTAGGTTACTTTCTTCTGATGATGGTTACTTATTCCTCCTTCAACCACTTTTGGCATTTGGCAACGTAGATTTGGGAGCGAGCACAAGTGAGAGCTGGATAGTAGTTTTCGATGAAATAGCAGTGTTCCTTGGCGAATTCCTCAACAGTGTCGAACAAGAATTGACGGGCAAAACTGCGAAGGTTCAAGCATTGATGTTTGGTCACAACAGCTCTCTTCTTGTTCTTTTTGATTCTGCGAGAACGAGTCACTGGTGCTTCAGTGGTGGTTGTGGTAGCCTCCTCCTCGTCTTCTTCAGCAATCATTTCAGCTTCAATGACATCGTCTTCTTCGTCTTCTTCCTCAGCAGCTTTCACAACTTCTTCTTTCTCTTCTGGAGCTGGAGTTGGTGCTTCGGTAGTCGTGGTGGTTGATGTTTTGGCTTTCGATAGACGAATTCTTTGCATAACTCTCTTTCTGACTTCCTTGTTCAACAGTTCCTCTTCCTGTTCCTTTGTGAACATCTGAACCTTGCTGCTTCTTTGTTCCATAGCATCATTCATTGGAGTGTCGTTTTGTGGTTTCTCTTGCGCCAACTCGTTTCTTTTTGGACTGTCCTGAACCTCATCAACTCCATCGAATTGCTCAGCGAATTCCTCAGATGGGGGAGATACACTTGGTGCAACTTGAGTCTTCCATTGTTCATCGTAAAGATCTGGGAAAGTTCTGATCTCCTTCTTCTCCTTCTTTTCCTTCTTGTGACTCTTTCTTAGCTTTCTCTTCTTCTTTGGTGGCTCAGTTGTTTCCTCTTGCTCCTCCTCAACGAATTGCGTTTCCTCTACCTTCTCGTTCTGAAATAATTAAGTATGCTGCTGTAAGCAATTAGAGGCACCGCTCCCGGCTGAGAAGTGAACATGAAAAACCAATTTTGGTTAAAAACAAAAGAAGCATCTCAACCGGTGCAGTCCGAAGTAAAAGTGCAAAAACTAATAAGTATTACTTCTTCAACTTTGACGATACGTGGCTTTCGAATCTTCTTTTTACGGTTGATGGTGTATACACGAACGCTTCCCTGAGAGACGAGAGTTAGATAAGTGAGAGTGGAACAGTTAGTCACAAACAAATCAGTTAAAGAGATTTTACTCACTTCTTTCTGAAGAAGATTGATTGGCTCCTGCTCTTCTTGAGCTTGAATCTCAATTGGGTCGCTCATCTGAACAGTTTTTGCTCCGAATTGACGAGAATGCATATCTTTTGCCTTCTTTTCAAGATAATGAATCTTTCTTCTTGGAAGAGACTTGCGTTTTGGTTTTGGAACTTCAGTGCTTGTCACTTCTGGTTCTTCAGTAGTTGTGGTGCTTGTAGTGGTTGTAGTTGGATCCGTAAACAGATTCACCTAAAAATACAATCAGGTTTCAAAAAAAGCAAGCAACTTGAATTTTTATGATTTCAAAAGGATCGCCTCAAAAAAGGGAAAGTTTAGCCACTTACCATTGGTGGGAAAGTTGGGGCCAAGAACTCAGCAGCGTCGGATTTCTGGAAATTGTTAACTAATTTGATTATGTTCAAACCAGAACACGAACCACTTGTTTAATCTCAACTCTCTTTGGTTCTTCAGGTAACTGTGGAAGTAAGGTGTTTGGAAGAATTTTGACCGATCCATTCACATCCTTCACAACAACAACCTGTTCATAAACACTGAAAGAAGAGTGTGTCTATGTGATAATTGTTGTATTTTCTCACGTTTTTCCGTCTTTGGTGACTGGACGATACATGATTTCAGTGGCTGGTTTAGCGGCAGTTGCAGCCCTGAAATATGACATGTGTTCCTCAAAAACTACCCCATTCTGCTTTATTTTTCTTGCTTCTTGTTGTTTTTTTCTCTCCTTTGACCATCACCCGCCAATTTCCCCCCTTATGTTTGAACCGGTTTAGCTGGTTAGTGAGTGTCAAACGTCAGGAACATGAAAAAAGAAGAAAGAAAAGAGTCAAAATGAAGGATTACTATCAAAAGAACATTCTTCTCTTACATCTGAAGAGCGGGCATTTGAAGTGGAACAGGAGGCAATGGAACCAAAGGTGGTAGGGTAATCATTGGCTCTTGTTGAGGTCGTTGTTGGGTCTTTTGTGGTTGTTGAGCTGCTTGAGCTGCCTGAGCCTCTCGGATAGCGTTTCCAGTAGCTGAGATGAGTCTGAAATGGACGTTATAAGAGTTAGTTTCAATCCGAAGATGCTATGAGTTTCGAAGAAATTCAAACAATATTATCAGCTCACAAGAGCACAAACACGAACATTAGATTTTCACCAAGTCCAAAAAGCTAGAGTTCTGAATTTGAATTCTAGATATTTTTAGTATACAATTCCTTACTTGGAGATGGAGAAGATATCCTCGTCATCCTCAACTTTCTTGGCAGCGAGAGTTGGACGATCATTAAGTGCTTTCTGTTCTTGTGCCTTCACGTCGTCCACCTGAAAGTTCAAATTGGCATCTTTCCAGTTCCACAAAAGCTTTTTGAATTCTCGCAAATTCGAAATACGTTCATCCGTAGAAGAACTTCACACCCAATTGGCAACGTTTCCGGGACTACATATATCTCAATGTTTACTTACCGTCTTGAAGCTGTACGACTCCTCATCATCCTTCTTTTTCTCTACTCTCTCCACCTCTTCTTTCTTCTTTTCAGCCACAGCTTCTGGCTGCATCTTCATATCCTTCTCACTGACGAATCCTGCATCTCTGGCAAGTTGAGACATGATATCGGCAGGAAGCTTCAAAAGAGAATCATAGACGTCTTCACGAGCCTTCACGACTTTCTGTGGTTCTGGAGTGGAAACATCTGGTTCAACACTAGTGGATGTCTGGTTTTGGCTCTTCATTATTTCTGGCACCTCTTTAATTGCATCAATTGTATCTCTAACAAGTGATCGGACATCGATAAAATGATCTTGAGAAAGAGCAACTGCCAGGAGAGCCGGCAAAACTACGAAGAGATGCCTCATCTGAAAAGAGAAAAGTAAAAAGATACAAAAGGAGAAAGTGTTTAAAAGAATAAGAATAAGAAGGAACAAATGTTCCTTCATGATACATCTTTGTTGAACAAGAAAGGGTAATGAAATTAGAATGAACACCCGGAAAGCCAAGAATCCCTCAAAAGTAAAATGAAATGAAGCGTTCAACCCGGGGTGGGATGTCTATTCTCTACTCCGCCTCCTCATCTTCCCTCGGCTACCTGTATATAAATTGACAAATTACACGAAGAGGACCCGAGAGAAAGTTGGTAATTAGAAGAGAGAAAGGATTATTTGGCTAGGAGGGGCAACCAGCGCCCCTTTATGTCTGCAAAGTGAATTCAAAAGCATAAGTGACGAAAAAAACGGAAACGAGATATTAGATATAATAGGAGGAGATGATGATGTTGTGTTTGTAAGCGTTAGATCGGTTATGGATAGCCATGAATCTTGAGAAAGGGAGAGAAAGGCTTGTATTCGGCAATGTTAGCGAGATTTGGTGAGATATCGTAGTGTCAAGAATGTTGCATTCTCCGAGGATAGAAAAACTCAAATAGAAAGACAATAAGGAAATTGAAGGGTTCAATTGCCTAATCGGACTGAAAACTTTCACAGCTCGGCCAGATACTGTGTTCAGAGGATGGTCAGATTCCGGATAAGACCGCTACAAAAGCCGACAAAACTCTGACCAACTTATGACAAGGTTCCGAACTAGTAGTATTTCAACTTTCAATTTAATACCAAAGCTGGACCATGGCCCGCTATAGAGCCGTTTTTAGGCAAGTTCGGCCCAGAACCCGGCCAATATCCGCCAAAAAAAGGGTTCCCCTCACATTCTGACCAGAGGTATTAAGCCGACAGCTGAAAATGGATAGCAAGATTTGAAACAAAAAACAGAACTCGTCTAATGTTGGGTTACGGTATCTGAAGAGAGGATAGAACGGAGAAGTTGTGGGATACTAAAAACGAAATCACAGGATGAAAAGTTATGATTCTCACTAAAAATGTAAAGTTTTACTGTGTATGCAGCACAGAGGAAAGCTACGATAGAAGGATCACATGAAGATCTCAATCCTACGAGAAGCTTCACAACCTTCAACGAAGAGAACACCTTTGGAAGTGATGGGACGTTGAAGAAAACGAAATGAAATGTATCTTATTATCACCACTTCTGGCTATTTGGAAGCATGGAGGCGGGGGCACACAAAAAGCGAAACGCACACAAAAATCCCCCCATACGAAGACTATCTCTCGCCAAAAAGAGGTCTCGATCAAGTTCTCTTTTTGAGAGAGAAAAGAGAAGCCTGATATGTAGAAGAAGAAGCAAAAAAGGGAAGACGAGAATCGGCAATCTACTGACCGATTGAAACAAACAAGCCAGTTTCTGAACGTTTCTGGATAGTGGGCAAGAGATGCGAGAAAATAAAAAAAGGAAGATGAAGAAGAAGAAATGTTAGCTGCGAAATTAATTGAAATAGAGATAAGGTGAAGATACCCTTCCGTTTATGACACAATCCATTCTCGGGATGAGGAAAAAATAAGAAGAAGAAGTAGTAGGGAAATAATAAGGTGTTTTTCAAGTTCGAAATTGATCTTTAAGAATTCACAACTTCAGAGAATTCGGGATGTAAGTTTACATCTTCAATATGTGTTACCGTAAGACCTGTAATAAAAGGGCCTCTTGAAGATTTCACTTTGAACCTACTTATCTCGGTTCCTGGGAAAGATAAAAATTGTCAACGGATAAATTGTTTTTCTTGACATTATAAGTGGTTTGTTAGCCGTTATAATTCCGATATCTTGCATGGGAATTGATATAATTGAGATCAAACTTGACAGTTTGGGGGCCCGTCTATTACAGGATTTACTGTTGATTCTTAAAAACTCCGGTTTTATTTGAATCATCGCACCTTTGTAATAAAAAAATTCAAAATCTTTCAAAACAAATCGTGTGTTTTGTATTTACTAATTGGATTTTAAATCTGAAGATTCCTCGTTAAACTTATCTACATCATGTCCGTTTTACTACTTTACTACTTCATTACCCTTATCCTCCTTTTACTGTTTTCCTTTTTATTCTTTTGCTGCAGATGAAATTAACCGTTTACGACGTTTTTTCCTTCTTCTTTTTTCATTTTCATCCCCTTATCAAGTGTTCCGATCCACAAACCAACCCTCTCTTCATGCTATCATAAAAACAAGCTTTTATTGAATGACCACGTTTAGAGGGAAATCTGATTGAGGGAAAGGGTTAATCCTTATTACAATTGCTTTCGCTCACTGCTAAACAATTTTGTATCTGGATGTGTAGTCAAAGAGAACAGGGGTTATCAAAGTCTATGAACAAAAAATCTTGATTTCTATTTTCGAGAGTGTGACAATACGTTCTGCAGCGCTCTGACTGATCTGCGAAAGGATTTTTTGTTTACATATGAAACATCGGGTTTCTGATTTTACAGAAGCTGTTTTTGCAGCATCTTTAGCTAGCAGAAAATCGGATCAACCTTTGAGTCGTGTCCCATCTGGACCTACACAACAAAAACGAATTCAAATTACCATCGAAAACATTTTATTCTATCCCATCTAGAAAATTTTATTATCATAAAGTTACAAATTCATCGATCTCAAGAAAACAATAAAGTTATTAGCGAACCAATGTGGCTGGTCGGCTCTCACTTAATACAGCCATGGCAAGATCATACACCTCCATTGCATATGGGTACCTTCTCACGAAGGATTGTCGCGCATCCAGATGATTTCTCCTACTAGAGTAGGATTTTTGGTGCAGATCCTGAGCAATGCGCCATCCATATTTGTAGCTTTCGTTAGCATACTCCTCAAGCTCCTTTCATAACATCTGGATTCTTAGTGGGTCACGGATGGACTGTTGAATTAAATCTGATGTGCTATTGAACCCTCTGGAATAGCATATGTCCAGTAATACCGACATTTCCTGAAAATAGAAACTTGGAGGTGTCACCGTTATCCCATTACCAGTGTGTATTGTTTCTCCAGTTCAACAGCTTCATCATATTGCTCTTGTGCTGGTTTAGTTTTGTCAGCCAGTATTGCCTGGCCAATATATTTGGCGGATTTTATCCGCTTGGTCATTTCCAAATACTCATTGAACATTCTATCCAATCGCTCAGCATTCTTGAGAAGAATCCTACGGAAATTTTCCTGAAAACGATAGTGAAGATTCAGGAATACTGTGTCGATAGTTCACCTGTTCATGAAAATGTGAAGAAAGAACTATAACTCGACGATTTGTTTCTTCTTCAGACTGATTCAAGTCGCCGACGATGATAGAGAATTGTTCCTGATAATCGGGTGGAGTTAGACGACGAAGCTGCTCATAATCAAACATCTCTCCTACGACGGCATAGCAGAGGAGAAGAGGAAGGAGAAAAGAAATCATCTCCATCTTTCGAGAAATCTACTTTGCCGGTCTTTTTATGCACTGATTTTTTAGGGTCTCATATGACTGATGGGAATGAGGAGCTGTTTCCCAACAGAAGTAGGAAAACTCCTACGTGATCTTCGATGACTTGAGAGTTGCTTGCAGATAGTTTCAAGAAAAAACTACATGATCAAAGAAGAAGAACTGTAAACCGTAAGACCTGTATTAGAAGAGCCTTCCTTCGAGAGCGACTTGGAAAAATAGAAGGAACCTCTTTAATAGAAGAGCGCCTTCAAGGTGTGTTGTTTGAAATTAAAAATTCTGTACGTTTTGAGTGTAAAATATTCCAGGAATTTTACAGAAATCTGTTGAAAAAACTTGCAAACTCAAAACTTGCGCAATTTTGATGAAATCGCCTGATTTTCAAGAGAATTTACCGATTTTTTAACGAGACTTTGCCGATTTTACAAGGATTCGCCGACAAAAATTTTTGGAAAAAATGGCTAGAAGGCCCTTGGAACAATAAGAAGGCCAGCTCTTCTAATAGAGATTTCATGGCCGATTGTATGATAAGTCAGCAATTTGAAGTCGACAAAAAATAACAAAACAAATATTTTATTCAAGAAGAGAAGAAAGGGTTAAAGCTGATAAATAATTTGATATCAATCGGATGATTTAGCCCATCTGGGGGTTTTGTCCTTGGTTTCCTCCTTGTTGTCCTCCTTGTTGTCCTCCCATTCCACCTTGTCCTCCTTGTTGTCCTCCACCCATTCCTCCTTGTTGTCCACCCTGTTGTCCACCCATCTGTCCACCTTGTTGTCCACCTTGCTGTCCTCCTTGTCCTTGTCCTTGTCCTTGTCCTTGTCCTTGTCCTTGTCCTTGTCCTTGTCCTTGTCCTTGTCCTCCTTGTTGTCCTCCCATTCCTCCTGGAGCTCCAGATGGTGTTGATCCTCCCTGTCCTTGCTGTCCACCTGGCTGACCTCCTTGTTGTGGTTGAGCCAAGACGGCAACTGCGACGATCGAAACAAGGATGAGAGTTGTCTTCATTTTCTGAAACGAGCAAAATTTATATGGAAGGTTTCGAGAAAATTCTGGGGAAAAGAGTCTAAAAGACAGATTGGGAAGAAGAGAAAATGGAATGTGAATGATGGTGCTCTTCACTGACACCTCGTCTTTATATACCGATTCTATTGGATGTAGATGTATGGCGAATTCTCCGTAATCCTCTATCCTCTGATCTTTTCTGTCTCTTTTTTTCGACTCCGCCTCTCATGTTCATGAATACTCCCTAACTATTGAATGAGACAGGTGAAAACCAGGTGCTCATTTTCAGGTGTGACTAATCTTGTTGTTGAAGTTGGCTCTCTGTTTGAATCTCTTTTCATCTCACACTCTCTGAAAATATGGGCATTTTTTAAACTGAAGATCGACAACAATTTTTCAGATGAGTCAGTCATATGATTATGGGAAAACCAAATCAGAGAAACCAAGTGGTTCTCTGATTAGTCACGATTGTAGTGTTGTTATGGCTACTTGTTAATTAAATATCTCGAGATTTGAATAATGTATTATCCTTTGGTTTTTAATGAATAACACGAATAACAAAAACAAGTATAATTATCATAAAAACTGTATGGAGATTTGGGTTTTTGATGAACAAATTGTGAACATATGAGTCACATAGTATTCTTGTACAAAAAATCGAGGCTCCACCGATTCCGAGAAAGGGGTTGTCTCCGAGGAACCGATGATCGAGGCGGAGTTTACTTTGCAACTGCCGCACAGTTCAACTGCGCCACTGCAAAAGCTGAAACTCCGCCCCGATTTCCTCGGAATCGGTTCCTCGGAGACAACCCCTTCCTCGGAATCGGTGGAGTGTCAAAAAATCGGAGCTGTGGAAGAGAAACGCCGGTTGCTGTGGTCACAGGTCTCACAATGAACGCTACCGTAGATTAAACTTTTTTCCCGGATTTATTTTCTTATTATTCGTCTGTTTTCTGTCAACTTTTTCAATAACAAATACTTTTATTTTCCCACTATTTAGCAGTGAAAAACGAGAAAATGAATCTTGACAATACAAGTATGTTTAGGTTACGATAGTTGTCGTTCATTCGGCTACGGCCACCGGCGTTTCTCTTCCACGGTTTTTTGTACCAATTTTTGAATTTTTTTTTCTGAAATTTCTGAGTTCTTTCAAATGCGAAATCATATCAGTTAAAAAGTCTACTTAAAATAATAGTTTTGCATTCATCGGTTAAACTGGGCCAAAGAACATTTCTGAACCAAAAACTAGTCAGACAGATATTGGATTCAGTACAAATATACGCAGTAACCTTACATCGAATTCCTATCGTTTCCCGTTATGACGTGCAATTCATTCGAATTCGTTCAAAATGTGTAGTTTTGTGTCAGAAGACCAAATGACCAAGGGTTGAACTTATAAATTTGATATGAAGAAGAGTATAGTGTTAATGTAGACGTTAGAAACATTTTGTGGCAAGACATTTATGTACAAAGCATCGATAAAATTATTAAAAATAAAGCAAATTATCCAGAAGCGGTAGTGGTGGAGAATCCAGAGAAGTTTGGTCTTCCAGTGGAACTTCCTCCACGCGATCCATGATGTCCACGTTGACCTTCTTGCGATTTCATCGCAACTTCCTGAGCAATGAAGAACAATGCAGCAACTTCCTGAAACAGTAGTATGAAATACACGAAGGGAATTCGGAAAACATACAGCTGGAGATTCTTGTCTCAATTCATCTACAGCTTGCTTTTGAGCTGAAAGGGTCTGATCTTCGTTCTCAAGGATAGACTCCAACGAGTTGAGAACTGAAGAGAGATTCGTGAGGACACTGGTTAGGTTATGTTTCATTTCTTCAAGCTTAGCAGTTACATTGGCGGTGAAAGCTTCGTATTGTTCCTGAAAATCTCCCCATTGCTGAAAGGGATAGGAAAGGAAAGGGGACTTACCGAAACATTGTTGGTCTGTGCCCACGCGGATGTTTGCTCTCCAATTTCAGAGATGGTCAACGAAGAGTTAGTGACAATAGCCATGTATTGTCTACGGGCCTGTTCAGTGACATTCTGGAGGAAAGGAGGCATTGGAAGTCCTTGAAGGAAATCATATACGGCCCCTCCTTGTAAATCTTGTCCTCCGAATCCTCCTTGCCCTCCGAAGCCTCCCTGTCCACCTTGTCCTCCAAAGCCTCCCTGGCTTCCACCGAGTTGTCCCTGTCCTCTATAGAGTCCTTGATCTCTTTGCATTCCCCCTTGTTGCATTTCGACTGACTCATATCCACCTTGCTGGTATTGTTGATAACCGTTCCCATTGCCACCTGGAGCAGCAAGGACAACGAAGAAAATAGTTGTAAGAGCAGTAAGAGATTGAAGCGATGACATTCTGGAATATGAGTGAGAATAAGACCCTGCAATGGGAATATGAGGAAAAACACTTCAAAAGTAATCCCTTATAAAACCTTTGATAGAAGGGCCCCCACACTGTCAATTTTGAGCTCAATTATCTCAATTGCTACAAAAGATATGAAAAATGTGTTTAATTGACAATAAACTTCTAATAAGATGATAAACACTTCCTGATGAAGCTAACAGCTGATGAAGCTAACAGAAGTTAACAGCTATTTCATATCTTTGACAATAACCGAAATAAAATAGCTCAAAGTTAAAAGTTATGGGTCCTTTTATTACAGGTCTTACGGTAATTTCCAAGGTGAGAGGGATATTTTCAAATAAAAAAGTCAAATGAATGGATACTTTCCACCCTGACCTTCTGGTTATATACCTTCTATTGTGCTCTCGATCATTGGTAAACAGTTTCTCTTTTTCTCAGTTTCCATGTGAACTGTCTGATCCAGAAAAAATACGTTTCGAAGAGACGCAGTGTCGTTTTCTATGTGTGTTTTCGCCGACATGGGGGAGGAAGAGACACAAGTGATGCTGAACTTTTTGTATCATCCTTTTGGTTTGCCGGATTTTATGATGTATGCAAAACCTGCTATTTTGAATATTCACAGCCTGATTTCATTTTCCTGGTGCGATGGTCGTTATCTTTGTGATAAACTATAAACTACAAATTTTTTTCCAGAGACATGTTACTAACAATAGAAAAACAAATAAACAATATGAGTCAGGGATGTTTGCTGCGAGTAACACATCGCTTTCTTTTGTTTAGTTTTGATGTTTGAAGTCTTGCAGAAAATTATTATGTCATACTGTATACCAGTTTAACAACCGATACAAGAAAAGTCAATATTTTCGAATTAAGAAAGATGAATTTTCTCAGAGAATATCAATTGATGTTTATTTAACGTTTGACCCAGTGGCTGTTCAAAAATAAATGTTCAACAGTGAGAAATGATTTAGGAAGAGCTCATCTTGTTCTTCTTAGCAGTCTTGGTAGTTCCGGTGGTATTGTTAGCATTGTCACCTCCGAATGGTCCGCGTCCACCTGATCCTCCCTGTCCACCGCGTCCACCTGGGCCTCCTGGTCCTCCTGGCCCTCCTGGACCTCCTGGACCTCCTGGTACACCGTGTGGATGAGACAACTCCATGATAGTGTCAACTTCAATTGGATAGTTCTCTCTGATAGCATCGATAGCGGCCTTAACTTGAGCACGAGTTTGGTCCTTGTTATTGAAGATGGCATTGAGTTGGGTGTTCACGTTAGCCAAGTTTCCGATGACTGTCGAGATATTGGTCTTGAGCTCATTTTCAAATGTAGTTTTGTTTTGAACGAATTCGTTGTAAACGTCCTGCAATGTGTTTTATAAAAAAGTTCCAAAATTACTGTTTCTACAAAATATAAAACCTGAGAAGTAATACTCACCGAAACTCTATAGGTGCTTGCCCAGGCTGATGTTTGAGATTCAACTTCAGTTTGGGTGAGGTTTTCGTTGCTGATGATGTCGAAGAATGCTTTGCGGGCATCTTCCGTCACATTTTGAAGGAATGGGGGTGGTGGTGGACCTTGGTGCCCTCCAGGTCCTCCACGACCTCCTGGACCACCTCCTTGTCCTCCATGGCCTCCACCGTTACCACCAGTTCCTCCCTTAGCCAAGGCAACAGCAGAGATACAGAAAATAATAAAAAGTTTTGAAAGCATGTTGAATGAATGTGGGTATCATGTTTTTTGAAGTCGCTTTTATACAGCCACCCAAATCTGGTGTTGATGCAGATCTTCTCGTTGGATTTGTTGGACTCGCGCACGCTGTCTGAAGAGAGAGTGTGTTGAATGAAGAGGTGAGTTGGTTTTATCACTGAACTATGTGCCAGTTCTTGTTTAGCTGTAGCCGTGGAGACTTTGACAAATGCACATATTGGTGGAGATGTCTGGAGCACACGGGTTATTCATCGGAAGATGTGGAAGTTCTCATAGATTATCGCTCGAAGAACCAAGAAATTGTTGTTGATGTATGGCGAGTTGATGGGAAGAAATGAGCTTTTACATTGCCGATATTCAACAAAGATACAAAATGAAAAAAACAACTTCCTGACAACAACTTTTTAGATGAAAAATAGAGTTTTTACTTTTATTTCGAAGGATGTCATTATGTTTCCCTTCTAATTCGAAAACTGATTTCAGATGAAGAACTTGAATTATTTGATCATAACAATTGTAGTTTCTTCTGCAAAAACTTGCTCGAGTTTTTAAGGTATTTCTTATCCCCGAGTTGCTGACTTTCTACCTCTAAATCGGTTTTACCCCGATGAACCCAATATTCTTGTATCCTCCGAAATATTTTTCAAAAAAAAATCAGCTTCCAGGCGGAACCGAATCTTTAAAAAAGAGATTTTAAAGGGCTCAGTATCCAAGGGTACATCGAAAAAGGGTACATCGAGATCTTAGGGTACATTGGATCAGAGGGTACATCAGATCTTAGGGTACATCAGGGAAAGGATCCCAGGGTACATCGAAAAGTTCTTAGGGCACATCAATCAAAAATACTGTAGTTTTCCACTGGAAGATATTTTGTCTGGAAAACCTTCCGAAAATTATTGCTTTCTCCACCTCCGCACTCCTTTCTCCTTTAGAAACCACCGAAATTATGTACGGGTTGTGGTGGTCGACGCGAAAATTGGCAAAGTGGTCTATAGTGGTGTGTGTGCGTGCACGGAAATCTGCAGTAGCGAGTTCAAGTTCGACCAGATCCAAATGGTTTGTTTTTTGTACTTGAAAACTAATTTCATTTCGTAGTCTTTTTAACGGTTTTGTATATTTGTGTTTCCGAAAAATCTGAAGAGTTTGAAAGAATTTGGATTTTTTTTCAAATGTAAAATGCTTCCTGTCCTGGCACATTTGAAATGTGTCTTTGGTTGAAAGTTCGTTCTGATAAATATCGAGTTTTCGACTTGTTTCCTATTTCCGATTTCAGTATAATAAGCTCCTTCAAAAAAACTTCAAAAAATCTATCAATCCATAAAACTAATTTTTAAATGGTAATTTTCAAATAAATACAGACAAAAAAACAAAAAAATGGTGCCGTTTATAGCAAAATATCTTCCAGTGGAAAACTACAGTATTTTTGATTGATGTACCCCAAGAACTTTTCGATGTACCCTGGGATCCTTTCCCTGATGTACCCTTAGAACCACCATGAGATGTACCCCTTGAACCTACCTCCCAGATGTACCTTAAGATCTGATGTACCCTCTGATCCAATGTACCCTAAGATCTCGATGTACCCTCGATGTACCCTTTTCTGATGTACCCTTGGATACTGGGCCATTTTAAAGGGATGATTTCTTCTATCTGTTCATTTACTGGATCTGTTTTTCTCAAAAGTTTAGTTTTCCGATCCCTTTTTTATGACCGTTTTTAAAAATTTCTGTTTGTTGCAAGTTTTGCATGAAAACTTTGGTATCCGATTAGATCAACCGAAAAGGATTGAACAGTAAAAATGAATTTCAGAATTGGAAACATGTGAACATCGTAGATATTTCTTAACTAAAACGACATTTTGATCAAAACTGCTTTAGACAAAAATTTTCAAAGGTTCTTAACGAGTCAATGAGTTTCACAAAGTTTATTAAACATCGAGTTGAAAAAGGAACACATAAGAATTATCGTGCTTTCGTGTTCTTCTTTTTTGTGGAAGTTGAAGTGGACGTTGTGCTCTCAGCGTTGAAGTCTCCATACAGATTGATGTATCCATTGTTTCCATAATTTGAGTTTGATCCATAATTCCCATAGACTGCGTTGTTTCTATTAGTATTATCGTAGTAATTGTTACTGTTACCGTATCCATTCATTTTACTATACTGTTCTTGTTCGTGTTTGTTTTGAAGATAGGAGATAATTGAGAACTCCTGCAATTAACAAAATAGAGTCATGGTTTTGAGAAATATACTGTACCGTTGGATTCTGTTGTTGCAATTGTTGCAACGCCGCCTGACGATCGTTTGCTGAAGAGCTTTTGTTCGATTGAATATTTTCAAGAGCTGCTCCAACTGTTGACAGGTTGGTGATCATGGCAGAAACATTCTGAAGAGCTTGATTGTGAACTGTAGTCCGATTTATTTGGTATTGCGAGAATTCGACCTGAAAAAAAGAAAGTTAAGAAAACATCAGATTCTGAAAAATTTACCTGAACACCATTTGTGGAAGCCCAGTTGGTAGCTTGCTCATTAATTTGATTGGTTGTTAGAGATTTGTTGTTGACAATACTGAAGTAATCTTGAGCAGCAGATGAGCTCATGTTATTGAGAAATGGTGGCATTGGCTCGAAAGTTCTACCGTTTGAGTTTCCAGAGTTATATCCTCCTTGGAATCCACCTTGGTTTTGGGATCCTCTGTTGAATCCGCCCTGGTTGCTCTGTCCGAAACTGTTTCCTCCGAATCCGGACTGACCTCCGAACCCAGGGTGACCTCCAAAGCTAGATTGGCCACCAAAGCTAGACTGCCCACCAAACCCAGATTGTCCTCCAGAGATTTGACCAAAGCCTGATTGACCACTGAAGCCTCCTTGACCTCTATTATGCCCTCCGAATGACTGCTGACTGTTGAATCCTCCAGATTGGAATTGTTGCTGAGGAAGTTGTTGCTGAAAGAATCCTTGCTGGAATCCCAGACTTTGTCCCTGTCCTTGTTGGCTAGATCCTCCAAATCCTTGACCTTGTTGGCTGGATCCTCCAAATCCTTGACCGTTCATTCCCATTCCCTGGCTTTGACCAAATTGTTGCTGACTTCTTCCCATAGATTGACCGTTTCCACCGAATCCTCCCTGCTGGCTTAATGCCTGATTCTGCCCAAATCCTCCTTGCTGATTACTTCCTCCGAATCCTTGTCCATTTTGTCCCCATCCTTGTTGATTCGAGTAGCTTTGTCCACCAAAACCAGAAGATCCGAAGGATTTTTGTTGTTGTTGTTGTTTTCCGTATCCTGGGAATCTTCGAAATAATATAGGACGCCATAGTGGCAAATATCTACCTTGATTACTGCTCCCAAAGCTCTGCTGGCCCCATGATTGGGATGAAACCAGCAAGAAAAGCGATGAAGCGACTATATACTTCAGGGTAAACATCTGAATGAAGAAAAAAGTAAAGAAGAAGGAAAACTATGAAAATGGGGGTTAACTTTTATGACCATTAATGAGCGTTTTGAGGGAGAAGCGCTTTTGCAGAAAGAAACCCGTTTTATACAAAAATATGATTCATCTTAAATTTGAAAAAAAAGACGATTTGTTTCAGATTTTTTCCACTGTTTTATAGATAGGTCCCCTTTTGTTGCAGATCATTCTGAGCGGAACCGGGCAAAGTACCAATGGATTATCGTAGTTCCCCTCCGATGTTGATGTCCGGCGTCGTTGATCTGACGCCTACTGGTCTACATTTGCATCTTTTTGATCTGAAACTGAAAATGTGAATCATCGTTCTTCTCGATATTCGTTCGAGGGTATTTGGAAATAAGACTGTGACGATATTATGCTGATATGCAAAAATTAGAGCTGTGGAAGAGAAAATATGGTGACCGCGGACTACCGTAACTAGAAAATGTTTGTTACTTTTATTTTTTCGTCCGTTTTCCGGAGAATGTTAGGTTACGGTGGTCGTTGGCCACGCCTAGAATTTCTGTTCCACAGCTCCGATTATCAAAAACAAGAATAATATTTAAAAAAAAAAAATAAATTGCTTCTTTATTTAAAATTGCATAAATCATTGATTTTAGAAAACAACGATTGCTCTTTTCTCAGATGGTTTTTTGCGAAGTTGACCATTTTTGTTGACCGACTTTTGAACACTTCTCTTGTATCTCATATTGTCGTAAATACTTCCATATTTCTCATCCAAATCATTTCTATCCCAATCGTTGTAAAGGTTCAATTTGGTGTTATAATCCTGATGTCTGTGCTCCTCTTCGTGGTAATGTTTGTCTTTGTGAACATGAAAATGGTTTTCCTGTTCAGAGGAACCCTGCAAAATTGTTTATTTGTTTCTCTGAAAACAGAAAATACCTGTGTATAGTCATTAAGTGTAATGTCTCCGCTTTCCTTTTTTCCTCCAGGAAGAATGCTTTTTGCTGCAGCTGGAATACTCTTCACACCATCGACTACTTTTCCTGGAACACTCGCAACTCCAGAAACCACTTTTCCAGTGAGTGCAGCAGCACCAGCTGCTACTTTTCCTGGGATGCTCTTCAGTTTTGTGGCAACATTATCCATGAATTTTCCAATAATTCCCTTCTTCTTCCCATTCTTATAATGGTTTTCATCATTCAGAGATGAGTCTGATTTTGAAGAAGAGGAAGAGCGAGAATCCGGATTAGAATCTGATCCAGAAGAGCGGGAGCGATAGTTAGATGATTCTGAAACTGTAATTTACTGATTCGGATGCCTAAGACAACTAACCATCCTGATCCTTTGACAACCGATCATTGTATTTTTGGTTGTCATACTTATTTCCTCTGTAGCTTTCATAGTCGTCATCATCTCCAGAATCGTCTTCAGAATTCCGCCAAGCCACATTCTTCTTTCTCCCTTGTCCATAATCATCTTGGTCACTTACTGATTTCGTGCCACTTGTAGGTTTTCCTCTATTATATTTTCCGTATCCATCATCAATCAAATCCTTGATTTTAGCCTTCACGTCATAGTAAGAATCCGCAGTTGTCAAGACAACAATCAACAATAAAAAGACGAAAATGACACGCATGAATACTGTCGAATCATATATTCGATCAGTTATCCTCCCGTTATATGCACTTCCTTTCCCGATGTACTTTGGTTGCCACCGAAATTCATTTGAAATCATTTGAATATTGGTTGGAAATGCTAATTGAAGCCGAATATAAGCAAGGCAGCTATCCTCATGATCAGTACATCACTCGGTATCAATCAATATGAGATTCTTCACCATCGCTCTCTTCTTCTGTATCCTGTCCAACGTCTTCGCTTGGTACCATGGGGATCGTGTCGCTTTAGCTGATGATGAGTATGATCCAGAAGCAATCGAGAACCGTCAACAAATCGCCAAGGAGTATATGGCTCGCGAGAAGTTCCGTAGAAGAATTCGGGAGGAGATTGCCAAGGAAGAGATCGAGCACAAGTACAGACGCGAGAAGATCCGTAGAGCTATGGAGGCCTTCAACGAGTGATAAATAATTTTAAATATAATTCGGATCCAATAAATAGTTTCTCTAACATCTGATTTTAAAAAAAAAGTTTCTGTCAGGCTTCCAGGAGATTTGGGGAAAAAATTACGATTTTTAGGTGTTCTAAAAAAGAAAGAAACGTCCGATTAGAATTTGATTTTGTTGGAAATCCAACTTCGGATATTTGGACGGATTTTTCGTTTTTTTTGAGTTTGTTGAGGCTATAAAATATCAGATTCTGAGTAAGAATACCTAAATTCATACTTTGTGGTGAATTACAGAATCTGCAGAAACAATTCTAAATTTCAGAGAGCACTTGGATCATTTCGTGAGCATTTCATTCTAACGTTTTCGTTTATTTGACCAAACGATGGCAGTAGACATTTTTGTTTGATTAATAGGAGGCCGTAATAAACTTTGAGCAAGACAGATTTGCAACATCTTTGGAGGCGTATATCATAATGAAGTAGTGGCAGCAGTTTTCTGATAGTCAATTTCAAGTATAATCAAGTAAACACTCTAATAGAAGACCACCCTATACTTGCACTTTGCGCTCAATTATCTCTTACTTATATTGAGAAATTGAGCTCGAAGGATAAGGTGATCATCTTTCAGAGTGTTTACGTTATGTTATATTTTCATATTGGAAGTTAAAACTTTGAAAATGATTTGAGAAAATATTTATTGAAGCGAAGATAATTTATAGTTGGTTATCAAAATTCAGTTTTCACTCATTAAAGGATTCCATAGCCTTGCGGATCTTCTCTCTTTGGTACATGTGGCGGATTTCTTCTTTGGCGATCTCCTCACGAACTCTTCTACGAAGCTTCTCACGAGCCATATACTCCTTGGCGATGTGTTGACGATTCTCGATGGCTTCTGGATCATATTCATCATCAGCCAAAGCGGCACGATCCCCATGGTACCAAGCGAATACGTTGGACAGGATACAGAAGAAAAGAGCGATGGTGAAGAATCTCATATTGGATTGAAACAACTGATTGATTGATGGGTTGATGCGGATGTAGGGCCAGCGCTCCCCTTTTATTGGGATTTTTGCAAAGTGGAATTCAAATTGATATTCATTATTCTAATTATTTTATGTTGGCAATTCAAAGTAAAACAAACGAAAAGTATTGGTTACATGTAAAGATGATTTGAAAATCAAGGAAGAGGGATAAAATGAAAATTTTCTAGGAACCTCACACAAATTATCAGGTCAAATCAATTGGAGCCAGTTTCCAAGGGTACATCGATAAGGGTAAAGTTCTTAGGGAACACTGGTTCGAAGGGTACATGAGATTTTCTGGTACACGTGGGAGGGCGAAAAATGAAAACAAAACAATTTCTACAGACTTTTTCAATTTTTGCTCAAAATTATGGGTTTACAATTAGACTAAAACGCCCTACACCCCAAGATCCCATCTACCCTCTGAAACAATGTATCCTAATGTCGATGTACTCTTTTTCGATCTACCCTTGGATCCTGATCCGTCATTATACATGTTTCGTGAAAAATGCGTTTTCATATTCCGGATTTTTTCCAAACTCAATTCAATGACGATACATAATTTCTCATGTGCAAAAGTGATATCATTTTCTTCCGTTATTTTAAGATGTCTGGTTTTTTGTGTGTCTGAAGACACTTCTCAATTGTCGTTTTCAACAATGTGTACAATAGACACACATCAAAAAACCTTCCCTTGGCGTCGATTTGCACACACACACATACACGGATCCATAAAAATTCAAAATGTTCCTGTTTTTAAAATGATAAGCTGTTCAAACGGTTCGTGTGTGCCTGTATCCCATTTCAGTACTCCCGCCTGTTTAAAGTTCAGCATCACTTATGACTCACTGATCACATTGTTTTCTGTCTGAATCTCTTTCATTGGAGTACAGGAGAATACCATCTCTAACTCTTCCAGTTCGCGTACATCTGGTATCTCTCCGTGTGCTCACCTGTCGCCCAACTGACTGCAAATCGAATTGGAAAACATGATGATATTGTGTCATCATACGATGGAAGACTATATAAAGGTCATCCAGAAAATGGAAAGAGTATCATTTCTCGACAATGGCTCTTTCATATAATCTTATCTTCGCTGCTCTCGCTCTCAGTGCAGCCGTTTTGGCTGGTCCAGGAGGACGCCACGGACATGGAGGAGGTCATGGAGGTCATGGTGGACCACCACTCCCACCATTCCTTCAGAATGTTACTGCTGAAGGAAGACAAGCTTTCATTGCTATCGTTACTAATACTAGCCTCACTATCGCTGAAACCGAGACTCAGATTGACTCCTGGGCTGCCACATACGGAGTTACGGTAAGCATCTATTTTTAAACATTTGAAAAATAGTACTTGTATTTTTTCTATCTCTATTGAATTGTTGCAATACGGTTGTAATTGGTTTTCAACTTGAATGCAACTTTTTCAAAACACCTTCCACTCTAATCCGTTTAACATTTGTGAACTAACAACATCCTGACACAAAAAGTTTATAAAAACCAAACAATGAAAAAGTAATTCAGACCGAAGTGAACGAATTCAAAACTCAAGTAGAAACCAAGCTCAACGAGATCAAGGCTAATGTGACTGCTGTAATCAGCAACTTGCCAACTGTTCAAACCCAACTCGAAGCCATCTTTGCCAACAAATCGCAAACCATCGTTGAGCAATTCCAAGCTATTCAACAACTCACTCAGCAGTATCCACAAGAAGTTGGAGTCATTTTCTTCCTTGCCAAGCCAAAGGGAGGATTCGGAGGACAAGGACCATTCGGAGGATTCCCAGGAAGCCAAGGAGGTAACCAAGGAGGATTCGGGGGGTTCCCCGGAGGTAACCAAGGAGGTAACCAGGAAGGATTTGGAGGATTCCCAGGAGGTAACCAAGGAGGATTCCCCGGAAACCAAGGAGGTAACCAAGGAGGTAACCAAGGAGGATTCGGAGGATTCCCAGGCGGAAACCAAGGAGGATTCCCAGGTGGCAACCAGGGAGGATTTGGCGGATTCGGAGGACAACAAGGTGGAAGATTCTAAACCCCTGGATATTATGTGTTTAAATTTCAATCTCATTTATGTATACAATGAAATTTGTAAAAAAGGTATTAATACTTATTATCAATATGCAAAAACAGGAAAGTAATGTACAATGTGGCGCATTATTATCTGGACTAAAGTTTATATCAGCATACAATTTGAGCAACGCGTTGTACTGGGCTCAAATTTGGAGTGCAAAATTTAAATAATTCATATATGTAAACGGGCCAAATTTCAAATGTTTGATCTAATTTGAGTTGAGTTATCGCTTGTCAACGTTGCTTCATCTAGGAAAAATTCCGCCGGCGTGCAAGAAAAATTACGTCGTTCATCTTTGGACAGTCATAACAATACCTAGACCTTAGGAAACGCTCTGAAAATTTTAGTAGCTTCGAATCAATTGTAAAATTATATTACCACCAATTTTCGTGCTTCCAAGATACTTATGTCTAAAAATATACCAGTTTCAATCAGTCCGGGTAATTGTGCGTCACTTCACATCTTTTAACACATCCATCTTTAGATAAGTATTTGCTGTCATTTTTTTGTTCAAGAAGAAACTATTCTAAAAAATTTAACTTTAAACAAAAAAAAACTTTAAATGCATTTTTTTATTGTTGAGCTTCTGTTTGTTGTATTTGTTAAAACATGCCTTGAAAATGCAGGAATATCAATTAAAAAATCTACCTCATATGATCATGTGTTCTTCAAGAATGACAATCAATGACAATAAATTATTGAATAAAGCTATGAAAGAAGGAAAAGTGGTTTAGTTCATGTGGAGTTGAGATCAATAGGTTCTTCACAAAATCGTTTTCTATGTTCTATCTCTTCTGGAGTTGAGCAAGTGACAACTCTGATTCCAGCCAGGCATTGATATTGAAGATAACCAGTTACGAAGAAGGCCAGAAAATAGATCAACTGAGAAATAGCAACATACGGAGTAGCTGAAAATTGGCTTTCATTGAAAACTTATTTCATGGAAATCTTACCCATAGAATCGCAATTAGTATCTATAAGGAAGTTATCGAAATCTTCCAATGCTGTATTATGCGATAAAATTACAGCAGAAGCAATCAGGACACACACAGCTTGTAGCAATCTATTTGTTTGGATTATTGCAACAAAAATCAATTTCAGAACAGTTGAAATCGTCAATAGAATCATGGCAACTCGAGAGTATTGAATCACTAAAAAGAATCGATGTTCAACAAGAAAACATTTGAAAAATTCTCACGATTCGAATCCTGTTCGTACTGTAGACAGCTGATTGTAAACAGACAAAGATTATGAACGATTTCCACTGTGACAAGTGGAAATCCAATTATTCTCTCTAGTTTTGGGGAGTGATTCGTTGTCGAGACAAAATTAATCAACATGCATTGAAACAGAGAGTGCGTCATCGTGAGGAGAACAGCACTCCGGAAGAAAACCTACAAAAAATATTTGCACGAAGTGGGATTCGAACCCACGCACCCATACGAGTACCAGAACACCCAGAAAGTCTCGAACTCGAGACAAGCTTTCGCTTGAGTCTGGCGCCTTAGACCACTCGGCCATCCGTGCACGAAAACTTAGATGGGAGAGACCACTTTTGTCAAGAGTATTAGGAAGATGTTTTTCTCATAATTTTTTCAGTAAAGTCTAGTGTTAATAAGCTTGTTCTTCTACCAACTTGACTCCCGAAAATAATAAAACAGCACTAACCTGCACAGTGACCAGGTGATTCATTGATCGTACAATTGATGTCATCCATTCAACATTTGGAGGATCACGAGGCTTAACCGAATCATATAGATTTTCGATACATTTAGCTCAAACTCACCCTACAGTAATTCCAAAATGCATTACCGTAATGATATCGGTATTCTCCTTTCAGAAGACGTTCAAACCATTCACCAAGCGTACCCGTGGAAATTGTACCATCATTTTCCGGAAACTCATAATAATACGAACCATTTGGATGAACCTATAATTTGATTTGAATATCCTTGGAGCTGGAATTATGACTTTCGAATAACAATCTACGATGAATCTCGCTCTTTGAAATCCTGTCCTCTTTCATTTTCACTCTGAACTAGACCACCGTATTTCTGTTTCTGTGGGAATTCTACCATACTATGCATATGGCAAAACGAAAATTCTGAAGCCATTTTTCTCCATTCCGCGGGCAATTTACGCTTTTAGCGAAGCGAACAAACGGATTCAAGAATGTATCCGGAATATTAGTCACAGACTAGTGGTTTCAGGCGTCATTGAAAAATATTCATAACATCAGTGTTATTTTGAGATTCATCCTAGTTACTATACCTTATAATTTTTAATGACGTAGTTGGTTCTATTAGAATTCCATGACTCGTCTAGATAATGAGGATGAGCAGCAAAATAAAGACCAGCCAGAGTAAGACAAATTGACAATGTGAAGAAAAGTTTTCCCATTGCATGAGCATCCATAGAAAAATAGGAATCAAGGTCGTCTTCATCTGGTAGCATCATCATCTTCCGAATACGAAGGAGTTACTGGAAGTTGAATGAAAATGTAAAAGTGCGGAAAGGAAAGAAACGTCTCGTTTAAGAAATTGTGTGAAAGATGAAGTCCATTGAATACAGAATGCGTTCATAACGATAATGGTTGACGGGGGATGACGCAAGAATGGAATTGGAAGAGATTGAAATGAGGAAGAAGAGAAATTGGCATGGGAAGAAGTAGATGGATTGGCATTCGAGAGAGGAGAGGATACTGTTTTAATCATCACAGACTTGTAAAAACGACCGGCGACAAACGAGAAGACACAGGAATTTCAATTGAAATACTTCTTTTTGTAGTCATACTTTTTTCGATTAACGGCAAAATCAACATGTTTTCTAAAAACCGTAATGGCCAATTATCAGATTGTCCTATACGTAACTTAGCTTGAATTCGCTTTAAAAAGAACAAGACTTGCTGAGTCTTATAAAAAATACTAACCAAAAAGGGTTTGTCAAAAATCTTCTGGACTACTAATTTGATTTTAATAGATTTTCCATAAATAATGAACAACGTTCGATTACTGAAAAAGTCACTGCTCCCCGGTCTTTAAAAAGTTGTAGACAGAATAATAATTCGAAGTTGAATCAGCAAATATTTATTTACTGGCTGGAAAATGAAGATCTGATTTCTCCTAAAATATTTTTAAAAAATTTAACCTGTGTCAATGTTTTCCAGTTAAAGTGCTCAAAACAAGCCGTATTGTTGTGATCGATATTTCAATTATTCCGGTGGCCCATTGTTCGATAATAAAAAATATAAATAATTTAACAAACGGAAACTTTCCACAGGAACAGTAAAACACAAGGCTAGGCAAAAAGCATTTGAGAATTAATCACTATAGGCTAAGTCTATAGCTGGAAATGATTGAAAATGTGAACCACTACCGATTTGAGATAAAACAAATAGAATTAGATTCTTTAATCAAGAAGAAGTGAGAAAAGTGTTACGGTGATCTCATAAATGAAGGTTAAAGAAACAAACGGCGAATATGAAAATCGGAGTTATCCATCATATTGATAGGTTTCGACAGGTGAGGTTCAGAAAAAAAACACTCGACACGGAACAACGAAAAGAAAACGCGAGAAAGTCATTATAACGAGAAAGAAGGAGGAATTCATAAGAGGTTAGAGGACGAAACATCAATATGAGAAAAATAAGAATTATGGATTTATTGAACTAGAAATAACTGGACTAAAATTTGAAAAAATTGAGAATCTGAAATGAAGAAATTACAGTTAACATTCATTTCAGGTAATTTGGATATAATGAAATACCCACAATAGATGATCTTACTATTGATAACCAAATATTATACTCAAAACTTTTGAGAGATGTTCAGAGAGAACTTTCTGAAAAGGATGTTTAGAAAGAATTAGTAAGAAAAAGAAATCACATCCACCGTATTCTTATTCACTCTGTCTTTATTCTCCAATTGTGAATCAGAAGCGTGGAAGACGATTGCTCGATTATCCAAATCGTAAAAGTAAAGTGTGTGTGGCATAATCGGTCTACGAAGAAAACCATTCACTTTATTCCCTTCTGAATCCTCCGAGGCTTAGTCTTTCTTTCATCGAGGATTTCTTTTCGCTTCTCCCCACATCCATTCTCCCATTTTCTTCCCTCCTCGCTTTGCACTTTCTCTCGGGACGTCGTACTTCTTTTGAATTGAATCGTAACCCCGAAACACAACGAAGAGCGAAACGAAATTCTGATTGGTTTTCATTGGTGAACGAGGTGTTTGTAGCGAGAAAAAAGATGAGGTGAAGAAGGATATATGGATTCAAAAATGGAATCACAAGAGGGCAAAAGATTTGTGTCAATGAACGAGGAATGCTGAAGCTTGAAAATGTATTCCATTTACTTTTAGGACAAAACTGGTACCAACAAAAGCGCATGATTTCTATTCGAGATTGATTTATATCTCGAGATGCCGAATCTTTTTATTATCAAAAAGTGGCAAGTACAAGGCTGCATCATTAATATGAAATAGCTCACTTTACATCTTGTTTCTATAAGGATGAGCTTCAGATTGAAAAGCAATATAATAGTTTGTCGCAATTTAACCAATCCCCCTGATCCCAAACTTGCAGATAAAATAATAATTCGGAACGGTTGGAAAGAAAGTTTCTTTCTTTTTCGCTGGGTTGTTTTTGAGGCTCGATTTCTAGTTCTAGAAGAGGTTTACCGGGCCCAACTTTTTTTGTTAGAAAGCTGTGTTCAATGTCTATTAGATTGTAAATCGGTTAATTTTTACCTCACTTCGTGTTGGAGAAATGACGCTATTTTCTCATTTGCTTTGAAAGCTCATTTGCTATACTCTCATTGGCTATAGCTCATTTGCTATTTTAGCTCATTTTCTATAGATCATCTGCTATGGGGTATCAGAAATGTTTCATAAATGAGGTCATGATAACCGTTTTAGTTTGTTTTATACTACAGGCTTAGGCTAAAGCGTACTTTTTTCCAAAACTTTTGCCTAAGACTATAATTTCAAACATATATAGCAAATGATCTATATCAAATGAGCTAAAATAGCAAAAGATCCATAGCAAGGGATAGTATAGCAAATGAGCTTTCAAAGCAAATGGGAAAATAGCAAGTGATCCTATAGCAAGTGAGTATTTGCCTTTAGGCCAGGCATAATTTATTAATTTGAAAGTTGACGTGCATTTGACCTATATATTTTCAATCAACGCATTGCAACTCGCGATTTTTTCGCCCAACGTTTAAAAGTTTGATCCTCAGCCAAAGAAAATTTGACACGTTGCGCAATGATTTTTCACGTTCGCTGGGGCGCGTTTTTCGACCCCTTGGTTTGAAACATCGTGTACATATAGTTTTTTTTTCTAATTTGATCAATTAATCAATTAATCAATTGAAATGTTTCTGAATGGCTTCAAACTTTTCATGACCGTATATTCTGGTTTTTCGCATGTATTGCTCAAAGACACACGTTCTTGATGAACCTCCCCAAGACAACTGTTTCCTTGCTATTGATTTGACAAAGGGAATCCCCCTAAAACACCATTGAACATTTGAATTGGTTTCAATTCATACTTTCAATCGCTTCTGTCTTCTCTCTTCATTCCAGAAAAGAAATAGCCTATGTCTACATTTATTTTCAGATCATATCTTAACATAGACATTCCTGAATTCCTCGACACCCTTTTCTATATTTCGTAGAATGCAATTTCGTCTCTCCTTCACGTGCCCAGTTTATTGCTCTTTGCACTTATCGGAAACGTAAATTCATCATCCCTGTCCACTCTCAAGGGTCATCAGATATCTCTTCTGGAATGTTCTCTTGATCTTGTAATCCTAACTTTTCGCTATCTCTCCTTTTTAGGGACCCATAAATTTAATTTGTTTTTTTGCTCAGTCACTCTTATGACAGTACTTGACATTTGACATGATTTTCTATTACTCTCTCATGGGCTATGATGTAGTCCAAATAGTGTTTTAGACAAGATCGAATGGGAATATCTAATCACCCCAATTCTCAATTACTATTCTCGTTTTATACTGGTCTCCTCGCTACCATGTTTTTCTTCACGGTTTGTTGTATATTCTGAGTTTGTCTAATAGTCACTATAGTATTTATAGTATCGTTTTACATCAACTTATTTACAAAAGAAATTTCTTGATGATCAGAAATCCAAAAACTGACCTTGATATCATCACACCTAGTTTGTTATTTTTGTTGCCTATCTTTACTATTAACAATCACCAAATTCTGTCTGTGTGTCCGTTTGTTCCCGGTTCCACGACCCTAGCGAAGTCCCCAGTAGACCGAAATTTTTCAAATTTTCACAGATGATTCGAAATAGCAGCGAGATGATGCCCGTCTATTTTATGTTTCGAAATTTTGAGTTTGACGTCTTCTGGAGACGTTCTTCTAATTCTACAGTGCATATCTTTCAAAAATAATATTTACGTCATTCCCGCCCAACCCCCTCTTTTTTCTTATCCACGTTATATCTGACCAAAAGGTGATTTTGTGGAAATAATTATTTAGTCTCAGTTTTGAAAGAAGAGAGAAATAAAAAGTTCAGTAAACTTAAAAATTCTGACTTTCTGAATCCCCTAACTTCTCAAAAACTGCATTTCGGAGATTCTGATTCACGAAATATGATTTTTTTTTTCGAAAATGCTAAATTTCTAACCATTCCTATGCTTCAAACATTTAGATTTTACTCTGAAATTCTAAAATTCTAATGCAGAAATTTGGAAAATTGGAAAAACGGGAACTCGAAAATACCGAAATTTGAAACTCCGGAAAGTTTGAAGTTTGAAAATCAGAGAATTCAAATGTCTAATGTTTCGGAAAATCAGAAGTATAAAAATTCAGATATTCGGAAATCACGAAATTTAAAAATTTGAAAGTTTGAGCACTCGAAAATTGGAAAATCCAAAATCTCAAAAGCAAAAAATCAGAAAAAATCAGAAACTCAGAAGTTCAGAATATCAGAAAGTCAAAGTTCGGAATTTAGAAAATTCGGAAATTCATAAACTTTGTGATTCAAAAACTCCGTAATGTGCTTTAGAGAAAATCCTGAAAATCAGATTCGTGCTAAAATTTTTAATTTGGGGAATTTGAGAAGTAGAATCTCAGAAAGTCGGAAATACGGAAACTCGAGAATACAAAATTTCAGTAATTATGAGTTCTGAAATGAAGTATTTTAATAGAGTAATCTTTAAGTTCTAGAATCGAAGTTCCGAAAATTCAGGACTCCTGAATTTCGAAACTTCTGAAAAAATTATAAATTGTCAAATTCCAAGATATTAGGGAATTAAGAAAAATTATTAGTTCTAAAAATGTGGAAATTTTGAACTGTTCGGGTATCAACTGAGACTAATTTCGGAAGGCCAGAAGGTTAAGCCCCGAAGGCGCATAAACAGAATGTCACTCCAGTTTCTGAAAGTTGACAACACAATCAAATAAAACTTTGTTTTCTGATTCTCTCCGATTTGGAGATTCAAACGTTTTAAGTGAAGCCAGGAGATTGCAGCCGCCGGCAGGCGGCGGAAATCGACTGGTCTTTTAAAATTCAATCAATGATCTTTGTAATTCGCCCGATTCGTTTATCAAACACAGTTTCTATCTCTCTTCTTTTTTTGCTATTCCCTCTAAGTCTCTCAATTTCTCAAACTGTTTATATTTTCAGTCTCCACCCAGTTTCCCTTCCGTCCATCATCATGTATCAAGACGATCATATTGGGTAAGAAATCATTCCACTTTTCGGTCTAAATGGCATCGCATTACAGTTCGGAGCACTCAACTGCAACAACTAATATTTCGCATTTGTGCGGTTTACGTATTTCTGAAAGACCACAAAAAACAAGAAAAACTGGAGTTATTTGTACCATAGGTCCAGCATGCAGCGATGTGGAGACTCTCAGAAAAATGATCAATACTGGCATGAACATCGCCAGATTGAACTTCTCCCACGGAAGTCATGAGGTATTTCTTGTTCAGTCTATCCTTTCAGGGTTCTTCTCCAAAATCTCGAAGTTTAGAATTTCGAATTTTCAGAAAATTTTGGTATGGAAATTCAGAAATTCGGAATTCTCGAAATTCAAAATTAAGAAGTTCTGGATTTCGAAAATTTAGAAATTCAGGAATTTCGAAAATCCAGGAGCATTGAAATTTCGGAAAATTAGGCAGTTAAAAGTTTATAATTTTTCAAATCCGAAAATTCGAAAAAATTCAGAAAATCAAGATTCGGAGATTGAGAAAAAAGTTTGATTCAAGTTTAGAGTTTCTGAATCTCCAAATCTAGACTTTTTGGATTTTAGCTATTTCGAATTTCCAAGTTTCTGAATTCCCATATTGCTCACTTTCAAAATTCCGGTAGTTCAGAAAATTCAGAAAATCCAAACTTTTACAAAAAAGTTACAATTTGATTTTAGGCCCACGCAGCTACTATTAAAACAATCAGAAAAGCTGCAAAAGATGCTCCATTCCCAGTCGCCATTGCTCTTGATACGAAGGGACCAGAAATTCGTACCGGAATGTTTGCCAACAATGCCAAAGAAGTCATCTTAGAGAATGGGAAAAGTATCCGAGTATCGACGGATCCTTCAATGGAGTTTTCGGCTACTGCCTTTAATATCTATGCTGACTACAAGAACTTACCAAAAGTTGTGACTCCAGGATCCAGAATTTATATCGATGATGGACTTATCTCGTTGATTGTTGATAGTTGTGAAGAGAATGCAGTTGTATGTACTATCGAAAATGGAGGAGCCCTCGGAACACGAAAAGGAGTCAATCTGCCAGGAACTGTTGTTGATTTGCCAGCCGTCACTTCGAAGGATATTGAAGATTTGTTGTTTGGAGTTGAGCAAGGAATTGATATTATTTTCGCTTCTTTCATCAGAAATGGCGAAGGAATCCAGAAAATTAGACAAGTGTTGGGAGAAAATTAAGTGTTTCATTGCAACTTCTTCAGGAAATAAACTTGAGTTTTTCAGAGGAAAACACATCTACATCATTGCTAAAATCGAATCTGAAGATGGTGTGATCAATGCTGATGAAATCATTGAAGCATCTGATGGAGTGATGGTTGCCCGTGGAGATCTTGGAATCGAAATCCCACCCGAGAAAGTTTTCCTAGCTCAAAAAATGCTCATTGCAAAGTGCAATCTTGCTGGAAAACCAGTGATTTGTGCAACCCAAATGTTGGAAAGTATGATCAGTAAGCCTCGTCCAACCAGAGCAGAATGCAGTGATGTGGCAAATGCGGTGCTGGATGGAGTCGATTGTGTGATGTTGAGTGGAGAAACTGCAAAAGGAGATTATCCAGTCGAAGCATTGGCTATCATGCACAATGTTAGTTTCTGTTTCGAAAAGATATTTTTAAAAAGAGTGACTCTCTCAGAAGTGAAAACTAAGATCTGATTACTTTCATGACTCGTGCCATAACTTTTGAAAATCAAAGAACTCAAGTTCAAAGGTCTATAGAATAACGAAAAATAATTTTAAGTTGTCGGGTCAAGAAGTAGCAAAACAACTTTTTTCCAGATTTGCAAAGAAGCAGAATCTGCATTTTTCCACATGAAACACTTTGAGGAACTTATTCTCCATACCAAAAAGCCAACTGGAATGACCCATACCACTGCCATCGCAGCTGTTTCTGCAACCATCACTTGCAGAGCTGTTGCCATTATTCTTATCACAACAACCGGAAGGTAACTAAACAACAATAAGGTCCCAGATGGTCTCAGATGTATCCAAATATTCCAGAACCGCCCGTTTGTGTTCTCGTTATCGTCCTCCAGTTCCAATCATTACTGTCTCACGTGACGAACAGATCTCCCGTCAACTTCATCTTCATAGAGGCATTTTCCCAGTCTACTATCCAAGTAGGGTTCTAAAAGCCAATCAAAAACCTTCATAAAATAATTTCAGAAGGACGTATCGAAGAATGGGATGTGGATGTGGAAGAGCGTGTTCAATACGGAGTGAATTTGGGAAAGACTCGCGGATTCATTCATCCTGGTGACCCGCTTATCGTCATCACCGGATGGAAACAAGGAGCCGGATTCACAAATACAATGAGAATCGTTACTGCTTCATAATTTCTTTGTACTTATTTTTGTAGTTAAGTTATATAAGTTTTTTTCGTTTCACATATTTTATAAAATTGTCGTTTACTTCGTTTTCAAAAAAGAACAACTGATCACCTCGTGGTGGATATCATATTGCAAAAAAAAAAATAAAGTTTCTAACTTTTAAAGAGGAGGCGGGAATGGAGCAGTTGTCTCCTTATCATTTTTTCTAAACCGTTTTGTTCAGTTTCCAACAACACCACAAATTCGACTATTTTTGTTTTTCCATTTTCTTCATTTTTTCATTTCTTTTCCGCTTTCTCATGATCAGAACGGGAAATCGAAATTGCTTCTTTCCAGACTCCAATCTTTACAACATGCAAAACATCGCGATCTGCACAGCACTACTGGTAAGTTGCAACTGTCGTCGTAAAAGCTGTAATGGAACGGTCTCTAACTTTAACTTCGAGCCAGTTCATCTCAATTCCTGTTAAAGATTTTAAAAAGTTGTCAGCTGATAGACTGTTCATCATAATTCTACCAACATTTTATCAGTTGACATAGCTTTCATATCTCTCATAGGAGCTGAGATAATTGGCTCAAACTGGACAGTGTGGGGCGCCATGTATTACAGGTTTTACGGTAAGTTGACATTGAAAAATAGTGGATCCAAATGACTCTTCTTCTTTTACTTTTTGTGTCATCCCTGAAATCATGTTTAAAATTTTAATAAAAAAATACTTTTTATCAATTTCGAAAACAAGAACTCAAACAGACTATAACTTTTTGCAAACAATAGCATGTACCAAGATTTTTGTTTAACTTTTTACGAAAACAGACTGAAACTGAAAAAACATATCAGTGATCAATTTCAGTTTCACTTCCCTCTAGGAGTTTTGAGGGCGAGTTCCGAAAAATAAAAAAATCCGGGTTCATTAAAAAAGGTGCATTTTTTGCCTAGAAAGTTGTTTTTCTCTAGCAAATCACAAGATATTTTCAGTGCCTTCTCTCTTCTGTAAGTTCTCGTTCACTTGAAGATCATCCAAGGTACACGGCTGCTCAGTTGACTGATGAATATAAACACATTCTTGACGGAAGAATAAAACTGGAGGATAGTCACGTCATCTCTCGAGACATCACAGTTGATGACTGTGGGAAAAGAGGGGACTATGGTAAGTGGAACGTGGAGAGGAAATCAGTAGATGTTGTATTTCAGAATATCTATCCGACAAACTGGAGGCATTGATTCCAAATCTTAGCCACGTAGACCTTTCTCTGAAATTCGCCTATCCAGTTCCTTTCACTAACCACACAATTCAATTTTCGGTCGATGAGGTTCTTACCCATTTGAATGGAGAAAAAGAATCAGGAGAGAAAGTTTACTTTGCCAGAATGGTTAGAATTTTCTTTTTTTTTCATTTTTCCGAATGAATGTTAATTTCAGAATAATGAAAGCGATGAGTACAAAATCTATGATATTCGTGCTGTTCCGTGCTATTCATAATAGAATTTTTATTATTTTATTTGCTATTAAACTCTTTGTTTCACAGCCTATAATACTAAACAGATGATAAAAAATGTATATCATAAGCTTTGAAAAAAAATTTTGCAAGAAGAAATATGAAAAAAAAAACCGGAAATGTTATTTTTTGTGGATATTTGCTACTAGAAAACAAGTGTTTATACAGTTGACAATCGTGGACATTGTTGTTAAAAAAAAGATCAAGAACATAAATTTGAAAATACTATAACGGATATCAATTTGGTCTAAAATATTTCAGGTGTAAAAAACAAAAATATTGTTCTACTTTTGTCTTTGCTACACAGGAAAGACGAAGTCGCCGAAAAGCGTGCAAACGGCGGCTGAAATCCAAGAATTGGCTTTGAGTTGCGCCTATAAGCAAATGGGGAGAAATTTGTGTCAAAAAGTTTAGAAGGCAATTATTAGTAAGCAAACCATAATAAAAAACAAGTTTATTGAATGAAACTAAAAGAAAAAAAATCGTTTTTTAATAGTTCAATTGATTTTTTTTGAAGAACAATAAACATAGTTTTGGTCTGATTATTATCCGTAATTTACTAATGATTGCATTTTATACTTTTTGTCATAAATTATTTCAATATTTTCTTAAAGACGCAAGTGATAGCCACCTCTTATACCTTCAGCCGCCGTTTGCACGCTTTTCGGCAACCCGCCTTACCTGTGTTAAATAATTCTAACTAACAAGTACAGGGTGCGGCAAGAGTGCGTGTGCATAACTTTGAAACAAAAAAACCAATAGTGATTTTTATCATTCAACAATTTTCAGTTGATAAGCTTTAAAAAAAATCATGACTCATTCAACAATTACATCCGTCTGAATTCATAAATTCAAAATTTCTACTATTTTGGTAGTCTTTTACGTACCCGAAAAAGTTTAAACCAATCGCAATCACTTTCAGTCCCCATATTTCTTGGGAAGATTTTCGAAAATTTCTAGGTTTTGGCATCGATTACTTTTTATCATTCTAATGATCATTTAATGATATTCAAAAAACACAAAAAAGGGTGACTACCTCATTATCTAAAAAGCATTCAAACAATTGATCGAGTCCATTCCAGTATGACTACCAAACTTAATACATCCGAAACTTTGACTTATGATCAGACAAATACAAACTCAAATGAGACATCTGTGTACATATTCCACACAACACCATCCACAGATTGGTCTCATTTAGCCTGTTTCCTGTGGAACGCTCATTTGGTGCAAGTTGAAAGATTTTCAAACCAGTTCAAGTTTTGTTATTGAAGACAGCGTTCAATATTAGAAACTTTAGACTTGGCAAATTATTTAATTTTTCAGTTTTTCCAAACTTTAGACGCAAGAGAGTTCTTTTTGAACTCGTTTAAAAAGTTATTTCCTCCAAACTGTGGTTTGTTATGTATAGGGCCTGCATCCTCGTCTGGAAAACAATATAATATTTCAATTAGCCATTCATTTGAATCACATGAGCAATACAGTCACCACCCACTTTTGAATCTAAACATGCGGTTCATATTTCTAAACAAAAGAACCTTGTGTCTCCCATTCATTCGTCCTCGACCTCTACCATTTTCACCTATCTACCATTCCGATCTTTTTCTTTACTCTGAATTATTGTAGATCTCAATCCAAGATAGCGCCTATTCTTCTATTGTCTTGACTTCACCGGTCACCCTATTCTTCAAAATGGCATTGACCCTTTTAAAAGTATAAAGAGGTTTTCTTGAATCGTCCTTTCCTATTTATTCAGTTGGATCCTTTAGGAGAAAAATATTTTGTATTTCTCATCCCATTTTTTTTGTAAAATTTGTTTGTGCGCACCGATTATTGCTCCACCTGATACAACTCATCCAATAGACCCCCCACGGGTCCATTCATATATTTTCAGTCTGCATCACAATGGTCGCCGTTATGCTTCCAACTTCCAGAAAGACAATTGAGCAGAAGACTCCAACAGCTGTAGACAGAAACTGGCCATGCTTTGTAGTTGCTTTCACGATGGCTTCGATCAAACTCCTTTTGGCATACACCGGAACTGAGGATTATAAAATTTCTGGATTCAGTGAGTTTGTAGTCTACATAATTTTGTCTGGGTTTCCCGTTCCATCATGAAATCAAAATTTTCAGATGACGTGAACGTCTTCTTCCTGATGGAACTTGGTTCAACCCCTCTTGCCATCATCAGTCCACGTGTCTGGTTCGCCATGTTCATGTGTTCTCTTGCCTACATGTCTGTGGAGACTGGTTACCCGACAATTGCCATCATCACGATTCTCTCCATGCTCATCATTGCCTACGCAATGGAATTCTCCGACTACAGAAGAAAGAAGGAATCGGAGAAAACCGCTGTCTACCAAATTCTTCCGCTTGTTGATGAGAAGAAACTCAAAGAGCAAGAAATGATTTAAATGTATTTTCTGTCAACTTAACATTACAATGTTATTTCTAATCAAAATGATCCAAACTCGAGTGAAAGATTTGAAAATCTTCCCAAAACCAAAGCCTTATTTTTTTTTCTGGAAATTCGCCTGTTTGTAATTATTTTATATTACGGTCTATTTCTTTTTTGACAAACAAAGTTTTCTCGACAACCCAATTCCGGTCAATATCTACTGACAGAATAGTTACAGTAACCCACTGTTAATCTATAATAATCAATACACCAACTAAAGTCAATAGACCAACTACATGCCAAATACGCGTCTATGCTCTGGGCAATGTTCGTGTAGAGGAGATTTCCATAGCAACGAGAAGACAGGTGTTCTTGACACACCGAACATATACATAATATCTTCTCCCCGTTTCGTAAGAAGTTTTCTGAATACGAGCATTCTTCAATCGATTACTAAATAGAAAGAACACAGTCCCTATTTATTACGGTATACGAGTTGCAGGTGAGTGTTCTTATTTCAATGTCTGAATATTTTGATTTAAAAAAAACTGAAGTTGACCTATAATAGTTTTGTAGTTCAGCATGCCCCCTTCTCGATTCAGTTACTTTTCATGATCACGTCTTCAGTGTTCGGTTATAAATTTCTCTTGTCTGCTTTTTCTGCTTCCTCTTTTCGTACGACGAATGTTTAGTAAGGAAACACGTCTTTCTCTACCTCGTCTAATCAGCTTCTTGTCTAACAAACAGCTGATTCATACTCTGCAACTATATTCTGTGACTTCATGTTCTGTCTTTTAATATCCCTCTCGTTCTATGTTCAGATAAAATACCTAACGTTTGGATTTTACGTATTTTTCATATCTGTATCTTACTCGGGGATGTAATGAGTTATATAGACCTTCCCATCCGAATACATAAAGGACTTGAGCATTCAAAAATCTAGATGATTCACATCATATCCGTTTCCGTCTACAATTATATATTTCAGCTCGAGCTCTGAGCCATTTTGCGGAGCCGTTGCTTCCCATTTTTTCTTTTTTCCCTCTCTAAAGCCTTCTGTCTCTGTTCATTTTCAATCGTATTCCCGTTCTTTGCCTCGCTCTCTTTGTGTGCGCGCCCATCTTCCCTCAGCTGGCCTCAAAAAAAGTTAGTGCAAAAATTCACGTATTACTCACAGGCCCACGCGAGAGCGCGTTGCGCACACGACATGAGAAATAGGGTTGCGAGATGATAGACGCAGCGAACTTTCCATGCAGAGATCGTTGAAAAGAGGGGTGCCGCGACGACGAGAGTGACGTCGCGAGAGTTTTCTGCGGTGGGGCGCATTTTCAAAACATGTCGTAGTCCAACACGGGTGGGCGCTGGGGGCTATTGCCTCACACGGTTCTCCGATTTTTATCTATATTTTTCTCGGTTTCCTTGCTTATCTTTTACCGCACGCAATTTTCGATGAGAAGACATCGGACTAGTGCAAAGTGGCAAAATAATACCGGTCGCCCTTTACGTTTTCCATGAGAGATCACAGTAGGATTCGAAGAAGAAGATTTTCTGCTTTGATTTTTCTCCACAGAGTTACTGTAGATATTCTTGGCCTTGTTGATGGAGAAAATGTTCACCTTATTAGATTATAATGCTCTTAAATCCACTATTTGTCTGAAACGTCCATTGAGCAATCTCTGAATTTCTCTTGCTCAGAATTTGCTATAAAGAATGACCCAATTTGAGTTACAGATCTCATGAAGCTATAAAAAGAATCATATTATCATGCGTGGACGTCGACAAGAGGACATTGCTACGACGTCGTCAGCTCCCTCGACAAGCACATCGCATAAAAAGAAAACAGTGTCAAGCAATGGATCGTTTAGACCCAGAACGCAGTCCAACCCTGGAGGCAAAATGGAGATGTACGATCACTTCTATAAGGTTGGGAAAACATATTCTAAAGATCTTCACTAATGTGAATAATTTCCAGAACTTCCAACGACCTCCAATGGCTCCAGTGTATTACCCAACGTCTGAAGAGTTCGCAGATCCAATCGAATACGTAGCGAAAATACGACCGGATGCAGAGCGCTACGGAGTTGTCAAAATCGTCCCACCATCGGTATATAACAGTGTGGTTACTGTAACATATAACGTTGATTTTTCAGGACTTCAAACCTCCATTCGCTATAGATAAGGAAAAGTTCACATTTCGTCCGCGGACACAGAAGCTAAACGAAGTGGAAGCAATCGTGAAAGAAAAGCATACTTTCATTGAACGTCTTGTTAACTTCAACCGATATTCTGGACTCCAATTCGAGTTCCCGGTGGATAGAGACGGAAACGTTGTGGATTTGTACAGACTCCATCGAATAGTTCAGAATTTCGGTGGTTGTGAAGAAGTGAACGATGAGGAACGATGGAGAGATGTTGCTCGTGAATACCTGCCAAAGGAGCAAATGACTCGAGGAGTTCCATCTTATTTCATCAACCTCATACGCGCACATTACAACTTGCACATTGAGCCATTCAACCGTAACTTAAAAGAAAAGGCAATGAAAAACGAAGATGAAAGTGATGATGAATTGGAGGAATTAAAGCATAAGTGAGTGATCCATTCTTTGTAGTGAGTTTTCAAGAGTATAATCCGTTTTTCAGATATCAACATCATCACGGTACAATGAGAAGTGAGCCTGAAAATACTGATGGCAAAAACACAGAAGATGTCGAAGAAGAATGCCCGATGTCAATGCAGAGTGGACGACGACGGTCTAAAAACAAGAAGCCAGTCCCAGCTAAAAAATCATCAAATGGTACTCCAAAAAAAGGATCCCGAGGAAAGAGTAAGTCATTTACATTTATACAGAAAAAAACAATTGAAAATCATCTTCAGAAAATTCCAAAACTGAAGAAGATGAAGAGGAAAATGAAGATGTAATTGAGCAAGTATATTGCGTCTCCTGTAACGAAGGAAAAGACGAAGATCTTCTTCTGCTGTGCGACATTGAAGGATGCAACAGTGGTCGTCATACTTATTGCTGTGATCCAGTTCTCGATGAAGTTCCCGAAGGAGAATGGAGATGTCCAAAATGCATCGAATCGGAAGACGCCAAGATTGGACTCGATTGGGGATTCTACGACGCTGAAACAGAATACAACCTGAATACATTCACTGAGTTCGCAAACAAATGGAAGTGCGATTATTTCGGAGTTGACAACGTTTCGAAAGTATCGTGTGATGCATTGGAGAAAGAGTTTTGGAAGAATGTAGTGTCTCATGACAACCCAGTTGCTGTGAAGTATGGAGCTGACTTGATTACAAGCCGAGTTGGAAGTGGATTTCCACGAAAAGAAGATAAACATACTGGTCCCGATAGCAAACTGAAACAACAATATGCTAACCACGCTTGGAATCTGAACAACATGCCAGTTCTCAGTGAATCAGTCCTATCCTACTTCAACACTGGAATATCCGGAATGATGGTCCCGTGGGTCTATGTAGGAATGTGTTTCTCTACATTCTGCTGGCACACAGAGGATCATTGGACTTATTCTGTAAACTACAATCACTTTGGAGAGCGCAAAATTTGGTATGGAGTTGGCGGAGACGATGCTGAAAAATTCGAAGAAGCATTGAAAAGACTTGCACCTGGCTTGACTGGAAGACAAAGAGATCTTTTTCATCACATGACCACTGCCGCCAATCCAAGCCTTCTTCGATCACTGGGTGTTCCAATTTATTCAGTTCATCAGAATGCTGGTGAATTTGTTATAACCTTCCCCCGTGCCTATCACGCCGGATACAACGAAGGTCTTAACTTCGCAGAAGCTGTGAACTTTGCTCCGATCGACTGGCTGGCGAAAGGTCGCGAATGCGTGCAATCGTATTCAAATGTACGAAGGTACCTCGTGTTCTCTCACGATGAGCTCTTGTTCAAGATGATTGAAGCCATGGACAGACTAGGTCTATCTACAACACTTGCCGCATACGATGAGCTCAAAAGAGTGATTGAAAAGCAGAAGAGACTCCGTCAGTTTATTGCCCAACTAGGAGTTCCTGCCCGTAACGTGGAACAAGTAGCATTCGAGAAGATACCCGACGAGCAGAGATCATGTCGATTCTGTAAAACGACACTGTTCATGTGTGCTCTGATCTGCAACAAACACAAACGGATGACCTGCGTCGAACATCATGATCACCTCTGTAAAACTTGCACTCCGAAAGATTACAAGTACCAATACAGATACGAAATTGATAATTTGACACATCTTTTTGATGAGCTTGGAAAGAGAACTGTTGACACCGCTGGATGGCAAGAGGACGACGACGACATGTACACCCAAGAGGAGATGCCGAAACTGGAACCAATGGTAGATTTATACAACGTTGAAGAGCAGAGCAGCAGTCGTCAGAAAAATCAAGTTCATAACATAATCGCTATTCAACATACAGCTAAAAGTGCTATCGAAAAAGCCAATCAACTTCTGTTCAAAAAAGTACGCACGCGAACAAAGACTCGATGCCAAAGAGCAGATACACGAACTGATGCGGATGGAGTCAAATCTCTCATTGAACAAATGCAAGGAATGGATTGCAACCTCTCCGGTCTAATTGATAAACTTCAAAAGTTTCTCGATCAAATCGATGCATGGAGATCCAAAGCTCAAATCATGATGAGTCAAGAACACAAGTATTCCAAAGATGATTTTGAGCACTTTATAGAAGAAGGAGATGAGTATGATATCAAATTGTCTGAGATTGAGGAATTACGGAAAGTTGTCGGAATGAAGGAATGGTCAGAAAGAGCCATTGAAATTACTTCGTGGGCTCCAACGAGTAATATGGAAAAGGACATTGATTTCGAATACAAGATGCGATACACCAATAAAGATGTTATAGCGTAAGTTTATATCAGTCAGTAGTATATTTAGAATTATTACGGTTATCGCCTTGACTTCTGTATTATAGGTACTGTATGAATTCCAGTTAAAACTTCTGAAAGACGTTTTAAACCTAAAGTTAATTTCTAGAAAAACGTTGACAATGATAGTCCATGATAAAAACAACATGGTAAATAGGATAGAATGTGATAATAAAAAAAATTTTCCAGATTGATTCGAGAAGGATCTCGAAGTTCAAGCAACCATACTTCCCAATTGATAGCCAAACTTCAACATATGCTCGCCGAAGCTAATAAACGCGAAGCAGAAGCTACAGAATACTTCGATAACCCTTCACTGGACAAGCTTCAATCGATTTGGAAAAATCTGAGAACATCAGACTGGTTCTACGAGCCATGTAAGCTGATATCTGATAGGGCCGCTTTCTTATTATCACATTTCAGATATCAACTTGGTCCGGTTTGAAATTGGTCAAATCGCAAAAATTAAGTCAATGATAGATTCTACAATTCCCGCACTTTCTGGACTTGATTTGAAACCTCAGCTTCTGCGTCTTGGAGACAGTTCAATCACATTTGCGAAAGCAGTAGAGTTGAGCAAAGCATGTGAATTATCAAAGACTCTGCACAAATCACAAGAACATTCCTCCCTTCTTGAGCTGATAAACAGAATGAATTTGTTCACGGAACGAATAGCCAAGCTGTTCAAACCCATGAATTCTTATCACAATTTGTTTGAGGTATGAATGACAATTTGATCTACTTTGAGTTCTAACGGTTTTTCCAGATTGTCTCGGAGCGTGATGATTTGACTCCTCTTGCAGAAGGACAGGTGTTGCAATTGTACTACCAAGGAGAAACAATCAATTCTGGAAATGAATGGCATCAAATAAAAGACTTTGACTCCCTGGAACAGATGCTCCATCATCAATCTTCTCTCCGTGAAATGCAATCCAGAATTTTCGAGAAAGTCAAACAAACGAATTCTGCCCGTGGACTAGAGGGATGTTGTTGTCTTGGAGGCAACAAAAGCGACTCATCTGAATCAGTGTTGTCATGTATCATGTGTGAATCGCAATTTCATGTCCGATGTTGCGAGTGGTCCACATTTTTCCAACATTTACCAAAAGGATGTTTCATGTGTGTGCGTTGTTTGAGAGGACAACGTCCAGTGATCGACGACGTTGCGAATGCTTTGAATGGAACACCATCTGGTTGTATGGAGACTCATCTTGTTCGGAATCTTATCCAAAAGTCGAGGATAATCACTCAAAACCTCATGGATTGCTCAAACAAACGTCAGTCCGGTGAAGTCGCAAGTGATGAAATGTGCAAAAAAGCGCTTTTTGATTGGCTCGCATGTGAGATAATGAACCCCAACGGACTTCCCAAGGCTGTTGAATTGATCCACGAATTTTTCGGAGATTATCTGGAAAAGCAAGCCAGGTATTTAAATATCGATATAAAAACAAACACCACATTCTTGATTTTCAGCGCTGCTCTCGAGCTTCAACAAAGACCTGTCAAATCGAAACCATCCGCTTCTTTGTTCGATCCCAAGTTGAATTCTAAACGCAAAAGACCTAATCCTTCTCAAAAAGATTCATCAAAAAGTAAATCGCGTAAACGCCAAGGACAGATTTCTCCAATTGACTACTGCGAGGAAGAGACTGAGTTCAAGTCTTGCCAAGCACGAAGTTGTCTGAAGCCATTCGGCGATTCAGTCAATTGGGTTATGTGTGATGCTGGCTGCAAAAACTGGTTCCATGTGATTTGTGTAGGGTTTACTCTTCGAGGTGAGTACATGAGTGCCGATTTCAGTTCAGTAACCTTTGCCAATTGCAGAAATCAATGATATGCACGAATACCGTTGCTCATCATGCCTCGATCACGCTGATTCTCCAGCTTCCAGTGTTTCTACAGAATGATTCCCCATTCAAACATTCCCGTTTTATCCCCATTTGTTTTCATCATAATCTAACATCAACCCTATCCATTTTCATCAGAGTTCTATCATAATTGACTAATCATTGCAACTTCTCAGCCGATTCACCGGCCGCCTGAATCAAGGTTTCCTCTTTAATGTATCGTTCTCATTTCCTAACAAGCTTTCAGCAAAAATGTCAAAAAAGTACAGTAGTCTCTCCCGAATCTTACCAGCTTCTTTCATTTCATCGCATTATTTCCTTTCTGATTCTTTCTCTCTCTCTCTTTCTTTAGTTCTTCTCTGTTGAATCTCGAATCGGGTTGCCCCAGTCTAACTCTCCTTTTGTCTCCCCGCGCATCCATTTCTAAGTCCCCCATAAGTCCAATCGAAGAGTTTTTTCTAAATCTCTATTATTCGTACTTTACTATCCAGCTCTTGTAGACGAGACTCTAATATATTTTTTCTCCATTCAAAGCTTTTAAATGCCTGAATCATTATTTGTATCAAAATCTTTATGATCATAAAAAGTGTTTATTTACAATAAATATTGAAATAAAAGAGGACAACTATTAAATTACAAGCTTTGTTGCGAAACCCGCCGCAGTGCAAAATAAGAACTATTATGTCGTTGACGAAATGAAATAAATTAACTGTTTCACTACCAAACTATTCCCCATTTCGCACTGACTTCGTCGAACTTTTTGGATTCTGGAACCGGTGGAGCTGATCGAATAGAAGTGGCAATATCAAATGGATACTCCTCTCCCCATGCATCGAACCATACACGACGAAGACGGCGATTAACCTGAAAAGAGAAAAAAATACATTCTAGCTTCAAGTTCAATTCATACCGAGTTGAGCTTATCATAAAACTGCTCGCGTTTAGCATTAAATTTCTCCATCTCCTCCAACATTCTCTCAGTTGAAATTTTTGGATTCGAAGGTACATAAGTCTGATGACTGACTTCTTCGCGTCGCAAACGGAGGGATTCATCATGAAGATTGTCCAAGAGTTTTAGTAATAAATCTTGTCTAGTTTGAGATTCCAAAGTAACTGGTCCCGAGATCAATCCTGGAACAGTTGAGAATCGTTTCGATCCAGATTGGGCTAGTTCTCCTTTGAGTTTTCTGATCTCGAGCTCTGCTCGCTTTCTGGCATCCGTCTGCTTGTTCAACTGATTTTCAAGGAACACAACTTCTCCTCTACTCGCACTGCCTTCCTCTACTACTGACGACGAACTTGGGGCAGTAGGAGCACCTGCGGATCGCGTCTCCATGGCATGAATGTTTTTCCAAAGAGCTTCCTTGCTGATCTTGTTAGCACGTTGTTTCAGTTCCAAGTTCTCCCCTTCGACTTCTTTCATCTCTCGTTGTAGTGCATCCATCGATTCATCGAACTCACTAAATTTAAAAATTCTTAAATATGAAACATATTACAAACATACATTTGTTTTCTTCTGTGATCAGCCACCATCTGGTTTATCTTTTCTTCCAAATGCTTCACCTTGTCTCCCTCTGCCTTATCAGTAGAATTCAAACGAGACTCTGCCATATCCAATCGTAACTTGAAGTTTGATACATCTTCGATTCGTGCCTTGATTTGCTTACGCAATTCCAACATCTCATTATCTTTCTTTTCCATTTGCCAACGAAGTCCTTCTGCTTCTTGAGCTGCTTGCTTCCGATGGTGTGCTCTGTCGAGAAGAGGTGGGAATGTCTTCTTCTCCGGAGCAACATGCTCCATTTTAGCAGATTCCAAAGTGGAATTCACTTTCTCGAGACTATCGCGAAGAGACCTCATCGTTGTGCGAATAGGATCGAAAGTATTCTCGATTGCAATGTATCCACTGCTCTTGGCAACAACTGAATGGATCATCTCTTTGACTCTCTTATCGTCAAATCCTTCTGTCTCCGAAATTCCACCAAAATTGTGTGCTCCGTTTGTACAAACTTCTTGAAGTGTGGACGCCATTTTATCAAGCTGGGCAACAGCGTTGAGAAGCTCATCGGTAAAATCACTTTCCAACTTGATAATTTTTCGTGGGTCACTTCCATTCGGGAGAAGTCGAGCTGCTTTCAGAATTACAGACTCGCAAGCAGCAAACTCGTCGTTTAGAGATTGAAGGAGATTGAACACTTCTCCAGCATTAACCGATTCCTGAAAAAAAGGTTCAATTTGTTGGTAATTTTTGTAATGTTTACCTGTAAGAAGTAGGAAATTCTTTGGGTATTCACCCGACAATACGCGAGACCTGCTGTGAGAGACGAACAAACTGATGAAATCCATTGTGAAGCGTTGAACCCATCACCACCAAATTGTAACGAAAAAATCATCTGGAAGTAGGCGAGAGGACGGATGAATCCGTCAAGAGAAGTATTCTCGTCGAAACGAGAAGTTTTGAGAAGCTCCAAGTATTGATCAATTGCTCTTTCGTGAGTTGCCATCTCACCGTAGCTTTCTGTCAATTTTATCAGCGCTTCTACAGTAGTTTCTCCAACGGCACTTTCTAATTTTCCGACAGCAGCGACTATGGAGTTTGCAAGATACGAGACACGTGCCACGTGAGCCCATTGTTCTCCCTTGTGAGACTTTGTTACATGCTCACGACGCATTCCTCCCGGAACTTGTGGATACTGGAATTCACTTTATATTATGATAAATTAGAAAGTACAAACTTACACATTGAGCAGCTAAAGTAGCGAATAACGTTGCCTTTGCAGAGAGGCGTGGAAGCAAGACAACTAAAAGAATCGAGTCATTTTCTCCTCCAACACGAGCAAAATTATCAGGAAGGAACGCCTTCAAGTATCCAGCCTGGCGACGGGCATATTCAACCTCGATTGCATTGATCTGTCGCTCGACGATTTCCGAGAAATTGCGGTTCGCCGAAATTTGAAGTTGGTTGAACATTGTTGCCCGATCGTTATCTTCCGTCGTTTGACCATGAACTTGCTCTTCAAGACTCAAAATTTGATCCTTCTGATCTTGAATTTGAGAATTCAAATTTGCCATTCTTTCTCGGAACTTCAAAATAGTTTGGGACAACTCGGCAGCATGCTTTTGTTCATCTCGTATGCGTCCGTTCAGTTCATGTATATGAATTTTCAGTTGCTCGATTTCCTTCATGAGATCTTTCTCTTGTTGTTTTTGTACTTCAGCAAGTTGCTCATCCAAGTCTTTAGCTTCTTCCATGTCTTCTATCGTCTCCTCAAGCTGCCTGTAAGTAACAAAGTTAGAAAAGCTATTCAACAAGTTTCAAACTTACGCAATACGTTCTTCCATGTTGAAGTTTTTATCCGTTAGCTGAGTAACCATTGCTTCAGCACCCATGGCAGCATCAATCTGAAATATGGAAATATGAAACGGATCATTCGAAATTCGGGGGATGGAAAGATATTTGTTTCTAGGAAGCGTGCAGATATAGTCGTCCCAGGGTGGACAAATCACACAATTTCTAACGAAAGATTGACCATAGAACTGAACACCACGATATGATCTACTTATCAAAAAAATCTACCTCTTCCCACATATTTGAAAATTCTATCTGAAACAGAAAAGAATCGAGTGTGACAAGATGAATACACAACACATTTACGAAGCATCAAAATTCAGAATGTTTCAAACCTCACGCTAATCATTTCTGAGTTTATTACGTACCTGCTCTTGGAATCCGGCTATCTTGGATTCAGCAATTTCAGCTTGTCTCTTGAGGTTCTCTGCGACTCGAATGAGTTCAGAATTCTCATTCTTCAATCTTTCAGCTTCTTCCACTGCCTTTTGTTGATCAAGTTTAGCTTGAGCACTCAAATCACGCATCTTGATAAGAGCGTCTTTCAGCTTATCATTCTGCATTTCAATCTGTCTCATTTGAACTGTGTTTCCAACTTGAGCACCACCTCCACCGTTTGCCATTTCGTCTTCTAAAAGTCCCAGCTTAACTCTCATCTTTTCCAATTCTTCCGTGAGTTCGTTGATTTTAATTTCAGCAACATCAGCTTTTTCCTCGGCCAGCTCCTTTTCAATAGTGGCCATTTCCATCAATTCTTTGCTCTCCTCAATTGAATTCTTGTTATCTTCGTGCCAAGCTCTCAGCTCTTCAGCGGATCTTCTCTCTTCGAGAAGTTGTCTTTCTAGCTCAACCACTTTGTCATTCAATCGACTTTTCACATCTTGAAGAGTTCTGTGCTCAATAGAAATTCGCTCGAACTCGAGAAGCTTTGCATGATCGTCTTTTCGTTTTGCTCTTGTTGTCTCTAGTTTATCGGTGAGTTCTTTAACCTGAATTCGAAGGTATTCTAGTTCGGTGGAATGGTCGATGTTTGAAGAAATTGAAGTTGTTCGTGGATGAGCAGCAGCAGAAGTTGTGGAGATAGGTGACATTGGAGCAGCTGGTCCCGTCTGAATGAATGAAAATTAACTGTCGAATATATCTACCATATAGGAACCAATCAATGCTGTGAATAGGAAAACTCAGGATGAACATATTCGGGCTCTACCTACCGCTATAACAGTCAAAAAAGAAGAAGATCGAGATCTAGACTCAGAGTTATTGCCTTCGTTCTCCAAACAGTCCTCTGGCAATTCCTCTATGCTCTAAAGGATAGAATACACAAATTTCTACATCTACCACTACGAAATCATATAGTTTTTGTTCTGAGAACTCACATCATCTATCTTTTTAGCTCGTGAAAGAACACTTTCGTTGGGGAGTACTGTTCCAGATTCTGTCATTGTTGGAGGTGGCAATTCATTTGGAACCTCTGTTTCAGATTCAGCAGGTTTCGTCTCCTCTGTTGGTTTACTCGGTGCCATTGACTGTCGCGGCTTTGCAATGGAATTATTTTTCGCAGGAGGCACTGGAACAAAAGATATTTATGATTCTTCCGAAACCCTAAATTTTACCTGTTGTTGAAACTTTCTTTGGAGGCGCCAAACTTTGTCGTCTTGAAGCTGCATCTGGTGCGGTGAATTGAGGCTGCAACTGGTCAATGTATGTCATGTTTTTAGAGAGTTAACTTCAAGTATTTAGTTACAAGACAATAATTAGAGGAAAGCACGAAAAGCAGACAAACCCTAGGTTTAGATGTAGATGCGCTAGCACGACTCGAAGCAACGGAAGATTGTGATAAGTTGGAGAATTCACGGACCATTCTTGACTGAAAACGACAATTAGGTAATTAGAACACGAGCCAGAAGACATAAGGGGTGAGATAAAGTCTGTAAGCGACAACTGAAACAAGCCAAAACAAGAAAAAAGTTCCAGCATAGTAAGAACACAAATGATGATAATTAAAAATAAGTTCAAGATGCTTTGAAGCAGGTTTCTCTAAACAAGCATAACAAAACATTCATGTGTTCAATTTACCGTCGAATCAGATTTGTTTTTTGTCATAGGCGGAGCTGGAGACCTCGCCTTTTGCGGTGTTGTTGACCGCTTTTTCTATAATCTAATAAACCCCACTGTATGTTTTAACAATCAGTTTACCTCGTTGGGATCTACTAGCTTTGACACTGAACGTGGACCCATTCCGGTCTGCCGCCCGGATAACTTCTCCGACGATGCAGCTGGTGAAATTCCAGGACTCGACTGAAATTGATTCATAGTATTCAACTTGCTATTCAGCTTACCCCTGGAGATGCTTTTGATCCTGCAGATCGACTCATTACACTCGAGTCTTTGCGAATCGCCGAAGCTGTTGGAGCTTTCAATCCGGATCTTTTTACTGTATCTTCAAGTTCAACAGCACTTGCTTTGACAAAAACTCCGTAATTAGGTTCGCATTGGAAATATGCAACATCTTTAACTGTTCCGTTATTCTTTCCAGTTGGGGTATCCAAAATGACTCCGATCCATTCACCTTCGGCAAACTGCGTCTGGCCAGCGAAGACTACCTTCCCGTTTCCCGAGCTAGCTGGAATCAACAGTTATTTAGCTCTTGTTCAGGGTCTATCTTGTATATGTAAAATACTCACTTTTGACCCGGGTTCCTATTTCGAACGACATCCGGGAGATGACGCTCGATCAATATTTTTGATCCAACGAATAATTAGATATACCTGAAAACAATTGAAATTAGATCGATATCGTGTTGCGAAACAGTTTCTTTGGTCAACGCGAAACTGAGAGAGCCGACTTCAAACAGTGAAGTGATGGCTGGCGCGTTTTCTGTGCGCATAGTCGCGCCAAGGCAAAGCAGCTGAGAAACATTTTCGAATAAATATTCTTTAATTTATATGCCGTTTCGCTGTATCTTTCACTTTTGAGAATTGACTTTTTGAGAAACCGTTCTGATGAAGAAAATTTCTTCAAGAAATCTGAAAATTCGGAAAGCGCGTTTTTCGTTGAGAGCACACCCACTGGGAGGAAAACAAAAAGTGGGAATAACCATCTAGGAGGAAAAATGAGCGGAGCCGGGGGCGGGGCCTAATT